TTATAGAATTAATTGATGTTAAAATATTGTATATAAATTGATGAGCTAATGTTACTCTTCATTTGTATTTTAATGTTTTTGATGTGTGTAGAACAAAATTTCTGCTGCTGTTTTAAATTTATATTTTCAGCGTCATGGACCATAAGATGATTGATCGTATGCATATCTACAAAGACTCGAGATAGAACAGAGAATTTATGCGCCAGTGACTTTAAAGAATTTTGTGTAGTGATGGTATAAAAACTATATTAATGGCAGAATTTTGCAGAGAATGCCACCTCCATGGGGCACTGTTTTTTCCAGGTCCCTTGGGCCAAGGTGGTGTTTCTACTGCTTTGAGTTGTTTGTGTATATGCTGCCATATCGATTTGAAGATCGGCGCATATTTTGTTGTTTTGTTGAAAAAATTGTGAATAAATGGCCATGACAAGTACGCCAAACATTAATTATTTGTAATATTTTAATTAGGCTAGGTCAATAAGGTCATTAGGATATTAAGTATCAATCTGTAGAAATTATTGTTATTGGTCTTCCAATGGTAAAGAACAATGGTTTGTAAGGGGTGCTTTGTTGTCTAAAAATAACAAGTTGGATTTAGAAAAGGAGAATCATGCACAGACCAGAAATTTTCCTTGAAGCAATTTATAGGGTAGAGCAATGAATGGAACATAACGCTGTATGCCAATGTTATCGACTTTGCAAGAGACACGTGAACATACGAAATAAGAACAGAGCAAACACGGACCTCCAAAACATCAGAGGTGGAATCGGTGCTACTCTGTCAACCGGACACTTCGCCGTATGCTCCTTGTCGTGATTGGAAATAACGGAAAAATCCGTCGTCAATTCAGTGTATAAATAATGGACTAACAATTAATATGAAATACGTCAGCCAGCATTTGACTCAATGATAAATTGTATTTGCTGAAAAGGTCATGGTATCGACCATAGAACTTACGAAATGATGACTTTAAACGAGACTGCTGATAGTCTTGTTTCATCAACTTGCTTGTCAATAAATTACCTCGTTTCAGAAATTGTTCATACGTAGAGCATGCTCTAACGTATCGAATCAACTGAGATATGTAAACACCGTATGTAGTGGATCAAGGTATATTGCTGCATACGTAAGGGAAGTTGACGATTGTAGAGTTAGTCATCACGTTTATCATAAAGCTTGGTTGTTAGATTGCCATTCACGTCTTTTCAAGTAAAATGTGCAAATATGAAACAGATGTGTCAGACTCTGTGTCAGCCTCTTTTATCTCAACCCCACCAGGAATTTTATGTCAACTTCAGAGTACTACTAGTGTGTACAATCAGAATGTTTTAACAAAATTATTTCGCAAATGACCAATGACAAGGTAAGTAAATTTATGGACTTAAATTCATCGTGGGGAATCGTTGTGTATAAAGTTGAAAAATCGTTAGTTTTTTTTAAGCTGTTAATGTTGGTAAAATCTTGTGATTTCAAATTGCCCAAAAGTTTCTTGGAATTTTTAAGTATCCACATCTGATTAACACCACTTCTTGAATATAATTATTGTTTCACAGTAGTAACTCTTGAAGTTTCTCCTTCACTGCTGTTAATATCTTAGTGAGGAGTAAAGAAAGAGTGTATCTTTGTAAGGATTTTATGCAGTTTCGGATGGCATGATGACCTAGTCATGTATAGAACAATTTTGATAAAATATAAATGTTAACAAAGTACAAAAATAGAAAAGGACGTAACAGCAAACAACAACAGAATAGAAGAAGAAGACAAGTTTATAGATCACAGCCATAAGAGATTCCACCATGGACGTTTAAAATAGAATTTGCAAAAGCCCATGCCACCTTTGCCAACCTACGGAAAAGCTGGAAATCTTCAATAATTAGAACCAAAATTAAAACAAATGTCACTGGTGTCATCCTTTATGAATCCAAGGTCCTTGAAGATGACAAATAACATCACTCAAAAACTACACAAATTCGAAACAAGTAGTCTCCATAGAATAGTAAAGATATTTTGGCCGAGCAAGATCAGCAATGAGAACACAATCAGCTGTCATATCCGACCAGATTAAATAGAGACGACGGATATGGATTGGCCAAGTCCTGAGAATGGCACCAACCTATGTATATACCAAAGATAGCAGGAAAGCAAAACGAATGGCGATCATAGGAGACATGGTGTCGTTCAGTAGACAATTGAGAAGAAAGATAAGGGTGGGCTTGAGCAATGATACAATAAATATCAAACAAACAGAGATGGCGGTCCTCGGTGCGGGCTTTATGTCCTCTGGGCACAAAGAGGACTGACTAGGTACCTGACTGAGATATTCTTATTTCTTTACCAAATTTCATTTCAGTATTTGCAACCTCAGCGAAGAAAACTGCAAGTAATTGAAATTTTTCTTAGTCCAAGGGACATAGCTCTATCAAAAATTGCTCGATCGTACCCCAGTGACAAAATTGAAATTTGGATTCATATAATTCGCATCAACTCACCAACATACGAGGGCTGTTCAATAAATAATGTCCTGAACTGTATGACATACAAAACAGAGATCATATGGTATTCAACTTGACTTTCTCTCATTATTGAATCTTTACTGAATTTATAACAGTTTATGTGACCACTTTTCATCACATAGTTTCATCGTGAGAAGCTGGGAAACAAAGGCTATTATAGATACTGCATTATAAATGAATGGTAAAGAATCAGTAAACTACAGTGAAAATAAAGGCTTCATTAAAGCTGCTGTAAAACTTGTTAAAAATCCCAAAGAAATATTCATTGAAATATGTGTCATTTACAGCAACCGGTGCCTGTTCTGTAGACAAATGAGCAGTTGGATTTCAATGATAAAAAATTATATAATGGGCATCAAAAATGGGTACCCTCCTTGCCAATTATAACAACTTATGTACTGTTTTCCAAATTTCAACAAATAATATTTGATTATGTATGATTGACTTTAAGATACATAGCAAATTTGATAGACATCATATCGGGAGTAATTAACACTGTTTTTAAGAAACGTTTGACAGTAAAAAAAAAAAGCTTGGTACTCAAAGGTCACCCTATACTTTTGAAAAACGAGTGAAAACGACAGCGTGTACGAAAGTCTTAACAATTATTTTAGAACATCAGTAATTGTAGTTATCCAAACAGATATTGGAACATGGATCTATTGCTAAAAATCATCACAAAATTTACCATAAGATGTACTTGATAAAAACGGCGAAGGTCTGACAAAAGCAAAGAATTGCAACAGCACAAAGACAGATTTATATGCAATTTTCTGAAATACTAGTGGTATTGTTGTTCAAATTCGTATTCGGGGAGACAGTTTAATATCTGAAGGAGTCTAGAAAGCAATTTTTTTGCAAAAAAATCGAAAGGTTTATTAGAGGAAGGACCTAGAATCAGGAATCCACTACATTAAATTTCTTCGTGACAGCGTCCAAACCCGCATGCCCTGAAGAGTAAAGGGGTTTTCGGGATAAACAGAAAGTTGTTGTTTTTTCACATTAACAATATTTGCCAGATCCTTAACCTTTTTTACTTGTTTCTATTTCCAAACCTGAATACACCTTTCAGAAGGAAGAAACAAGTCCAGGAAATCATTGGATCTGCCATTTCCCAGTATACTAAGGGTCATACCCTAAAATGAGTTCTATAAACAATCAGAAATTGGATAAAAAACGTTACGGACATGCGTTTGAATTAAAAAAGATTAATAAGGAAAATCATGAAGACTAAATCATTGAAAAGCGTCGTTTGCTTCTTTCTGAGCACCGAGGACATTATTTATTGAACAGCCCTCGTAAATAGGAGCCATTCGGCACATGCCTTAACCATTCAGTAAACAAGCATAATCAGTTTTTATTTAAACATGTAGTAATTTAATTATATAAAAACTCTTAATAAATAAATATTATTTTTAAAACAGACAAAAGGTGCACTAGGGCTCCGGTGGTAAAGTAATTACTTTATAAAAGTTTTATAAAGCAATTACTACCATTTTCTTTCATTTTCCAATTATCAAGAGAAGTTTCTTCTTTTAAAAGATAAGTTTTTATTATCAAGTTATGACAATAGGAACAAAACTTAAATGATTTAAATAATACCCAATTACCCTAATCACCTGTGACAGGCATATAACTCAAGGTCAAATAAGGGGGCAATTAGCACTGTTAGGGGTTTTTAAGGTATGTCACTTCCATAGTAGGGCAGTGTTTCTTTCAATTCTTGACATATAAAAGTAGTCGGGGTCGGAAAAAAAAGAATCCCTAGGAAAATATACAACAGGCACCTTATCAAGTAAGTGAATTTTATTTCTTCCCGCAAATGGTTTAACAAAAGAATGCAAAGCTGTATAATTCAAAAGTTTTCTCCTTGTACATTTTACAAGGTCAGTGAAATACGTGTATACAGTATAACTCGATATGCTTTACTCTGACCTATATATTGTTCCGCTCCATTTATTTTTAAGAATTAAATAATCTATTAAATGTATCCGTTGCATTTAGTTGGTTTTATGGACAAAAAACTAAGGGATTGATCATAATAATTTACTAAGGTTTCATAGGACAGAGGACATGTGTGTTTAATCAAATTACTGGAATTACAATATACGAATGATATGAAAATATGGTTTATAAACAATATACATGTAGATTTATGTTTGAAGTTTATTTGAAATTTAAGTGCGCTAAATTGTGTGTGTGTTTTACTATAACGACTGAACTTAAATTTATGCTTTTTGGAATATATTTAGTTTATTGATTGCAAAAAATGGATATTCGTTATTTTATCCTCATTTCTTACAGTTTTTCGCGTTCTTATTCATCTAACCGATATAATCCTATTGTCGAGCCCCTGGGGCTTATTTCAAATTATAAAATTACTTGAAATTTTTACACTTCTGGCCTTTGATGCATACCTTCGTCTTGAATAAATAGAGGAATTTAAATCCAAAGGTATTGAAAAAGTCGCTCTAGTCGCTTCACCGATTTTGAGTGGGTACAACAATTTTTTCTAAATTAAGCAGCATACTAGTGCAAGTAGCAACTGGCTTGTCTACTATACCTGGGTAGGTGAGAGAGCGGGCGTGGCACTCAACTAAGTGGATTCAGGTAGGACAATGCCTTACACTCGGTTTTAAATTCATCAATATTATTGTTTGTATTGACAAATTTTCTTTGTATTAGCTACTGAATATCTTATTATATAGGATATACGATGGTTTGTGCTACATTTAAATTATTTACGAAGCCGAGGGTGTCGACTGAAGGTGGTTTTAAATAAGTCTCGTCGACTTTATCGACTTAAGACAAATCTTACACGGAAGTGTTAAACATTGTTTCTTTACAAACTTATGTACAATGTAAGCAGTCACATGAACGTGTGACTTAAAAAATATCTTTTATAACCCATGATGCATACTTGCAAGCAGAAAGTCGAAAACATGACTTGTTTGTCGTAACTTTTTTAATTGAATGAATAACCCAATTCACATTTTTATTAGTCGAAGTTTTCAGGTTGGGTGACTGCGTTTTGGGGTTATTCTTTGTAAAACGATACCCCTTTTAAGATATCTGTTTATTTACCATACATGTACATCAGCTGCATTAATTTTACTGTGATCCCATAAAAGTATGATTTTTAACCATTTATAGCTCCAAAGTACTTATCAAATAGTTTTATTCTCTTTGATGAGATAAATTAAGACTTTTAACATACTTTTTGTCATTGTAGGAATCTCAAAACATGGCGAAAGACGACGACGGTAAACCATTCTCTCTCTCTCTCTCTGATTATAGTTTTATATTAACTAACATCATGAAATACCCTGGTATATGAGTTAACTAACGGTATTGTAATTTATTTTCAGTTTTAATCGAGAAGAGTAAAGGTAGCCGCGGTATGGAGAAGTTTTGTCTGATCCTGATGGTGGTAGCCGCTCTGGGGTTAATTATTGGACTCATCGTCTACCTCGCCAGTAAGTACACATGTACTAAATCCTCTTCACTTAATCAATTCCAACATCAAATGTGCTCTACAACCACCATACCATGTTATGTTCTATTCCCCTTCTCTATCTAGAAGATGAACATATAAGACACGTTCCCATACTTTTTAAACGATGACCGATTTATTTATTTGATTAATATCTCAGGAGCTTAGCTAGTTTTTGTTTAGCTTTATAATTTTGTACTGCTCAACTTTAACTGCATGGCCTTGACCTTGAAATGTTGATGTTTCATAACATTATTTCCCCCTTTTTATGCATCTGGATCGATAGATTGGACCGCGTTTTGTTTTTGTCCTGTCTGTTTGTCTGCAAACTTTAAAGGTACTTGGACACAGATTTGAAGTTATAATTTTTTTTTACAGTATTACGGCTTATATATTTTAATAGCATTTCACACAAAAATTAATTAAAAATCTTATTTCGTTTAAAAGAAACTGAAATTTCAAATTTCTCGGCGGGTTTGATTGACATATCCTTGCACTCTCACAAATTTAATTTTATTCTTAATCCTTAGGAAAAGTTGCAATCTCGTTTTGTATAAATGAAAAATATTAATACTATAATCCAGATAATTCAGAGTAGACACGTTCGAAAGCAAAACAAACACACAATATATTGTCAGTCCGTGCAGTTGTGGTAAGCAGACTTTGACGATGGAACGCACCCGGTGAATTCTAAATATAAACAAAAACAGAACTCGAGCCCTGTTTACAAAAACTGTGTACAGAACACGAGTGTGCTCGATTTGCTAAACTCTGTACGCATCTCTTAGTTTGGAATGACGATACTTGTGAAGGTGTTTTGCTTTCTAACATTTCTACTCTGAATAAAATTATTTTCTTGATTAAAGTTTTAATATTTCTCATTAAAACACATCAAAATTGCCACTTTTCCTAAGGATTAAGAATAAAGTTAACAAAAAAATTAAAGTTTTAATAACTTTTAAATGATATAAGATTTTAAATTAATTTTTGTGTGAAATGCTATTAAAATATATAATTCGTGATATTATACAGAAAAAATATGAAAATATTAACTTCAAATCTGTGTCCAAGTACCTTTAACCTTTGCCATAATGTTTGAACCATAAAAGATAGAGAGACTCCATATTTGATATGAATACTCCACTAATAATCTCTTTCTCTTTCAAATGACACCAAGGTCAATGACCTTGACTTTGACATATATGCTTAAAAATAGCTTATTTGAACCTTCACAATAATTTTCAAACCATGAGAGATAACTGTTAGACACTTTATATCTGGAATGCGTACTTCACTAATTAAGTTCTTAAAAATAACACCAAGGTCATTACCTTGTGATCTTGAGTGTGACCTATATGATAAAAATAGCTTTTCGTACCTTCACCATAACTTTTGAACCATAGGAAATAGAGACTTCATATTTGGTATGCAAACTCCACTAATTTAGTTCTTTCAAATGGCACCAAGATCAATGACTGTGGCCTTGACTGTGACCTATATGCTAAAAATAGCCTTTATGAACCTTCGACACAACTTTTGAACCATAGGAGATAAAGACTGCATATTTGGTATGCAAACTCCACTAATTGAAGTCTTTTAAATGGCACCAAAAAAGAATTAGATCAATAAGCTTTTTGTACTAATTTGTTATTTCACATAAATAGCTAAGTCAAAGCATTTATTTAATTTTTTAGCCAGCCCTCCTTCAGATACAAGTGATTATGTAATAGTCGAGCCACAGTATCCCACAAGTAAGTAATTACTTCCTAATCCAGTCAACCTACCTAACAAGTAAGTAATTACTTCCTAATCCAGTGAAACTACCTAACAAGTAAGTAATTACACCATAATCAGTGTAAAAATACCTCTAGCTACAAACGATAAATAAACCCTCAATGAAATGAGAAGATCATTAATTATTTTTACTCCTAAGTAATAGATAGAAGTACATGACAACCTTCTTAATGTAGGTGCTGAACATGCGTTAAAAAATGGAGCCCAATGGTTAAAAGACAATCAGATGACTGCGATGGGATGGCGGGATCAACAGAATGCGGACGCTACCTTAGCTCTCACACTGGGCCGAATGTCCATGTATCACCCCGGTAACTGCGACTTCAACATCATGTCCAAGAGTCTGGAGTATGATCTCCTATCTGCTCTTATGAGGTATAATTAGTTACATTTATTTGACTGATAGTTTTTTTAAACTAAGTATCATAATTATCATTTTTAAATCTCTTAAAAGATGCATTTCATTTCTAGGAACCCAGCACTTGATGACATCACATGGGGACGCTCGCTGCTGGCAAAATATGTCATGGCACTGAGAGCAGCCTGCATAGATCCCAAAGATTTCCATGGATACAATTTGATAAGGATTTTAGATGAGCAGTTTAAAAAATTTAACAATTTCTATATGAATCGTCGTGGGGCTACAGCCATGATAGCTTTGGCTAAGTGCGTGTCTGAGGAAGAACAAAATAGTACCCAAATCGGCATTCTTCAGAAAAATGATGCATTCACATCAGTGGGTAAGTAAGAAAATCATCATAAAACCAGAAGTCTCTGTCGAAACTGTAGCTCTACTGGTTTGTACTTATAACAAAGGATGAGAAAAGAAGCCTTTGCCATCAGACCAAAACTGTAGAAGGAGTAGCGTTTTAAAGGAACTTCACAGACAGTAACAATGGCAACACTGTTCATTGAAATCAAAAAAACGATTCACTATTTTATGTATCTTAGTGTAGTCTACTTGTGTGCCAAGTTATATCGAAATCAGACCAAAATTGTAGGAGTAGCGTTTTAAAGAAATTTCAGAGAAAATTCTAGTTTTAGTAACCATGGCAACACTATTCATCGAAATCAAAAACAAATGCACAATTCTATGTATCTTGGTGTAGTCTACTTGTGTGCCCAGTTATATTGAAATCAGACCAAAACTGTAGAAGGAGTAGTGTTTTAAAGGAATATCACAGAAAATTCTATTTTTAGTAACCATGACAACACCGTTCATCAAAATCAAAAACCGATGCCCTATTTTATGTATCTTTGTGTAGTCTGTTTGTGTGCAAAGTGATATTACAATCACACCAAAACTGTAGAAGGAGTAGCGTTTTAAAGTAATTTCACAGAAAATTCTATTTTTAGTAACCATGGCAACAGCGTTCATCAAAATCCAAAACTGATTCACTATTTTATGTATCTTAGTGTAGTTTACTTGTGTGCCAAGTAATATTGAAATCAGATCAAAACTGTAGAAGGAGTAGCGTTTTAAAGGAATTTCACAGAAAATTCTATTTTAAGTAATCATGGCAACACCGTTCATCAAAATCAAAAACCAATGCACTATTTTATGTATCTTAGAGCAGTCTATTTGTGTGCCAAGTTATATCGAAATCAGACCAAGGAGTAGTGTTTTAAAGGAATTTCACAGAAAATTCTATTTTTAGTAAGCATTGCAACACCGTTCATCAAAATCAAAAACCGATGCACTATTTTATGTATCTTAGAGCAGTCTATTTGTGTGCCAAGTTATATCGAAATCAGACCAAAATTGTCAGAGGAGTAGTGTTTTAAAGGAATTTCACAGAAAATTCTATTTTTAGTAAGCATGGCAACACCGTTCATCAAAATCAAAAACCGATGCACTATTTTATGTATCTTAGAGCAGTCTATTTGTGTGCCAAGTTATATTAAAATCAGACCAAAACTGTAGGAGGAGTAGCATTTTGAAAAATTGTTTACAGACGATGGACAGACAGACAGACAGACAGACAGACGGACGGACAACGGACACCTTACTATCGCATAAGCTCTTCTGGTCTCTGACCAGTAGAGCTAAAAACTAAATAACATGAAAAAAAAACCACAAGGAAGAGTTAACCTGTTATTAGAGGGATTTGCCATTCCCTCATACTCCAAAAAATTCATGACAAGCTAAATACATTACTATGTCTTTCTGTTCAGTTTACACTCTTGTTCTCGCCTACAGATGAAGCCAGCTTGGTTCTCTTGGCATTATCCTGTGTAAACCATTCCATGTACTACTCCACGATTTACAAGGCCGAGGAATATCTGATGACACAGTTTGTTAACGGAAGCTTTGGCAACACCTACAAAACTGGTCTTGCTATTCAGGTGGGTCAGGGAAAAAAATTCGAAAGCTTTGATGTCTTATTTTTGGTACATGATTTTTTTATCAATTTTCATGGTGAAAAGGAGAGGATATGATTTTTAACTATGAATAATATTTTGATTTTCTGCGATTGACACAGGCTTTGACCCGATCCAACAGAACAGATGCAAACAAAACCATAGAAGAAGGAGTACTATATTTGGCCACGGAGATACAAAGTAAACACAGATGCATTTTATTTTAAAGACTGGACAAATATTAGAAAAAATTGACTTGTTTTCCTTCAAAACAACTTAATTCAAATTGTATTGTTGTTGATAATGACTGGGTCTAACTATATTTAGGTAAGAGGAGCGGGAGACTGCTTGACTTGGGTGAAGCATCCCATATATTACCAGCCCTGGCCAAAATGTCCTATGTAGACATCAAAGGAAAATGTACAGAGCTAAGTATGTACATCCAGTATTTGATGAACTTCAGAAAAGCTAACTCAATCTATCATAACAATCCCTAGTAATGAAAAAAAAATTTATCATCAAATTGAATAATCCAAGAAATTTTTAATATGGTAAACCATCTATTATTCTCATCATCTCTTAATCACGATTCCTCGGTTTAAAATCAATCTGCAACAATTAATTTTCGTGAGTGATGAAAAATTCTCTACAAATACTAAGTAAAATGGCTGGTTGTATTATGTATTAATATTCGTGAGTTAAAGTAGGTTGTAGAACTCACAAAGTTTTCTTGCGCACAAACAAAAGTTAGTTTACTGTATAAGAATATACATTCATAACAAAGAAATGTTGACCATCACTGTATGTTTGCACTTGCATGTTCAGTTGAATGCATAGGGGTTTTATATTCCTTCAGGCCTTTCGATAGTTCTACCATTTTTAAAAATTTCATGTTGTTAATCTTTTACAGAAAAACCTGGATCCTCAGATATGACTGTAAATGTCACAATTCAGGTGGACGGCAATGCTATAAATAGCAGCGTACAGCACACTTTCCCAGCAGTGACCATTGACAAGGGTCAGTCTCTATATGCTGTCCTCGTTAAACTCCGAGATAGCAGCAGCTTCACGTAAGTGTTTTACTTATATGTAAATTATTTTGAAATATGAAAAGATTTCAAAAATTGAATTATTGCCAATCTTTAGTCAAAATTATTATCTTCTGCATTTTGCTACTAAGTTAGACTAGATAAGAGTGTAAAAATCACAGCCTATTGTGAGAGAAGAAATCAAAATTACTGAAACATGTGTTAAACCAGGATAAAAATTTTGGCACATTGTAAATGTTACATGTATGCATATGTATGTAAAACCTTAAAATCAATTTTATTCATGGTGAATTTTCTTATTTCAGATTTAAAGGTGTACGGACATCATTTGGCTACATTTTAACTGAAGTCATGAATCTGGCCATAGACGGGAATTCTCTCCAGCACTGGAATGTATACCTCAGTGGAAATCCTAATCAACAGGGCATGTGTAAGTATTGTAGAGAATTATGAATTTTTTGATGACTTAAATATTGGAAGAGCATCCACACTCCATATGCTCATAAGATTAGAGAGTCACAATTTTACTGAAAAATTTACAATAAATTTTCAGATAATCTAGAGAACTTAATTTTTGTGGCACCTTATATTTGAAAGATATTCTTTTTGGTATCTACAGTGTATAAGCAAAACAAATGTTCAGAAAGTTGGGCTCTATATAATCTTTAATAGTAAAATTATATGAGAGAATTTTTGCACATAGATGGTCAAGGGTTGTTACGCAAAAATAAAGTTACCATGAGTCTAAATAACATAAATCTAAAACTTGAATGGATATTTGTATAATTTTATGAATATGTATTCCTACAAATATTAGAGTGTTCATTTTTTGGCAAATTCTTAATTGTATTATCCATAGTATATTCTATTCTTAATGAGAAAATAATGTCTTTTTTTTATTTTTCAGATTTGGATAAGATTATACCTGAAAATGGGTCTCAGTACATTTTGAAAGCAGAGGCTTAAATGGACATCTTTCAGGGTTCAAAAGTTACTAAAGCATTTCATCTACTGCACAGTTTCCAACCATGCCTACATTTAAATCTTATAACTTGTAAAGGCATTGGGCAGCACAAAGTGATAGCGGTTAATTCATGTTTATCAAGGATTTCTGTTTTCCCATATTGTAAACTAAACTTAAACCCGTGAGACTATGTTTATAATGTGTACTGACTCATTTTTAAATATTCATACAACTTACAATCCTTTTTTATGTTTTTTTACATGTATATGTGATATTCAAATGACACATTTTATCAAACAGTTATATTTTATATTTACATTTATTTTAACAAGATTTATGTTTGTTGTATTTTTGTGAGCCTCGGATGTATATTAAGGAACCCCGTTATGCATGTATTCAATATAGGCTAGAATTTTATCCTTGATATACATGTATATGTGTTTTCTCTCATTCATTTTCATGCATCAATTAAAGTGTTTCATATATATCTCTATAAGGAATCAATACAACAGAATAAAGTTTCAATTTCTGATAAGCCAGCAACTGTTTTGATTTACAAGATCTAAATTACTGTTGTTTTTCATGCCCTATGAAAAGCATTACATTATGCCAAGAATTTCCTAAACAAGAGGCCCATGGGCCACATCGCTCACCTGAGAAGCTTTGACCATTCTGTTCTTTACCAGATTTCCCCCTTGTTATACATAATGCATCCCCACCCTACCCCACTGATCATAATTTAGACATTTTGAAATCTAAACTACCCCATGATCCTTCCATGGGCACATATGTTTCAGCTTTTTTGGCCCAGTGGTTCCTGAGAAGAAGATTTTCAAAGATTTTTCCTATATATTTCTATGTAAAACTTCGATTCCCTATAATGGCCCCGCCCTTCCCCCGGCGGTCATGATTCCTACAATTTAGAATTTACACTACCCCAGAATGCTTCCACATAAGCTTCACTTTTTCTGGCCCAGTGGTTCTTGAGAAGAAGATTTTCAAAGATTTTTCCTATATATTTCTATATAAAACTTTGATTCCCCATTGTGACCCCGCCCTTCCCCCGGGGGTCATAATTTGAACAATTTAGAATCTACATTATACCAGGATGCTTCCACATAAGTTTCAGCTTTTCTGGCCCAGTGGTTCTTGAGAAGAAGATATTCAAAGATTTTTCCTATATATTTCTATGTAAAACTTTGATTCCCCATTGTGGCCCCGCCCTTCCCCTGGGGGTCATGATGTGAACAATTTAGAATCTACACTATACCAGGATGCTTCCACATAAGTTTCAGCTTTTCTGGCCCAGTGGTTCTTGAGAAGAAGATTTTCAAAGATTTTTCCTTTATATTTCTATATAAAACTTTGATTCCCCATTGTGGCCCCGCCCTTCTTCCGGGGGCCATGATTTGAACAATTTAGAATCTACACTACCCCACAATGCTTCCACATCAGTTTCAGCTTTACTGGCCCAGTGGTTCTTGAGAAGAAGATTTTTAAATGACCCAACCCTATTTTTGTCTTTTCTTGATTATCTCCCCTTGCAAGGGGATATGTCCCTTCATTTTAACAATTTAAATTCCCCTTCACCCAAGAATGCTTTGTACCAAGTTTGGTCAAAATTGGCCCAGTAGTTCTTGAGAAGAAGTCGAAAATGTGAAAAGTTTACAGACGGACAGACAGACGGACAGACAGACGGACGGACAGACAGACAGACGGACGGACGACGGACAAAATGTGATCAGAAAAGCTCACTTGAGCCTTCGGCTCAGGTGAGCTAAAAATGACAAAATTTTTTGATTAATTGAATAAACATAAAACCAATTTATTCAACAAATTGGTATCAAGCATAAATCAACAATTATATTTATCAACAGGCACCAAAATTGCATCTATAAAGATTCAATATTGCATATTCTTGATCAATTCACTAGCACTGTTTATATGGGAAGTTGTGGGACATTAATACTGTAACTATATAACACCTGGTACAATACAGTTCCTTGGCTGAACACTTCCATTAATAGCTGTACTGGTACCAAGTTTGCCATTAGTTAGGACACTATACGACTCCTCAGGTACTCTAGTAAAGCCAGAGTTCCCTTGGCCAGGATCGCAGGACGGGGATTTCTAAAGGCATTCCCACTAAGCAACAGCGACCTGTAAAGAACAAGGTTCACTTAGCAATTTTTTGGGGCCCTGTAAAATTGCTGAATTTGTTTGAAAATGTTAAATTTCACTTTGATCCTCCCTTGGTGACTGCATTTCAAATTTTTTTTAAAAAGTAGTCATTTTCTAATCCACGAAATTTGTTTTGATTGTGAAGTGGTGTCGGACAATTACTCAAAATTATTCAAAAATAATTTCTTATAAATGAAGTGGGAACTTATTTCCCCTAAAATAGGATATCCTTAAAGTGTATCCCTTTTTAATACATGTACATGTATTTGTGTTATTTATTCAGTCTTACAAGTACATTTAAATACTGTAGAAGTACTTTTTTCCAGGTGGTATTAATTTATGCTATGTACACGGTCACAAATTTTCCGCGGAAATTTGTCCCATCGAACTTAATATAAGGCATATATAGAGAGTCTTAAGATATCCGCTTAATTTTCTACCAGCGGATTGAAAAGAAACAGAGATTCCGTGCAATTATGACCCCATGGAAAAAAAGTACGTATACAGTACTTTAATCTAAGCTTCAATAAGTTTAAGGTTTCAAATCATTACATCTTCCACTGACAGTAGTGCAATGGCTTTAAGTTGGTGTACATACAGTGTTTACTTACTTGGTTTGTGTACAGTTGCCCAGTTCTGGGGGCACCTGTTCGATGTTATTGTTCTGTAGATCTAAGGTGGTCGGTGTACATACATTATGGGTACCGTACTTACTTGATTTGTGTACAGTTGCCCAATTCTGGGGGCACCAGCTCGATGTTATTGTTCTGTAGATCTAAGGTGGCCAGCATGGGTAGACCTCTGATCCCTGCAGCATCTATTGTGGTTATCTTGTTATTGTCAGCGAATATTATCTCTAGCTTCTTCAGTTCATACAATGGTGGGGGTAGGGTGGTAAGCCTACAGAAACATTACATCTGTTATTGTTAGCAAATAATATCTCTAGCTTCTTCAATTCATACAGTGGTGGGGGGGGGGGCTGTATATTTTCTGTATCAGATGCCTGAGGATATTGATAGAAAACAGAATTACCAATTTTATCACTTCAGTATTTTAATCATTTATATTATACTTGAACGGCAATTTATTTTTCTTGTTATTTAGATAATAGATAATGGGTGAAAAGGCACTGAAAAAATTATTGTGGTTGGTGGGGGTAACCAGAATCAGCCTTAATTAATTCTGGAAAAGCCCATTAATAGGTCAAATGGTGTGATTTGCATACATTACCTATTACAAGACAGTACAATTTCTCTCAGTTCCTGGAGGGACTCCACGTCTTTTGGTAAGTCAGACAGCATGTTGTTCCTGTAAAGTAGTAATTAAAAGTTACGACTGATTTCACAGTTATTTCATCCATATGAAAGTGGTGATAATCCTGGGCATTTACCATACCTGAGATCCAGAGTAGTTAGCTTGAGGAACAATCCAATGTCCGGGTTCAGAGCTGTTAACTTGTTAAACCCAAAATAAAACTCCTTCAGGGTCGACTCCAGTAGTATCAAGCTGTAAAATAATTACACATTAAGCTTATGCCATATGTCAAGTTTATTTTCGAAGATGATTTGATATTTCAGATGCATGAAGGACTTTGTCAACACATGAATGTGTTACCAATGGGGTATGTGTACATGCTTATAAATATATTTGGTTTGCATGTTTATAAAGAAAAAATCAGGTACTATGCATAGGTAATATCTTTCACTTTATAACCATTGCCTGCTGAAATGAAAGTCTCTAGCGGAACGACTTTATCGGTACCCAGAAACAAGAGGCCCATGGGCCACAACGCTCACCTGAGAAGCTTTGACCATTCTGTTCTTTACCAGATTCCCCCCTTGTTATACATAATGCATCCCCACCCTACCCCACTGATCATAATTTAGACATTTTGAAATCTACACTACCCCATGAACTTTCCATGGGCACATATGTTTCAGCTTTTTTGGCCAAGTGGTTCCTGAGAAGAAGATTTTCAAAGATTTTTCCTATATATTTCTATGTAAAACTTTGCTTCCCTATAATGGCCCCACCCTTCCCCCGGGGGTCATGATTCCTACAATTTAGAATTTACACTACCCAAGAATGCTTCCACATAAGCTTCACTTTTTCTGGCCCAGTGGTTCTTGAGAAGAAGATTTTCAAAGATTTTTCCTATATATTTCTATATAAAACTTTGATTCCCCATTGTGGCCCCACCCTTCCCCCGGGGGTCATTATTTTAACAATTTAGAATCTACATTATACCAGGATGCTTCCACATAAGTTTCAGCTTTACTGGCCCAGTGGTTTTTGAGAAGAAGATTTTCAAAGATTTTTCCTATATATTTCTACGTAAAACTTTGATTCCCCATTGTGGCCCCACCCTTCCCCCGGGGGTCATGATTTGAACAATTTAGAATCTACACTATACCAGGATGCTTCCACATAAGTTTCAGCTTTACTGGCCCAGTGGTTCTTGAGAAGAAGATTTTCAAAGATTTTTCCTATATATTTCTATATAAAACTTTGATTCCCCATTGTGGCCCCACCCTTCCCCCGGGGGTCATTATTTTAACAATTTAGAATCTACATTATACCAGGATGCTTCCACATAAGTTTCAGCTTTACTGGCCCAGTGGTTCTTGAGAAGAAGATTTTCAAAGATTTTTCCTATATATTTCTATATAAAACTTTGATTCCCCATTGTGGCCCCGCCCTTCCCCCGGGGGTCATGATTTGAACAATCTACATTATACCAGGATGCTTCCACATAAGTTTCAGCTTTTCTGGCCCAGTGGTTCTTGAGAAGAAGATTTTCAAAGATTTTTCCTATATATTTCTATGTAAAACTTTGATTCCCCATTTGGCCCCGCCCTTCCCCCAGGGGTCACGATGTGAACAATTTAGAATCTACACTATACCAGGATGCTTCCACATAAGTTTCAGCTTTTCTGGCCCAGTGGTTCTTGAGAAGAAGATTTTCAAAGATTTTTCCTATATCTTTCTATATAAAACTTTGATTCCCCATTGTGGCCCTGCCCTTCCCCCGGGGGTCATGATTTGAACAATTTAAAATCTACACTACCCCAGGATGCTTCCACATAAGTTTCAGCTTTACTGGCCCAGTGGTTCTTGAAAAAAAGATTTTTTAATGACCCAACCCTATTTTTGTCTTTTCTTGATTATCTCCCCTTGCGAGGGGATATGTCCCTTCATTTTAACAATTTAGATTCCCCTTCACCCAAGGATGCTTTGTACCAAGTTTGGTCAAAACTGGCTCAGTGGTTCTTGAGAAGAAGTCGAAAATGTGAAAAGTTTACAGACGGACAGACAGACAGACGGACGGACGACGGACAAAATGTGATCAGAAAAGCTCACTTGAGCCTTCGGCTCAGGTGAGCTAAAAAGCGCTAAAATGTAGTGTCACTGAAGGCGACTTCAGTATATAAGAGATCGCGTGAGGTTTTATGGCCTTTTGACCCCAAAATCGAATTCTACTGTTAAAAGTTTACCAGTAGTTAGAAACTTTGTTTTAAACGTAGTTTTTAACCTCATTCTCTGAAAAAATTAATAAATATTGTTTATTCATGGACAAAATCGACAAAGAATAATTCTGATTGAAGCGCCTGCGGCGCATACTTAGTGCCATTTCTTTCGGACTTAGCCATTCTTCCTTGAAAACAAATGAACAAAATGCCTGTGAAGTTGAATTATGATGTTGGAAAAAATACAGAAACAACTGAAATTCTTAACTTTTCTAAAAGAACGAGTCACTAACCTTAATCCATCGGATGGTATGCAAGGACTAAGACATTTCGATGAAATCTCCCGGGCAGATGCTAGACTAACCCTAATAAGTCGAATAACGTGCGAGGACTAACCCTTATCTCTCGGATGGATGCGAGACTAACCCTAATCAGTCGAATACTAGTGCAAGGACTAACCCTAATCTCCCAGGTGGGTGCAAGACTAACCCTAATCAGTGGAATAGTGTGCAAATTTAACCCAATTCAGTTGAGTGACGTAGTTGTTACGTCATAGTCCAATGAGCGCGAGGATCTTGCGTATCTGGGGACCGGTAAAGTAAAGTCTACCTTCTCTAGCTTGGATCAGATTCGAATTAATACCTGATCAATGGCAAGAATGGACAGATCTCCTCCCCCTGCAAAGTACAGAACAAAATAATATGATCCCAGGGTATACTAACTTTGTCGGGAGATCTGTAAACTGGTTCTTGCTCAGGTTTACACTGGTTACCCCTGACTTCATCGCCACCTCCCATACATCATTTGGTACAGAGTCGACTTTCTTATTACTGAAATAGACAGGTTTACATTGCTATAGAAACACATCATTTGGTACAGAGTCTGCTTTCTTGTTACTGAAATAGACAGGTTTACATTGCTATAGAAACACATCATTTGGTACAGAGTCTGCTTTCTTATTACTGAAATAGACAGGTTTACATTGCTATAGAAACACATCATTTGGTACAAAGTCTGCTTTCTTATTACTGAAATAGACAGGTTTACATTGCTATAGATTGTTGAAACACATCATTTGATACAGAGTCTGCTTTCTTGTTACTGAAATAGACAGGTTTACACTGCTATAGAAACACATCACTTGGTACAGAGTCTGCTTTCTTGTTACTGAAATAGACAGGTTTACATTGCTATAGAAACACATCATTTGGTACAGAGTCTGCTTTCTTGTTATTGAAATAGACAGGTTTACACTGCTATAGAAACACATCATTTGGAACAGAGTCTGCTTTCTTGTTACTGAAATAGACAGGTTTACATTGCTATAGAAACACATCATTTGGAACAGAGTCTGCTTTCTTGTTACTGAAATAGACAGGTTTACATTGCTATAGAAACACATCATTTGGTACAGAGTCCGCTTTCTTGTTACTGAAATAGACAGGTTTACATTGCTATAGAAACACATCATTTGGTACAGAGTCTGCTTTCTTGTTACTGAAATAGACAGGTTTACACTACTACTGAAAGCATCAATATTATCATTTCAGGATGATATTTTCTCAGAATGTAATGAATAATTGCTTTACTTGTCTTGCAAACAATTCAATTTTTTCCAATGTTTTTGTGATTGCATTTTATGCAACTGTAAATATTAAACAAGAGGCCCCACCCTACCTCCGGGGGTCATGATTTGAACAAACTTGAATCTACACTACCTGAGGATGCTTCCATATAAATATGAGCAATTATGGCTTTGTCATTCTTGAGAAGAAGATTTTTAAAGAATTTTCCTATATATTTTTATGTAAAACTTTGGTTGGCCATTGAGGCCCCACCCTACCCCCTGGGGTCATGATTTGAACAAACTTGAATCTACACTACCTGAGGATGCTTCCATACAAATATGAGCAATTATGGCTTTGTCATTCTTGAGAAGATGATTTTTAAAGAATTTTCCTATATATTTCTATGTAAAACTTTGGTTGGCCATTGTGGCCCAGCCCTACCCCGGGGGGTCATGATTTGAACAAACTTGAATCTACACTACCTGAGGATGCTTCCATATAAATATGATCAATTATGGCCTTGCTATTCTAGAGAAGAAGATTTTTAAAGAATTTTCCTATATATTTCATGTAAAACTTTGGTTGGCCATTGTGGCCCCGCCCTACCCCCGGGGTCATGATTTGAAGAAACTTGAATCTACACTACCTGAGGATGCTTCCATGTAAATATGAGCAATTATGGCTTTGTCATTCTTGAGAAGAAGATATTTAAAGAATTTTCCTATATATTTCTATGTAAAACTTTTGTCGGCCATTGTGGCCCCGTCCTACCCCCGGGTGTCATGATTTGAACAAATTTGAATCTACACTACCTGAGGATGCTTCCACATGAGTTTCATCTTTACTGGCTCAGTGGTTCTGGAGAAGAAGATTTTTAAAAGATACCATTAGTTTTTCATTTATTCATAATTATCTCCCCTTGGAAGAGGGCTTGGCCCTTCATTTAAACAAACTTGAATCCCCTTCACCCAAGGATGCTTTGTGGCAAGTTTCATTAAAATTGGCCCAGTGGTTCTTGAGAAGAAGTCGAAAATGTGAAAAGTTTACAGACAGACGGACGGACAGACTACAGACAAAATGTGATCAGAAAAGCTCACTTGAGCTTTCAGCTCAGGTGAGCTAAAAATATATATATACAATATATAATTCGGTGCAAGCTTGTTTATTGAACATCAACTGTTGACTATGTAAAAGACTTTTTCCCTATTAACCTGGAATGAAGCAGTTAGAATTTTTTGTTACTATCATCACCTGTAGTCCAGGGCTTTAGACTGCAGGATGTCGTGAGCTTTCAGGCCCTCCCCTGACCCCCCGACAATCCCCGTGTCCCCCCCATTCTGGATCCCCTTGTTGGTGGCTACCACCGGTTCTGGTTCCTCTATTCTGCTACACAGGTATTTCTTCAACTCAACTGTTCCTCTCTGTAAAGCACAGCAAAGAAATGATAAAATATCAAGTATTAAGACTACTGAGCAAAGCCAAATAGAGACATATTTTGATTTGATTAAAACTAAGGTTGTCAGTAAGTAACAAGTTACTAGAGTTCTTGTTAAAAGATCTGAGTATCGATTATTAAAATCACTATTCAAGTATTTGGAAAAAATAAAACCATTGTAAATATTTTTTGTATTCATCAACAAATTGACTTAAATAACATTTTTTTAAAACTATAAATTCATCAATTTGACATCCCTAATTTAAAAAGAAAGTACCCCAGGTTCTTAGTAAATGAAAAAGTACCTGTATAATATCTCTTCTGATTGACTTCATGGGGTTTCCATCTAAAACAATAGATTTCAGGGACTGGATTGTTCCCAGGACAAATGGTAGCCTGCAATATACATACAGATGTTAACATCACAAAACATGCAAAAGATTCTTCTTACCCATTCTATGGATTGTACAGAACAACATGCAGATATGCCCAAAATGGGACTAATACCTCACACTGTAGTTTGTACAGAACATATGTTTTACTTCTAAAGTACTGTAAACCAACAATGTCAATATTAAAACAGTTTGTTATAAACAAAATTCATTATGTCTGATCAGAATTCCATTATTCTACCCTCAATGAGGAGCCAATTCAGAATAAATTCACAAAAGTCTGTGAACGTGAGTCTGTTATAAGCAAGCTTTACTGTGATCAGTATTCTACAAAATGATATGAAATGTGGTGTCAGCCCTGACCCTGTAAGGTCGTTGTTTGTGAGGTCCAATCGTTGTAGTCCACTCAGACACGTGATTTCCTCCGGGAGCTCGGAGATTTTGTTGTCTCTGATGTCCAGTACTGACACTGACGCCAGGTGCTGCAGGTGCTCTGATGTAATACTGCTCATCTGATTGTTACCCAGGTGAAGTTCCTGTCAGAATTAAGTCCACCATCAATGTTTCTTTCCAATCTCATTAACATTTAATGTACGATTAGGGTACCATTATACAAAGTTATACTTACAATTTTATTTTTGAATTTAACCTGCTATGTTCAGTAACTCATATAACAGTGTCTGTACAACTCTTTTTTTAAAATCAGCCAAAGCTTCCTTGATAACTTAATACAGTAAAACACGTTTAGTACGAACACGGATATAGCGAATTCACGGATATAACGAAGTTTTTCTGGGTACCCGGCAAAATTCTTAACAAATCTGTGTAAAATTTTACGGTTATAACGAACTCTGATGTAACGAATTTACGGATAAAGCGAACTAATTTTGAGTCCCGTTGAGGTTAAATATAATGAATTTTACATCTTTTATAAGGAACTTTCAAAGATCTCAAAATTTGATAAATTGAACTGACTTTATTTTCTTTCAGCATTTGTATATAAAATTCAATTCATAATAAAACCTTAGTTATCGAAGGTATGTTTTGTAATATTTGCTTCCCTAACATATTTGATAGTAACACTTGAAGGAAAACATGCATATTGTGAATTCGCTATATATGGTTATACGAATTCGTTATACGGATATAACGAATTACGGATATGACGAATGAAATTCACAGGTCCCCAGGACTTCGCTATAACCGAGTTTTACTGTACTAGTATTTAGGATTGAGCAATCTTGTGATGGCACACTAATGTAAGGTTCTTCATTATAAACATTGGTTTTCATCTCTAGTTTTCTTTATCTTGAGGTTTTTACAGTTCCTGATGAGGGGTATCCCTGACAGTCTGTTATGGTGGTAGATACATTTACCTTGAGGTTTTTACAGTTCTGTAGGAGTGGTATCTCAGACAGTCTGTTATGGTGGTAGATACATTTACATTGAGATTTTTACAGTTCTGTAGGAGTGGTATCCCTGACAGTCTGTTATGGTGGTAGATACATTTACCTTGAGGTTTTTACAGTTCTGTAGGAGGGGTATCCCTGACAGTCTGTTATGGTGGTAGATACATTTACCTTGAGATTTTTACAGTTCTGTAGGAGGGGTATCCCTGACAGCCTGTTAAGGTGGTAGATACATTTAGTTACTTTGAAGTTTTTACAGTTCTGTAGGAGGGGTATCCCTGACAGACTGTTAAGGTGGTAGATACATTTAGTTACTTTGAAGTTTTTACAGTTCTGTAGGAGGGGTATCCCTGACAGCCTGTTATGGTGGTAGATACATTTACCTTGAGGTTTTTACAGTTCTGTAGGAGGGGTATCCCTGACAGTCTGTTATGGTGGTAGATACATTTACCTTGAGGTTTATACAATTCTGTAGGAGTGGTATCCCTGACAGTCTGTTATGGTGGTAGATACATTTACCTTGAGGTTTTTACAGTTCTGTAGGAAGAGTATCCTTGACAGTCTGTTATGGTGGTAGATACATTTACCTAGAGGTTATTACAGTTCTGTAGGAGTGTATCCCTGACAGTCTGTTATGGTGGTAGATACATTTACCTGAGGTTTTTTTAGTTCTGTAGGAGTGGTATCTATGACAGTCTGTTATGGTGGTAGATACATTTACCTTGAGGTTTTTACAGTTCCTGAGGAGTGGTATTGCTGACAGCCTGTTGTGTCGTAGATACAGCTCCTCAAGGTGTAGCAAGTTCCCCAAATCTCCAGGGAGGTGTGTTAACTGGTTATGTGTGGCATCTAGGCATTTTAGAGCTGGTGAAAATAATCATTCTCATATAAATGTCTCTATCCTACAACACTGACTATATTTTGTGTGTCATGGGTTAATCAAGCAAAATTTTTACCAAGGTTAAAGAGTCAAAAACATACACTTGTAACTAATGACATGCAACCATTAATACAGCCTAGTTCTGTGGGCAAGCTGTACTTTTATATGATCATATGACTTAGATATTTACTAGCGTACCATTCATAGAACCTAGTTCTGGTGCAGGCTGCTAAGTTTGTCATTGGGTACTTTTATATGATCACATGACTTAGATATTTATTAACATACCATTCATAGAACCTAGTTCTGGTGGAAGGCTGCTAAGTTTGTTATTGGATACATTTAATTTGATCACATGAGTTAGATATCCAATCTGGGGTGGTAGATCTGAAAGCTGATTGTTGCTCAGGTCCTAGAAAAAAAAAATTATAAACAGTAGCTACATCTCACCTCTTATCTAACTCTGACAAACGAACACAAAATACTGCATCTGAAAATTGTACTTAATGAAATTGATCAGTCTTCATTTTTTATTAAGTTTAAATTTTATCCCTGTGTGTTAACAATATATCTTATGTATTACTAATTTATACCAACTGTGATTTTTTCCTGCAAGTACTTATCTAGAAGGGCATTAACATCCTCTTTTGTAAAATTAAAACTGTATGTCTGTCAGAGATGTATGTGTCTTGACAAAATCAAGCTATGTACTAAGTATGAGGTTCCAGTGATCCTCAATTAAAATGTCAAAGTTTTAGCATGGCAACAATTTATACTTTTTCTGACTGTGACCTTGAATTTGTCAGAATGACCTTGGGTCAAGTTCAAGACACAATACTGGGTTGAAAGCAGTCACTGTACCAAGTATGAGCTTCCAGTGATTCTTCTTTACAAAGTTAAGAAAGATAATGAGGAAGGTTGTATTTTGAGTAGTTAAGTTCAGCAAACATGGCTGCAATGGCAGTGTAACTGAATTTTTCCTGTACATAGACAGGTACACAATCAGGTGACCTAGTTACTCAGGTGACCTAGTTACTCACCAGATCTTCCAGTTTATCCAGATTTCCGATCCTCTCACTGATACTGGTCACCTCGTTGTATTCCACATGTAAGCTCTTTAAGTTCCGTAGGTAGGTCACACTTTCTGGTAACTCCTTTAGTTTGTTTCGACTGAAAAAAATTCTTGTCAAGTTCATATCATTGAATTCCCTGTATATGTAATACAAAAAAAAAATAATTATCGTTCCATCCGCATCCTAAAGCTACACTCCAAAAGCATATTACATTTTTGATTTTTTAACATACATTTATTTATTTTGAGTAAAACTTAAACAAATAATCTAAAGAGAGATAGTACAATGGACTTAAATACATAAGAGACAACTTTTCCCACAATATTTGTTTATTTTTGTATTGCGATATTGTAAATTTATCTTAATACTCTCTTTTTCTGCATGCGTGTACATGTATTTTAATAAAATACACACATAAATAAAAAAATAAAATGTCCTAGAATTTTATTCTGTGTGTAGTGAGGATTTTTTTATCATAACACGTACAACTACTTTGACACAGGATCTTGTTTTATAAGGTCTCAACCAAGAGACATGAGACTTTCACTTCTATTTATGCTGTGTGCTTGGTGAAGGAATAGACACTAACCTACATGTAAGTTAAAAACTCCCTGGGTTTGAGGTGCTGCTGGTGATCAGAATATGACTTCTTGATCAAAACTGAGCTCGTTAGGCCAGATAAAGTTAATCTTTAGATTCTCATCCTAATTTGCTAAGACATTGGGGCGGGTGGGCGGATTTTATTTTCTATTTTTTAAAATTGAAAAAAATCAAGAAAATATGGACTTTTCGTACACAATTTTTCCTTATGTTAATGCCTAATACAAATAGATTTGTATAACTTTTCATAGGCCTTTCCCCCAAATACTTTGTAGTTTCGCCAACAAATCCTTCTGTTTAGAAATTTGTGTAAAATACAGTAAAACTCGGTTATAACGAAGTCACTGGGACCTGTGAAATTACTTGCTATAACCGTAATTCGTTATATCCGTATAAGAAATTCCTTAAAATTATTTAGTTGGGGATCCAAAATGACTTCGCTATATCCGTGAATTCGCAATATCCGTGTTCGTACTAAACGAGTTTTACTGTATCACAGATTTCCACCTTTCTCAAAAATTCGATTGTTCTCGGAACTTTACATGTTTGACATTGAAGTAGGTCATATTTGCAAAATCTATAAAATATGCTACTGAAAAGCCTAGGCTTGAACAGTTTTAATATTTAACATTTTCTTAACAATATTATTCTCTAAATTCTGCCAACGATGTTTAATTTAAATATATTTCTTTTATACAAAATCACATACAGTGCAGATCGTTAAAACTTGACCAGGTGCATTTCCCTCATCAATTATTTTTACCTAGTAGTTTAAAGTCTCTTCAAAACCTTGCTTATCAAGATGTGTTTATGCTATTTTTTCTTCTCTGCCTTCTCTATGCTGACAAATTATCTTTTCCTTTCATATCTAAACTGCTTTTATTTCCAATTTCTCTCCATTCTTTAAGGGGGCCGACTATAGTTTCCATTGCGCAATATTTCGTGCATCATAGTAAAATGAAGTGTATTTACTGTTTTAATGCAACTTTTTTCACTTAATTATTAAAATTAAACAAAATTAAGAAATTATAGGTATAAAAATGTAATTACAATTTGATATAACTGATTTTTTAACCAATTTTGCAATTGATAGGTAGGTTGACGTCGTTGCAGTGTGTTTTTGACGTTCTGATATCTGTAACTCTTAAAGAAAGGGGTAATAAAAATATTATTACAGAAAAAGTAATAAACATACGCTCTTGAAATTTAAAACATAGAAAATTGAGAATATCTCCAATATTTTTATTATGTTTTCATGTGAATCCATTGTGTACATCATATATTGTAATACGCCATAAAAATAGTAAAATTTGCTAATTTTTTGCATTTTGAGATGCCCCCTCTGGTAACAAGACGGTAGAATTTTGTGTTTCTTACATATATTGTATAATATAGTATTACTCATCAAATATTATAGTTTGAACAAAATGTCTATTGTAGTATTTGTATAATTTGCTTTAAAGTGCTAAAAATTGGCATTTTCCTATATAATCCTATGGTAAATGTACCTGTATTTTGAGACGGTTCCTCAAAAATACCTGGACAGTAGATTTCCCCCAAATTTTGTATGAACACTGAAGTTAATGTAAGTTATATATGGTATAAAAATGAAGAGTTTCGCTATTGTAGTTTTCACACAATAAAACTATAGTCGGCCCCCTTAAATGGCTCTTTTGCTATAAATAGTGACATGCAACTTTTGATACCAACGGGAGATAACTCTTAAACTTTGATCTAAATTCTTACTGAATAAAAAGACATAAAAATATACTTTTAACACCCCAAAATCAAAATAAAAAACACTGGGGCGGGACACTTTGAGAGGGGCGGGCGGGGATGAGAATCTAAAGATTAATTTTATCTGGCCTTAATACCACTATGTACTGTGACTGGACTTTCTACTGTTTATGTAACAATGTGTCATTTAATTGTATTACCTTACATCAAGCTTGACAAGATTATCCAGCTCTCGTAAACTTTGTGGCAAAGACTCAAGTCTGTTATCGTGAATCTGTAGGAAGATCAAGAAATATATCAAAAAGACAGATGATGATTGCTGCATTTGAATTTTAAAATGCACAACTCTTTAGTGCATGCAAAGTAATACATCAATCTACAGAGTGCTAAGTCAAGGTTTGTTAATGTCACCAAATGCATTTGTAATGTACTATAGAGGAAATCATTAATGCTGTTGTCTCTTCAAGCACTCTATTAAAAATATCCCTCTTTTTTTTTTTTGGTAAAAAATATACAATATGGTAAATTTTTGAAATATTTCATTCAATATATAGCAGTAATGACAACACATATCTCATATAAAATAGAGTTACAATGTACCGGTACTGTGAACATTGAGATCACAAACATTGAAACTGAGAATCCCCCCCATCACCATCCCCCAGTTTCCATATTAGTATAATGACAATTAAGGTCTATTTTTTGCCAAGAGAATGGATAAGAAATGGCAAATATATGTATGAAACAAACAAGTATATTGCATGTAAGAACAATAATCAGGTGACTTTTGACGAAGCCGGGAAACCCTGGAAGAATCTGTTTATATAATTTTTTTTTCTTTCTATCTCACTATCCTTTCTTTGTTCCTTGCTCTCTCCTCTTTCTCTTTCTCTATCTCTCCCATTCTCTCTCTCTCTCATAAAAAAATTACAGAAATATATACAAGTGTTGTAAAACTATGTACCGTATTAGAATCTGTAAATAAAAAAAAAAAACATCCAAATAATCACACTCAGTTATAAATAACAAAATAATGAGATTTTAAGTCGTAAAGCTACTTGCATCTAGCACAGTCAAGGCTGGGAAGTTGGAAATGTCTGGAGAGATTTCAGTGAGGAGGTTAGAGGCCAGAATGAGCTTGGTTAGTTCGGTCTGTTCCCACCACCTATCCTCAGTATTGTCCAGGCTGACTTCGCGCGCCTCCTCTGGAACATCAATGTTCAGTCTCCATACTGTGTCAGGAACTGTAAGAGAAAGTTATGTCATGTGGGTCTTCTTACACTACCGTTAATGTATTCAGCATGTACTATATTTGGCGGAAATTGATTTATGAACAAATAAGCGCAGATTTAATTTAGCACATTTCTTAATGTTCTAAATTAGGTATATACATGTATCATGTATGTGCAAAACAATTGGCGGAAGTTTCATTTGGTACCCCAAAAGCACTATTAAAAAAATACACAGCCAAATATAATATGTTTACAGTATACTGAACAAACACTTCTTTAGATGTTCTGAGCAATAGGACCTACATATATAAACATTTGTCCAGCATCATAAAATTATCCTACTATGACATTAAATTTGATCGATCCTAACCAATTGAAATATAATTCAGACCTTTAATGTGTAGCAGGAAATGAGAAAATCTATGGCTGCCTGAACAAGGAATCAAACCTGGGATCAACTGATCATAATAGTTTACTTAAAAAGTTCTTGTACATGTTGTAGCACCCATCTTACCTAGCTATAGTTAGATTAAAACCTAACATTAAAGAAACTGTACCATAAATTTTCATTTGTTATCATTTTTACAACTTATAAAATTTTATTTGATTTTTATATTCATTAATTATTGCATTCTGTATCTAGTCAAAAAGATCAGTTTTAATATTATTAACAGATTAACGAGGTAGACCATCTTTCTTCGTTATTTTACCGGTAAGTAAACAAACCGCACAATGACTCATTTCTTTTACCTGTCGATAAATTTCGTCCGGATAGATTAAGTTGCCCTGATCGCCGAGCTTGTTTTAGAATAGTCGGATGAACACCCTTTTCTTCGGCTGGTCTTTGAAAACCCTGCCTATTTGCGAAAGGCTTCCTACCCCTTGTTGCCATTTGGGATTTTGATCGGTTTACATGATGAGTCTTTTTGTAACTCCACACACTGAAGAGTGTAGTTGGCGGATCTTGACAGAAAGTTTACTCAAAACAGTGGCGGATCCAGGCATCTTGAAAAAAAAAGTGGGGTGGGGCGGTGGGGTTTAAGGTCGCGGTGTGGACACCCTCCAATTGATTTATTAAATTTTATGTATATTTCAAACACAAATCAGTTTTAATATTATTAACAGATTAACGGGGGGGGGGGGGGGGGGGCTAATCTTAGCGAGATGGGTTGATACTAAAATTTTGGTCTGACGTCTACCAGTGACGTCACTGCGTCTACTTATAAGGCCATTCCTTAAACGTGAGAAAAAGTAAAATCTGCTTGCATAGAACAAAATATTGATGTATTTGACGGGGACATTTTATATTTTTGAGATATATAATTCACTCTTACATTTTTTTAATAAAAAAAAGGGGGGTGTATTGATCCACACTGCAGGTGCCTGTGGTATAAGTCAAGTAAAATAGCAGGCGAATCCCATTTAATTTCAGGCACACGTGGCATTGGGGGCAACGTCACTGAATATTTTTAAAAAACGTAACATTGCCCCCCGCCCCTTTAACACACACTTTTCAGTTAATAAAAATAGACATAAAATAGGCATTGAAAATTAGGGCTTGGCCCCTAAACGATTTTAATTCCCTCCCCTTTTCGACCTATAGTTTGCTTCCAACGCCTATATAATGTGTAAATCATTATAGTACATGCATGTTTTAGAAAGAACGAATCTTTTACAGAGTTTTCCGAGTTTTGGGAAATATCAAATACACTTCAGTTTACTGAAAATATCTATCAAAATCTTTGTATATTCATATCTACCCCAGTCTGTCCTCCATAATTTATAAACCGGGTATGTATATACATTTGCTTTCTGTTTTCATTCTTTGTTTCCGCGTCATGTTGCTTTATTTATACCCCACGCTTGAAAGCGGAAGGGTATATAGTAATCGGTATGTCCGTCCGTCCGTCTGTCTGTTAAGCTTTGGGGTACCAATCTCTTATCTGCAACTCCTCTTATACTACTAAGTGAAATTTAATGAAACTTTCATAGAATCTTTATTACATATTGCCATTGTGCACATCCTATTTTACTTTTTGATCCGACACATATTTTGGGTTTCCCGGCCACAGTAAAAAGTTGACTTTGCAATTATAACCATATGGGAGGCGGGGGTATCATTTAGTGAGCTCATTGCTCACAATACCTCTAGTTTGAACACATGTACATGTCACAGGTACTTGTGGACGGAACTTCCCTTCCAATATTTATTTTTGAAAATTAAAAAAAAATAATATATAAAAAATACCTTTTTTTTTTCATGTAACGCGACCGACCCAATTAAATCGCAAAAACTGACAAAGATTTTTTAAATAAGAAGATTCAAATATTTTTTTATTGTTAACCAAGTTTCATAAAATACAATATCATCAAAATCAGTTTTTAGAAACGGCCGACATTGTGATAAAAACGGTAAACTGTGATTTGTTGAAGAAAATGGCGCTGCAGATGTGATTACTGAGAAATAGTATACTTTAATAAAACAACGGCTATACTTTAATCTTATGCCTTTAGCTAATTAGAATTCTTCACTCTTGAAACAATTTGATAATAATTTTTATATATCAAGTTAATTAAGAGTGTTTTGAAACAAAAAAAAATGCTAATCAAATAGTAATACCATAAGAATATATAAATTTTTGAAAGACATTGTTGACAGGTAAAAAATAACAAATTTTTTTCTGTTGAATTTAAGGAAACAATATATTTTAATGGTATTTCAATAAAAAGGTTTTGAAAAACTGAACTAGAACACATTATTCAAGCTTTTGTCTCTTTTTATTTAATTTGAAGTGGTTTATTCTTAATAATCCACGTGTATAATTACATAAATTATTTATGTGTTTAATAATATGCCATTACATTTTTGAACCAAAAAACTTGTTATATATGTCATATCATATTCATCCTGATAAAATATAATTCAGATTTTCTATCAATTTAAATGCCTTTATTTATTGAATAAACTTTAGACATGTAATTTATATACATGTAGCATTTTTATCATTTGTAGATTTTCGATTTACACAAATTAAATATTGTTTAGAAATTATCTATTATAAATAGCTTTGAAATCAATGCTCCATTAAAATGAATCGCCCAGTGTATTTTTCTTGAAAATTAGCGAAGTAAAGATTGTTTCTTTGCTTTTAATCACTTTGAGATTTGTTTGGACGAAAACATTTCCCCATTGCAAAACAAATTTAATTAAAAGGAATAAAAATATATGAATTTGTAAATGCAGGGATTACTTGAAAAGCAAACTTTACTAACATTTTTATGGTACTTTTGAATACTTTTTCAACGTTCCTGTGATAAAGAGAAAGTATTTGGTAAATTTCCTGCGAGGTTTTCAAAACGCGCTAAATTTTGTGTTAACTCCAAAGCAAAATTCTCTTAATTACTCTAATGAAATCCCATTGGCCCTCAAAAATTTCTTTTAATTTTCTAATGCACACGTATTCAAATTATCATTTCAAAGAATTAAAATATTATTTTAGCATATTTTCAAAGATTTTTCATATTTTGTGTAGCAGAACCACTTTTTCTTTCGAAAAATTTCACTTAATCTAGGATAAATGTTTTTGCGAGCTCGATGGCGATTGATTTTGTTTGAAATTAAAGATTAGAATGTTCATACGACAATAATAGTTGTAAATTAATAATTAATCAAAAATTTTCCTTTAAACAGCACATTTTACATTATTTCATTTTGTTCACAAATCGCTTTCTTTTGTGCTTTTCTCCGCGCTATAATATAAAAGGTACATGTATTTTCTATTAAATTTTGCTTACACTTGAACGGATCAAACCGATTCTTGGAAGAGAATAAAATTGTTTATAACCTACCAGCCCCGGCCAAGAGCCCAAAGAAGAAGGCAGCAGCGAAACAAAGAAGCCCGCAGAGCACCCAAAGTTATTACATTTTTTTTATCATGTAAATGAAAGAGAGGAAGGGAAAAAAAAACGGCAAAAACACAAAGTTATGTTGAGAGACATGTATAAGATCAGTCCATGGCCTTGTCGTGTTTTTAATTCTGCTCCTTTAGGGAGCTTTCTTAATTATTTTTATGTCTTAAAAAGAGAAAGGCGTGGGTGGTGGGTGACATCTTGTACATGATAAAAACGGTAAACTGGTCAGTATCTTATAGAGAACATGACTGCATGACTATTACTTTAATCCAATGACTATACTTTAATCCAAATTAAGGCTATACTTTAATCCAAAGGCTATACTTTAATCCAATGATTTAATGTATTTAACAAAAAAAATATTTTTATATATCAAGTTAAATTAAAGTATTCTGAAACAAAAAAAAATGCTAATCAAATAGTAATACCATAAGAATATAAGATATTTCTGTGATACGACATTGTTGAGGCCAGGCTAGAAAAATAATAAGATTTTTTTCTGTTCATTTTGGAAACAATATCATTTTACTGATGGTATTTCAATAAAAAGGTTTTGAAAAACTGAACTAGAATTAATTATTCTTACAGCTTTTGTCTCTTTTTAAGATTTATTTTATTTTGAAGTGGTTTATTCTTCATTCCAAATCCACGTGTATAATTACATAAATTATTTATGTGTACTTGTAATAATATTTGCATGTACATTTTTGAAAAAAAAAACTTGTATATAGTGTCATATCATATTAATTAAGTAAAATTGATTTTTATTTTCCATATCAATTTAATTATGACTGATTTTTGAATAAACATTAGACATGTAATTTATGTACTGTACGTATTACTCATGGCGGCCATTTTCAGATTTACACAAATAAATACACCCAGCTGTTCAGTTGTTAGAAATTATCTATAAGTACATATTTACGATACAAAATCAAGTCCCATCCAAATTAAAATGAATCTAACGTTTTGTTCCAAGTGAAAACTATAGCATAGTGTAGTAAAGATTGTTCTTTTATTTGATCCACAACCAGATTGCTAGAAAAAATATGTCCAGCTAGGTCGTCAAAACAAACCTCACTCCTAATTAAAAGGAATAAAAATATATGAATTTGTAAATGCAGGGATTACTTGAAAAGCAAACTTTATTTTCCTGAACATTTATTAATTGTAAATATGAATATTTTTACAAACTCCTGTGATAAAGAGAAAGTATTTGGTAAATTTCACATCAGACGCAGGTTTTCACAACGCGCTAAATTTTGTGTTTCGCATACCAACATTTTCTGCTTAATTACTCTAATGAATTCATTTTTTCCAAACATTTCTTTTAATTTTCTAATGCACACGTATTCAAATTATCATTTCAAAGTAATTAAAATATTATTTTAGCATATTTTAGCAAAGATTTTTCATATTTTGTGTAGCAGAACCACTTTTTCACTTCGAAAAATTTCACTTAATCTGAGGATTTAATCGTTTTTGCGAGCTCGATGGCGATTGATTTTGTTTGAAATTAAAGATTAGAATGTACTTCATATTCGACAATAATTACTCTTTGCTAAGTGCGTACTGTTAACTTGCAAAACATCTTCGAAATCATGAAAGAGACACATTTTACATTATTTCTTTGTCGGCCATGTAAACTCAGCGCTTATCGATTGGGTGCTTTCTCCGACGTCCGCGCTCCGATAATATAAAGCGACGCGGTCGGTTTAAACATCAGTTCGCAATTTTGCTTACACTTGAACGGATCAAACCGATTCTTGGAAGAGACGATAGAAGATGGCAGATAACGCACCAGCCCCGGCCAAGAGCCCAAAGAAGAAGGCAGCAGCGAAGCCTAAGAAGCCCGCAGAGCACCCAAAGTACATCGACATGGTTCTGGACGCCATAAAAAATCTGAAAGAGAGGAAGGGATCCTCCCGCCAGGCCATCCTCAAGTACGTCATGAGCAAATTCAAGGTGGGCAACGACGCTACTAAAGTTAACTCTCGTGTCAAAGTGGCCCTGAAGAACGGCGTAAAAAGCAAGGTACTGAAACAGAGCAAAGGGACCGGAGCCCAGGGCAGATTTAGTGTGGGGGAGAAGAAAGCCGCCGTCAAAAAACCAAAGGCCGCCAAGCCAAAGACCGCCAAGAAGCCTGCAGCAAAGAAACCCAAAGCAGCCAAAAAGCCAGCAGGAGAAAAGGCAAAGAAAGTCAAGAAATCACCAAAGAAGGCGAAGGCAGCCAAACCCAAAACTGCCAAACCCAAGACAGTTAAGAAGTCACCAAAGAAAGCTACCAAGGCAGCCAAACCCAAAAAGGCAAAGACTCCAAAGAAGGCAGCCAAACCCAAGAAGACCAAGACACCCAAAAAGGCAGCAACCAAGAAATAAATGTTCTCTGTGAGAACTCGCTGCTTCTAGCAGTAAAGCAAACAAAAGCCCTTCTTAGGGCTACCAAATTCTTCGAAAAGATGCCTCTGAACAAGACGTAAAAGAAACGTTGAATCATCGACCTAAAGCAAATTGCTTTAGGTCTATGGTTAATTAGCTTAACACTGACATATTTAATGTTGTTCGGATTGACCAAGATAATCAGTCCATCAACACTAAATAAGTCATGAACGTTAGAATCAGTTCTCTTACAGAAGGGCGGATCCAGGTTGGATCAGTACATAATCTTATATTATAGACAAGGGCGGATCCAGACTTTTTTAATTTTTGGGAAGGGTGTTGATGTGTCAGACTCCGACATTTTTGACAAGAGAAAAACAAAATTAACAACTTGCCCAAACTTTGAAACCATTTTTAGGGGGGGGGGGGGGGGGGGGTTAACTGGAGAGAGAGAAGATGAAACACTAAACTGCAAAGTACACATTTTTAAAACCATTGTGCTTAATTTCGGGTATTGGTATCCATGGTCATTTATTTTTACACAGTATTGAATTTAATGATTTTGAAAATCATAGGGGGAGGCATCGTCGCAAGCCACGGGTTTTGTGTCCATTCTACTTCCACAAACTGGACACAAAACCCGTGGCTTGCGACGATGAGAGGGAGGAGGGTGCGGACTCTTGACCCCCTCTATTATACATTTTTAATGATACGGATCCGCTCACGTTATGATCTGTCGAAATATGTTCTGTAATATTTGTTTTTCATGCCATTCCCTCACCGGGACAAATGGTTTTATTAAATATATATCGAAAAATCGTTGTCTTAGAATATTTTTAGAAGACGTTTTATAGTGTAACATAGTATTTTTCAGAAAAAGTTATTCATGTACAGACATCAAATGTTATATATTCTCTTATTTAAATAAAATAGCATGGGCGTCGGAAGCAAGTGGGAGCGGGGGGGGGGGGGGGGGTAAACCAACAAAAAAGGTAACCCAAATTTCCAATGCCCATATAATGTCTAGATCTTTGCATTCCGACGACTATGAATAGTCTCAAACCTAGGTGTAGGATATATATGTTGATTAAAAAAAAGAGAGAACCAATATGTGAGAAATAAAGGGATATACAGTTTTTTAATATACTCTAATAGTAGCTCTCCGGTCTGTTAATATTTTTTTTTCTGAGAGTCAAATAAAAAGCACAGGAAATTATATAAGTCCCTGTATAGAACTTTTCCGGAAATTTACGCGCGTGTTTTGACTTTTAGATTGAATGTTTATGCAAAAACTGAAAGTGAGTGGAAAAACTCGGAGGGAAAATCGTTTCTGAGACAATTACTATCACGGTAAGACTATTGTTCATGAATTATAACAGGTAGTTTTTTTTATTTACACATTTTTTGAAGTATTTTACTTGAAATATGACAATGGGTGACAAAGGACAAGATAAAAACAACTGAAGAACCATGCATCAGTCAGGTCAGACAGGTGTGTTATGGATTTTTTCATTGAAAGGCAATGAAAACCGTGTAACATTGTTACCATCCCTGGATAGGAAAATTGGTTAAAATTTTAAAAATAATGCTGCATTCCAGGGTAAAAAGGATAACCAGTTTTCCACAGTTAACACACATGCACATGTTTAGCTGTTTAGACTGTCACGGGTACTTGACACTGAAATTGAGTGTATTTACACATACTCAGTATTTACAATTACTTCCAGTGCCCATGGTTTCTGTATTACTATTAGAATTTAATTCATACTTTATCCCATCGTATAATAATAAGACAAAGGTATCAACTACGAATTACATGAGTACCCTTCCTCAGAATCACTCATTTTCACTTTAATCTAGAAAATTAGCTGCAGATCTGTAGCTCTCTGAAAAAAAATTATTGGCAGACCGGAGAGCTACAGTGCCACCCATTGACAAAACTGTATATTTATTGCGCACAAAAAAGTGCGAACAGTTCTGGATTAATTCTTCCAAATTTTTACTTCAATTGCAAAAAAGGCTAGATTTCAAAATATCCCTTACTTCTCTATCAAGTACTCTTGCAGTTTACATCTGTATGAGCATTGGACTGAATTATCTTACAAACCAAAATGGCAGTATAGATAGTACAAAAGAAGCGATTTGTGAACAAAATGCTCAATTTCAAGGGCCAGGAGTGCTGTTTAAAAGAAAATTATAATTATTAATTTTTTATTTAGTGGGAACATTGAAAGAATATGTTAGGAACAGTTAGAAATATTTTGAGATGACAATTTAAAAACATGGAGAAATAAATTAATATACTGTACAGTTTATAGACAATCAATGTACTTTTTGAGTGGCCATGGGATTTGCAGTGGTTCTAGAGCATTTTTTTGGAGTTCTGAGAAGTGTCGAAATAAATTTTACAGTTCGCAGGTCCAAATACCAATGAGGAGAACGTTGCACAGTCCTTCAAAAGTGTAAATATTGTCCAGTTCGCAGAAGATCCTCTCAAAATAATTTACTCTAATGGCTAACCATTTGGAGCATGAAATGTTCAAATGTCGTCCAAACAAATCTCAAAGTGATTAAAATCAAAGAAACAACCAATCTTCGAGGGCGTAATTAAAGAAAAATACACTGGGCGTCTCAGGAAGCTGAAGCATGATTTCAAAGCTATTTATAAAGAGTATTTAAACAATATTTAATTGAACCAAACTTGTTTTATTCTCTGCCAGTTCGCAGAAATGATAAAAATGCTAATGTATATACAATGTCATAGTCAAGAAGTTTAACCCATAAATATTTCCATTTCTAAACTATAATAATTTTCCTTTGAAAGAAGCGGAGCTATGTACATAATCTGCGGAAGCTAAATTCACAGGTCAGATAGTTGCAGCATAGATCCTAATACGCATGCAACTATCTCTGTGGTTTTAAACTATTCTCTAAGGAGGCCAATAGAAGTAAACAGACATAGCCTTTGTGTTTGAAAGTCAGTGTCAAGCACAAAAAAAAAATTGGCATGGAAGTCCGGCATGTGTACATTTTAAAAAATACAGTGTCCTGTGTGTATTTACACATATTTTTAAAGAAGAAGGAGGGGTCCCACTAAAATGAATCCTATATAAAATTACTTCTCAGAATTTTCTGGATAAGTTTTAATATTTTTCATTAATATATAATGAATAGCCATTTTTCTTCAGTATTAAGAATAAAACTAAAATTTGTGAAAATGCAAGGATGTGTCACTCAAACCCGTCCAGAAATTAGAAGTTTCAATAACTATGAGATGAAGTAAGATTTTCATTATTTTTTTGTGTGATATCATGCTATTGCAATATATAAGTCATGATATTTTACTGAAAGTTTGAGAAATTATTAACTTCAAATCATCTGTCTCATTAGGCGGGCCTTACATGTACCATGTATTACGTACCTTTAATTCAACAGACAGGTTTGTTTGTTGTTGAACGGCCCTTTCGAAAATTTATTCATTCATATGGAGACGCCAAGACACCTCCAAAACACTCTTAATTAGTCATGGTAAATTTTATTATCGAATTGTTTCAAGAGTGAAGAATTCTAATTAGCTAAAGGCATAAGATTGAGACGTCGCCGTTGTTTTTTGAATTTCTCTAATCACATCTGGGCGATTTTTTTCAACAAATCACAGTAAACAAAAGTTTTGAAATGATTTTGATGATATTGTATTTTATGAAACTTGGTTAACAATAAAAAAATATTTGTTTCTTCTCATTTAAAAAATCTTTTGAAGGTGCGATTTAATTTATTTAAAAAAAAAGGTATTTTTTATTTTGGCCTTGGCTAGTTTTGATGCCACATAAGGGCTAAAAAGGGTATTCCAGAATGAGATACAAGTAATCTTGTTTATACTTTGCAACTACTACAAGGACACTTGTACTGATAAAAATTTGTCCGACCACGTGTAAGCATCCTTATAGATGTGAACATGAGAGAACCACTTGTTTTTTTTTTTAATTGTACATCATTCTTTTCAGAGAAGAGTGAATTGAATGGCCCTGGGGCTTCTTGTTTTTGCTGTTTTACTTTCAACTTGGAACATTTTTGTAACTAGAATTTTAATGCAGTTCATACCTGCAAGTAGATATGTAAATCAATTGTTCTCCAATTTATTCATTGGAAGAAAGTTCTAGTCTGATCAGAACTAGGTGAAATCCAATGCATCTCCTGTAATTTATTGCCTCTTTTCATCAGGTGATCCGTTTTACTTTTTATTATAGCTCAGTTTCTGCATGAGTGAGCATACAGGTAGATAATACCTAACAAAAACTACCAGAGTCTGAATAGGTTGGGAAATTACAAAACTTCAGTTTATTTACGAAATGGTTACACTGCAGCGATTAATGAGAGAATCTTCGTGACTGAGTTTGAATGAACTGAGGTCTATTTTTAGGATCGGGCTGTTAATCAGTGTGCTTTTAAATATTTTAGGTTGGACTGTATGAGAAATAGCCGCTTCAAGTTGGATAAGTGAAGATTAAATAAGGTCAGTTATTAACACATTTTAAGCATGTTAAGCTGATTAATGACCTGTGTAGAGATCGACTTCATGTTTGTGACAGATAGGTACAATCATAACTACTCTCTCCAGATCTAGGAGCAATCAGGCGGAACGTCAAAATACCTGAACATGTATACTAATGTAAATACACAAAGATACCTTGTTATACTAATGTGACTTAGCTGTACTGTAGGAGTGATTAATTAGACTGATAATTAACATAAAACAAAAGAAAGGAATACCATCTTCAATAAGTTTGTTAGCATGGTAAATTTATGTTACAAACAAAACATTTTATGTATATAATAGCTAAGGAATATTTGTGGTTGACCTAATATCCAGGGTTGTTTGCTGAATCAATGAATACTGACTAAATATAGACGGAGGCAACATTGATCTTATATATATATTATGTAGACGGTTTGTACTGCTGGTGTTTATATTAGTATCTTATTAGTTGTGTCATGAGAATGTAGATTAAATTTTATGGTGCTTCAGTTCTCCAACATATGTATCTCTCATACAAAGATGTCAATTTACTGTGGGTAGGTTTTAGGAGTTTACAGGTACAAGTACTATTTCTTTATGATGATAAATTTCTCATTTACGTATTTGTAATACATATACAGACACAAATTATCATTAAGAAAAAGTGATATAGGGCGAGGCTTGCTGAACCCTCCATCATGTTTTCGACCCGAGCCAAAATATTGCTTTTATTTGAAGACAGTAACCATGTATTTTGTTTATCCTGCAACATATCTTTACATATCTGACCTCCAAAACGAGCTATTTACAATTTAATTCAGGCACATCTTTGCAGTTGAAAGTCAGACGCCATAGCGTAAACATTGCAATATACATGACGTCACAATGCTTTTAGAACGTCGGAGTACATGCACGAGGCTGTATTAGGGCATTGACCAAATAAGCTAAGGTTACCTTTATTAGGTCAATGCAAGGGGGAGTTGCTGGATAAATGACCATATTTGGTATACAGCAGCAGCAAGCATTAATCTGATTTGTAACAATCTAAAACAAGTAAACATTGATGTAACCATCAATTGTCGCCCGGGAAATGTATAAAGTAAACAATGGAAATGAGTCTTGATCATCAAACCGCTTTAATATATGTGAAAAGGCATGCGTCTAATTGATGGCGACGATAGTCGCGAATATTTTGAAAACTTATAGTCGGATCAAAAACAAACAAAAACGATACCATTTTAAACTTGATCAATTCCTCGTGTAAATGTTGGCTGCATAAAATATAAACTGAAGTTAGACACATGCATCACCTATATTCAAAAATGTATTAATGTTTAATTTTAGAAAATAAGACATGAATGAACTATGCAGAGTACGTTTTTATGCGAGAAGTAAAATTTGATGTTCTTAAAAAAATGGATCTGTCGTTTTTTCAATAGTAAATGATAATCAACTTTATATATTAAATATGTAAAACATATTTAATTTTACATATTCACTTAATGGAAGTTTATATATTATGTATATCGTAATTTAGAAAGGGAAGAACATTCTGATTAACAATCTTTTCAATGTTAAGAAAACCTTTAATTCTGAATAACTTCTCCCTACCCAATCACCATACTCCAACACTTAAACTTATATGTATAGAGCAGCCCGGTCCTCCGGGCTGCAATAAAAGTAAATTCAGTCAAAGTGTACATAGAATTGTTACAAACTCTGCATACCTATAAATATTTAGTGTTGTTTTGTTTAAATAAATAATCTCATTGATTAGACTGCTTTAAAAAAAACCCTAAATTACAAAATGTTACAGGCATCTGCTTGACAGATGGGAGAATGATGTATATATATTCTCAAGAGTCAAGACATTGTTCCAGTTTTATATAATGGAGTCTGTTTAACCGGTTATGTAAGCAATATTAAGTAGCAAAGTAATGTCTATATTTAGAGTGATTATGTCTGTCATTGACCTGGATATAAAAAAGAAACATGTCTATTGAGGATGGCTTTTTCTTATCATATTTGTTTATAGTCATGCATAAGTACCGGTACATGTAGAGAAGGATTATACAAATACACTGTACGTAACTCATGTATATAGCCCTTTCCCATGGTCAATCCATTGATATATCAACTTCACAAAAAAGTATATCAACTGAGTCTGAAGTGCAAGGTGGATATACTTTTATGAGAAGTCCATATATTTATAGATTGACATACGAAAAGGCTACATTTATGGTGTCATTTTGCCACTATAGAAATTGTAAATACATGTATATGAAGTAAAATACTTAATCAAGTGATGTTTGTTTTTGACAGTCCCTGTGACCCTGTGACTGAGATGTTAAGCTTATGAGGATGACTTCAGTCAAAGCTGCACTGTCTGTGATACTAGCAGGACACCTGCTGATTGGAGGTAAGTAAAGGGGAAAGCAGGTAACGGGTCAGGTATAATAATAATGGCAGGTCTAAAATTACTCAATAAGATGGGACAATATAATGAAGAGAATTAAAACATGTTCAGTTTCAAAATCTTATGGTACTTGGGCATTCAGTGGGTGCTCTTTCTGTTAAATGATATTATGTTGTTTTAATGATCTGAATTATAGGAAAGTAAGTCTGTTCACTGATGCATTTTCTTCAAGTTAGTGCTATACTTAGATGCTTTCATTTGTTTTGTAGTGTCTGCAGAACTGAAAATGTTGACAGACCCTACAAGTTTAACTTTGAAGAAAGGATCAACTGTTTTATTTCAGTGTACTATACAGGATTTGGGGTCAAAGAAGGTAAGACCAGATAAAATAGTGTTCAGTACCACCATATAAAGGCATGATTTATCACTTCTTCCCTTCTTATCTTGAATGTTTGGATATCTACCATCTTGGTCCTGTTGGAAATGAGACAGTGAGGTTGTACTGTAAAATCTTTGTAAGTGTTGATTAAACATTCACTGGTTGGATGATCCTTACTGATTATAAAAACAAACCACCCAGAGTTCCTGCCCAGTCCTTCGTATGTTTTTATTAATCATTCAAGGATACCTGAATCCTATAATTCAGTGTAACTTAAGGATACCGACCCATAACATCTAGTTATGAAAAGAAAACACCTCATTCACTATAACCTGCTCTCAGGTGTTTTGATAGTTTGAATTTATTTCCACCAAGGGAAGAGAATTATGTAAGGAATGTATTTTTGTGTGTTATTTTGGTCATTAGTGGACAAAATTCTCTGTGAAGTGCACACAGAGTTTACTGCTGTAATAGGGGATCTAGACCAGTAGACACTTGTTCATTCATGACAAACGGTGTTATATTTATATCTACTGTATTAACATCAGTCTATATACCATTGAAATGATAAATGTCACAATCACATGCCCTTATTATAAATTATTTAGCTTCGTAGAACAAATGATGAATTTTCATGTCAAGGTTAACATATTAGTCTTTGACTTTTATTTTCTAATTTCCTTTTATCATAAATCAAGTTTTAGTATGATAATATCAACATTTTCAGAGATTTGAAATTATTTTAAAAAACCATTGGCAAACTTTTGGGCATTCATTTTGTATATTTGTGCATTATCTTGTATTACAGTGGCATTTAACTTATTGGGGATATCTGAATCACCAGTTAAATAAGACAAAATAACATTTAAAAATTTTGTTCCAATGAATAATTGTCTGGATACTGAAGCATCCGGATATCTAACGTCCGGATATCTGAAGGTCCACTGTATACAAACAATCAGCAAACAATGTTTAATTTGTTCAGGGTAACTGCCTTAAATATGCATAGGATTTGAATTGTTGATTTGGCCATCATAAATGCATTGTAAAGGGTCATGGAAGAGTACAACATTTATGTCATTGTCATTAGGTGTACAAAATTTAACAGGTACATATCAAGTCATTTTACAATCATTAAAAAATATTACTGTTCATAATTTTAGACTTTCTAGAATGCAGATGTATATTTTAACCTCAGTATCTTGAATCCCCAGACTCCTTGAAGTTTTCTTTTGGTGTCATTGAGTTTAGATGAAGCTTCATCCACTTGATTCCATAGAAGTAGATGTTTCTTGTCTCTCAATTAAAAAAAGGCTTGTCTAGACAATTTAGGAACATTTTAACATGTAGACATAGGGAATGTCTTCTTTATTTTTTGTTTTAAATAAGGATGAAAAATAATGACTTATGTGAATTATTACCATGTCAAAACACTTATGAAACAAAATCCATCAATAATGATAAAGAAAAGTTTTAGTATTTGATTTCTTAAAATGATATGAGATTTTGAAGAAAAGAGAAATTCAGATTTATGAGCCCACACAAGTTTGTTTAAGCAATAGATAGTTTGCGACATTATAAAATTAGCGCCTTCTCATTATCGGCATAGGTTGAAGTTTACATTATTATATATGTAGGGTTGGTAATTGTTTGTCACACACGTGGAAAATGTAAATATCTTGCAGCGATGATATATTGTTTTCTAGTTATGAATGACATGCCACAAAACCACAAGCATTTGATATGGTAAACAGAGATTGGGAAATCCTTGTGCATTTGAAGTTGATGAAAATTAACATACTGCAATAACAAAGCTCTGCAGTTTGCAGAACATAAATTAACATGTTCAATTAAAACTCTCAAGTTAATTTTTAAAAACATTTTTAGAAAACGAACACTAGGACATTTTCTGGAACCCAAATGACATGTAAAAATATTCAGTTCTTTTACTGTAGCCTAAGCATTCATTTTTCACACTGTGTGTAAACTAGGACACCTATGAAATTTATAATTGTCTTTTGCACTGTAGGTCTTGTCTTAACTGATGATGTTTATTTTATAATGATATTATATGGCAGAGGTCTGGATAATGAGGCAAAAATAAGATCCTGTGGTTGTAGGTTTTATATAAAACATGGGAGAAAAATGTGCATTAATTATTAAATAACAGTCAAAAAGATTTAATATTAAAACTAAACATTTTTAAAATTATAGCACATTTTACAAGATTGCAAAATTTTAACAGGTTTAAACAAATTAATCAGATCAATAGTAATTGATCTCAACATTTGCAAACAGTTATTTATCAGAATTTTGATAAAAAAAAAGAAAATTAAAAAAAAAAAAATATATTTTATGTGGATGAATGATGAAGTATTCAAAATCCTTTTGCCATTAATTGCTAATCACTTAATAAACTGTTAAGTAAGAGTTAATGTAGGCTTAATTCACTCTGTAAAATTCTGTGAACAAGATTTCATGATTTTTTAGCTCACCTGATCCAAAGGCTCAAGTGAGCTTTTCTGATCAAAGTTTTACATAGGAATATATAGAAAAAATCTTCTCCAGAACCATTGGGCCAGGAATTGAAACTTATGTGGAAGCATCCTCATGTAGTGTAGATTCAAGTTTGTTCAAATCATTATTATAAATTTTAGTCGTCTGCATTTGGTTGTCATCCCAATTATTTTTAATTTTTGTAGGTGATCTGGAAAAACTTAATAGATGGGAGCAAAATCTCGGTGAACTCTGAAATTCTTACCCAGGATAAATACAAATACACTATAGAAAGACCCCAAGGTGAGATCAAAGGGAGAATGACTTTGTTTCAGAAAATGTTTTAAAAGGTGGCGATGAGATTCTGGTTTCTTGATTAATCGTGCATCAGTGGATTAAGAGGGTTACAACTTGTCAATTTTGTTAGATCAGTTTAGCTAGTTTTCCAAAAAAAAAAAAAACAAAAAAACCAAAGATCAATGTAAACATGCTTATGATGAACAGCTTATAATGAATTGATGCCTATAAACAAGTAATTTTCATTCCACATGGCTATTATTTTATAAGCATACTGTTAATCTAACAAATATAAGGAATTATCTTTAACAACTCTTTGTCTCATTGTTATAAGCATGTTTTACATTATATCATTCTGTGAATCTTGGAATAGGAATCTAAAACAGTTTGAATTGTAAATTAGCTTTTATGGACATAGCAGGATTTAAATTGTTACATTTAAACCATAGCATAACTAGATAAATCAAATTGACTTAGTGCTGTATTTAACTGTCATCATATTTTCTACTTTAAAGACACTCAGCATTTCCCTTTCCACCTTCGGATTTATGATATACAAGCCAGGGACCAGGGTCATTACCAATGTTTTGTGGACTCCGATCATACAGTCTCCGTCACACACACATTGACAGTGGAGGGTAAGGCCACCTTAAATTAAGTGAAGAGTTATCTCCCTGTGGCATGTAAATACTACTGAAAAAAAGGTACCTCATTTGTGTCAACACACACTCATTGACAGTGGAGGGAAAGACCACTTTAATTCTGTGAGGAGTTATCTCCCATTGTCATTTAAATACTATAGAAGATGAGGTACCTCATTTGTTTCAGTTACATACACATTGACAGTGGAGGGTAATACCACCTTAATTGATACTGTAGAAGAGAAGGTACCTCATTTACACTAAGGAAAACCAATTCAAAATTCCTGAACTGACCTCATCTGAAAAATGTTGAACTGTAACAGCCTTAAAAAGAACAGTTATGGTTGCTGTGATGTTCAGTGTATAGTCACAGATAATCTGATATTTAACAAGATGAAATGTTTCTTATTTAGAGGCCCCTACAACCCCAGCACCAGGGAGCGCCACCTCAGATTTCAATGTCACAGGTAAGTGAGAGACATTTCTAGTGAAAAAATCAAATGTAGCAAACAATTTACAGAGTTTAGAATCAACAGTCTTTGGTTGGAGTGTGAAAAAATTGAGAAAAAAAGTTAAACATGCATGTTTGTCTGATAATCCATTTAAAAATGTATCTTTCTTATCTCATTTTTTTCGGATTGTTTTGATCATTGAAGTTGTACACTCAAAACAGAGAATATATGTGGTTTGTTATTTTCAGATTGCTGTTTGGCTCAGAATATGAGCAGCTCTTGTTTACCAGTGTGTCATCCATCATCCAGACCAACGGACCTGAACGTGGTTACAGCATGTGCTCTTGATTTTGATAAAGTGTTAAAATGTGGTACAGGTCAGTTCATCTGAAAATGAAAGTAAAATATATCCTTTCTATTCACCATTTTTAGGTCACCTGAGTAAACTCAGGTGACCTATTGCTATCACTTTTCGTCCGTCGTCGTTCGTCGTGCGTCGTGCGTTAACATTTGAACATTTTTAGCTTCTTCTCAAAAACCACTGAAACAATTTCAACCAAATTTGGCATATAGCATCTATGGGTAATGGGGAACAAAAACTGTGAATTTCATGGTCCCTGCCCCCCTGGGGCCTGGGGGGTGGGGCAAAAACCACAAAAATTAGTGCAGTCTTTAAAAATCTTCTTCTTTACTCCTGGACATCAAGCAGTCAAAATGTTTGCATGATTGTAATCAGCATTGAATCCTCTACCAAAATTGTGAAATTCATGGCCCCGGGGTCATGGGTTCTAGTGCAAGGGCGGGGCTAGATAAGTATATAGTGAAAATGCATTATTTCTTTGAAAATCTTCTTCTCTGCTACTGGGTATTAAGAAAACCTACTAAGTACATAGTTATGATGAGCAAGAGTGCCTCTACCAAAATTGTGAATTTTATGGCCCCAGGGTCAGGGGTTCTGGTGTAAGGGTGGGGCTCTATAGATTATAATAGTGAAATTACATGAATTCTTTGAAAATCTTCTTTTCTGCTCCTGGGTATTAAATAAACTAACTAAGTGCATAGCTATGATGAGCAAGAGTGCCTCTACCAAAATTGTGAATTTTATGGCCCCAGGGTCAGGGGTTCTGGTGTAAGGGGGGGGGGGGGCTCTATAGATTATATAGTGAAAATACATGAATTCTTTGAAAATCTTCTTCTCTGCTCCTGGGTATTAAATAAACTAACTAAGTGCATGGTTATGATGAGCAAGAGTGCCTCTACCAAAATTGTGAATTTTATGGCCCCAGGGTCAGGGGTTCTAGTGATAGGGCGGGGCTCTATTGATTATATAGTGAAAATACATTGAATCTTTGAAAGTTTTCTTCTCTGCTCCTTGGTATTAAGCAGATGAACTACCTATATAGTTATGATGAGCAAGGGTACTAATCTTCCAGAATTGTGAATAGGGTACTAATCTTCCAGAATTGTGAATTTCAAGGCCCCAGGGTCAGGGGTACCATAAAGGAGGGGGGGGGGGCTGTACTTATATACTGAAACTGGATGAATTGTTTGAAATCTGCTCCTTGGTATTAATCAAATATTTTTGAAAAGCAAGGGTGCCTTTTCAAAAATTGTGCAGTGTGTGGAACTAGGCCTAAGGGTCAGGGGTTCATGTGTGATTGGGGCATTACTGATCATGCTGAATATTACTAATTACTTGAAATGCATTTTTTGTTCCCCTACCCTGCCTATGGGTATTAAGTAAACAAACTAAACAACTGCTAAGTGTATTGTTATGATGATCAATGGTGCCTCTTTCAAAATTGTGAATGCCATAGCATCTGGATTAAAACATGAATCAAATTCAATCACTGGAAAGTTGTTGCATAATGCTCAGGTGACCTATAAGGACCATGGGCCTCTTGTATGCTGACACATCCTTTGCTTAATTTACTACATTTAAGAACATTGTATCCTGCCAACAGACTTCAGAACTGCTTAGAATGTCTCCGTGCTGTATGGAAGAATTGACATTTATGAGACACCATGTCATATTTGACATTGCAGATGGAAGAAACCATGTGGGTTGCTGTAAGAGGAGAAACCTGCCTGATATTTGTCTGGACTTTTGTTCGGGGACCATGCCGGCCAGTCTGAACGACAAACATCTGACCTGTCTACAGCAGCTGGATGACATCCTGGCCTGTCTAGAGGAAGGTCAAGGTCGGTATCTTGTTATCAGGATTTAGGGCTACAGAAAATAGCGAGTTTATAACTCACTTAAGTCAAGACTGAAGAGAGCTTTTGATCAGTGATCATATTATGTGTTCTTTAACTTTCTGCAATCCTTCCTTCTAAAAGGGGCTGGGGGGTTGCAGCCATTTTCAGACTATTTCAAATTTCTTTAGAAGACCTCCATATAAAGATATACAAAATGATCATTTTAAAACTAAAATGTATGAATTTTTGCTTTTCCAAATGATAGTTGACAGCTTAAGATACTGTATCTAAAAATAAGTTAAATCTGGTGGTTAATTTGTTGACCCCCCCAGCCTCCTTAAAAAAGCAGCTGGTTTTAGCTGAGTATAGCAAGAAGGAAACTCCTTTAGATTCTGATGTCATAGGCTCAAAGGTGAAGGTCTAAAGGTCAAGCTCATTGTTATCAGCATACCACAGGGTCGTGGATGACTTTTTTTTTTGTTGAAGACTGTTTGATAAGACTTTGGGTGTTTTACAGACTTGCTGCCCGGCCCTCCCACCTCTGTTTCTGTCGTACAGAGTGTGACCGACGACCAGACAGCCATGCTGGTGACCTGGAAACCACCCAATCAGAATCCACAACTAGTGACGGGATACAAAATCTTCTACAAACTAACCAATGATGCCCACTACAAAACGGTCAGTATATGTCCAAGACCACTGCTGAAGGCATGAGTTTAGATTAATGGTTTGATTCACATTTTGTCAAAAAAGCTGGTGAATATACACATTAGATGCTGGATGTGGCTTAATTTTTTCAGAAAAGTGACCAGTTTTAAGTTCTGGAATGAGGGTATATTTAGAATATTGAATATGAATTTTAGTGTAATACACTAAACTTAGATAACTGAAACATTGTGACTTATCCATTTAAGCAAAATGATATTTGGTGCACCTTATTAGTATTTTTAGTATTTGAAGAGGGATACATTATTTGAAAATATGATATAATCTGAAATTTTTGTATAAAATCTAAGTATAGGTATATTGTATTTAAGTGCTTTAATATGTTAACTATTAATATTCCAACTTGACAAGTTCAGAAGTTACTGATTGGACTGTTATTTGTAAACAGACCCCTTACTAAAGTTACTGATTTGACTGTTATTTGTAAACAGACCCCTTTACTAAAGTTACTGATTTGACTGTTGTTTGTAAACAGACCCGTTTACTGAGTAAGGATCAGCTGATGTACAGACAGGTGGGACTACAGTTTAATGTCCAGTACAGTGTGTACATGGTAGCTGTAGGGGACCACGGGTCGAGCCAGCGCTCCGAGAAGTTCATCATCACAGTCTTACCAAGTAAGCAATACAGGAAATACTGTATAAGGCCAAAAAGAATTAATCAATAGTTTCTCAGGCACTGCCGCATCAGTTCAAAAGTGGCCGCATTGATCAATTTTATTTGACATATTGAAAAGGGGAATAACTCAATTTTCTATTTTTCCAAGTTGAAAAAGAAAATCGAGTTATTCCCCTTTTCATAAATGCTAAGAAAGAGGTTTTTATTAAAAAATTTTATTTTATCAGTTAACTTTTAAATAAATGTTTGGAATAACATTATTTAACGTTGAATACATATTATAACTAATTTCAGAGAACAAAACTTAAGAATTAGTAGATATTATCATTTTACTGCACAAAAGGTGTAACACCTGCTTCCAAAAAAAAAAAAAAAAAAAAAGCCTGCCTGCCGCATTGAATTTTGAATTTTTTGGCCTGAAAAACTATTAATTAATTTTTTTTTGGCCTAAGCAGAATTTTTAGCGATGATTTTATTTTGGCCTTATTAGGGTGTTGTGATGCTAAAATTAAATATCGCTAAAAATCAATTGCATTTTATTTGTAAAGCTTCTTTAGTGGTCGTTTTAAAATCGCTAAAATTACATCTCGCTAAAAATAAAATAGCAATTTTTTAAGGAAAAATTGCTAAATTTGTGTTTCGCTAAAACTTCCATTCATACGGTAATTTTTAAACTATAGTTCAGTATCACAATTGTATTTGAATGCACAATACTTTGTTTACATGTTCTTGCGATGTTTCTATGTTGGTTATTTTTCATTCCAGCGTCTCCAAAGTCAGAGACGGAGGCTGATATAAGAGGTAATTAATGGTCAATAATTAAACATTGTGTGAGACATCCAGCAGTTACTCCCCTTTAAAAACCCCCCAAAATGTGTTTTTTCTGATATTTATCGTTGAACAGGATTATATTAATGCCATCAAAGCCAAACGTTTACAACCTTTTACAATCAAAGTTGGTAATACATGCACCTCTATATGTACTACTCTCAGACTGTCTGTGTAAACTTTCTTTTCTTCTGAACAATTGTCACTAAGATGCAGACATTATGATTTGCTTTGGATGCTTTAAAAACTGCATTTGCTTTTGGGACTCTGTAGCATGTGATACCAGTATTTCTTGCCATGCTACATGTACTTAATTCATTTGCTTACAAGTAAGATTTTATAGAAGAGGGTAATTGGATATTCATCAGGAACATCTTATTTAGAGCCCTATACATAGATACTACTGATTTTACAGCCTGCTGCTCCAAGAAGGGAGTGAGTGATGACTGCCTACCTAAACTGTGTACAGCGGACATCATGGCAAACGTTAACCCAGTAGAAATTCTACGATGTTACCCAGACTTGGAGAAAGCACAGCAGTGTCTTGTGGGTAGGTATATTTATTGAGATCATTTTATTAAGTATTGTGTGTATGATGAAGTTCCTCTTTTGAATGTTGATGTCTGGGTTTATCAGGCCAGAGGAACCACAGTGCTTGCTGTGCCAGGAACGGTCTCCCGGACGTCTGTCTGTCTATCTGTGAGGGGAAGCCCACAAACCTGACCTTGGATTACACTGCCTGTGTTATTAGACTACCAGTCATTGATGCCTGTGTTCAGGAGGGTAGAGGTGAGGGGTTGTATGTGGTATGAGAAACAGAATACTTATTGGTAGTGGATAAAGCTGTTGAATAGCTAAAGATCTCAAAACAATTATGGTACACGTAAGAAAAATGAACAGTAACTCAAGCAGCATATATTAAGCAGGCATCAATCATTCTGACAAACATAAAGACATGTTTATAAATTTTTCTGAGGTAGGCATTAATTATTAAATTTAGCAAACATGTACCAAGAATTTTCATGAGATTAGGAAACTACAGTCAGGAAAGATTGCACTGTAGTGAGTAACATTAAGTTAGGGAATATTTATGAATAATTAAGAACAGATTTTCCATTGATCCGTCCTGCCTTCCTTTCCAGCCACAATCCCAGGACCCCCTATCAACATAACGGTTCTGCCCGGAGCCACCGAGGCCATGGTTACCTGGGCTAATGAAGGCGCCAAGGCCACAAAATATGTCCTTATGTACAGAGTTCTAGGAATGGACAGTTCATCTTACATCCAGGTAAAAAAAATCAAGGACACGAAAAAGATTAAAAACAAATCAAGTATTTCTGTAGAAAAGACACAAATATCAATGCTCTGCCTATTGTTTCTATTCTTCAAAATCAACCTACAAACCTTAGTAGGTTAATAGATAGAAAAATCAGATGAACACAATGTCATAGATGTTGATGTCAAATGGAACTAAACAAGTTTAGTCCTGGTATGCTTTTGATGATTATACATGTATATAAAATGAAAGGAAAGAAGAATCAAAATATTTTGACAGCACAAGATATTTAATAGAGGATATTCAATGTTTTGTAGTTGAATATGGAATTTATTTCACGAGTGGGACAGGATTTTTGATATTTTCACGAGTGCGAAGCACGAGTGAAAATATCAAAAAATCCTGTCTCACGAGTGAAATAAATTCCATATTCAACTATAAAACATTGAATTTTCTGTTTATTACATTTTTAAAAAAAATTCTTTGATTTTTCCTTTGCCTCTGTCTTTTTTGTGATACATTCATGGACTCGTGACGTCATAGTTGAGCGGTTGAGACGTCATAGCTAAGTGAGGTGAAAACACTGTAAACACGAATTTGACAACATATTTTTGGTAATTTAGACAGTTTAATTCACTGTCAGAATGGTTTATTTATTTCCATCTATCTTATATATGGTCAAGGAAGATATTTTTACAGCAATCTTCGTTATGAGAAAGGAAATCGAGAGTTTTCCCGCACTTTTGATATTCGTCACACTGTGGCAGGATATCATTTTTATTCAATGAATAAATTACAGTATTTCACGGGTAAAAATGTAATAAAGACAGTTATTTGACATTTTGATAATTTATTTTAAAGGTAGATGCCACTGAGCCACCTATACAACTGACCAACCTTTACCCAGGAACTCATTACGAGTTTAAGATGGTAGCATCCAATGAAAATGGTTCCAGTCTATTCTCATCAAAAGTCGTTTTCCTTACTTATGGTAAAGTAAAAGTCCATTGGCTAAATTTATACTGAGAGTTGTATTTGAGCATACTCTTGCTAGCTATACCTGAAATATTTATAAATATTGATGTGATATAAATATATGTTGAAATAGAAGCCATTGCCTGGTTTATATATTAATGGTCATTTTATTTCTCTTTTATTTTCAAAAATCAGATATACTCTAGAATTTTTTAATAGAAATTTCTTGTAATTTACAGAGAGAGAAATAACAACACCTGCCCCAACACAACCCAGTGGACTCCACAACCTCACAGGTAATTGTATTCACAACCTTACAGGTAATTGTATTCACAACCTTACAGGTAACTGTATTCACAGCCTGACAGGTAACTGTATTCACAACCTGACAGGTAACTGTATTCACAATCTGACAGGTAACTGTATTCACAACCTGACAGGTAACTGTATTCACAGCCTGACAGGTAACTGTATTCACAATCTGACAGGTAACTGTATTCACAACCTTACAGGTAACTGCATTCACAACCTGACAGGTAACTGTATTCACAACCTGACAGGTAACTGTATTCACAGCCTGACAGGTAACTGTACTCACAACCTGACAGGTAACTGCATTCACAACCTGACAGGTAACTGTATTCACAACCTGACAGGTAACTGTATTCACAATCTGACAGGTAACTGTATTCACAACCTGACAGGTAACTGCATTCACAACCTGACAGGTAACTGTATTCACAACCTGACAGGTAACTGTATTCACAACCTTACAGGTAACTGTATTCACAACCTTACAGGTAATTGTATTCACAACCTTTCAGGTAATTGTATTCACAACCTTTCAGGTAACTGTATTCACAACCTTACAGGTAACTGTATTCACAACCTTACAGGTAATTGTTTTCACAACATGACAGGTAATTGTATTCACAACCTGACAGGTAACTGTATTCACAACCTGACAGGTAACTGTATTCACAGCCTGACAGGTAACTGTATTCACAACCTGACAGGTAACTGTATTCACAGCCTGACAGGTAACTGCATTCACAACCTGACAGGTAACTGCATTCACAACCTGACAGGTAACTGCATTCACAACCTGACAGGTAACTTTATTCACAACCTGACAGGTAACTGTATTCACAGCCTGACAGGTAACTGTATTCACAACCTGACAGGTAACTGTATTCACAACCTGACAGGTAACTGTATTCACAACCTGACAGGTAACTGTATTCACAACCTCACAGGTAACTGTATTCACAACCTGACAGGTAACTGTATTCACAACCTGACAGGTAACTGTATTCACAGCCTGACAGGTAACTGTATTCACAACCTGACAGGTAACTGTATTCACAGCCTGACAGGTAACTGTATTCACAACCTGACAGGTAACTGTATTCACAACCTCACAGGTAACTGTATTCACAACCTGACAGGTAACTGTATTCACAACCTGACAGGTAACTGTATTCACAGCCTGACAGGTAACTGTATTCACAACCTGACAGGTAACTGTATTCACAACCTGACAGGTAACTGTATTCACAACCTGACAGGTAACTGTATTCACAACCTGACAGGTAACTGTATTCACAGCCTGACAGGTAACTGTATTCACAACCTGACAGGTAACTGTATTCACAACCTGACAGGTAACTGTATTCACAACCTGACAGGTAACTGTATTCACAACCTGACAGGTAACTGTATTCACAACCTGACAGGTAACTGTATTCACAGCCTGACAGGTAACTGTATTCACAACCTCACAGGTAACTGTATTCACAACCTGACAGGTAACTGTATTCACAACCTGACAGGTAACTGTATTCACAGCCTGACAGGTAACTGTATTCACAACCTGACAGGTAACTGTATTCACAACCTAACAGGTAATTGTATTTACTTAGTCCTACAGCCTTACAGGTAATTGTATTCACAACCCATAGGTAATTGTATTCACTTAGGCTTACAGTGGAATCCACAACCTTACAGGTTATGGTAGTCAGTTAGACCTTGCTTGTGAAATGGAAAGAATATTCAAGTCAGAGGTTTGACCAAAATCAACATTTCTGAAATGACTAGTAATAGCACAGTAGTCAGGTATTTCACTATTTAGGAAGTTTATACCGTAAATCTGGAAATTTTTGCTGTAGATAAATTTTTAGCAAATTTGCGAGTTCATTGCATTCGCAAAAATGTTTTTCTTAAAAATAAATTACCAATAAGGAAATGTAAACAAAGCAGTGGCAATTTGCAAAATTTTGAACGTAAAATTTAATCAACACCATTTTGACCCGGATTCACATAATAAAATCGACGTAAAAATTTCCAGATTTACGGTATGACCTTGACAAGATAAGATGTGTCAACTTCCCTCTCTAGTGGTCAGTTGAAAACTCACAACCAGAGTAAAAGAATAAAGTTGCAAATAAAAATATGGTATTTAAAGGTAACAATATAGAAATGATTAAAATACATAGTTACTAAGTCAAAATTTTTTTTTCAGATTGAATGATTTCAGTCTTAGTCCTGAATGTTTATACATGTAATACGAGGGTGGATTCTGAAATACCTCTTTGAACAGAAAGACAACACATTTTTTTTTCTAATTTTAAGCAATTAGTATGCTAATGAACTTTGACATAAACACTTTTTCTAATAGATTGCTCCTTTTTCAGTTTGCTGTATGGATAAGAGCGTCAGCAGTAAATGTATGCCTCTATGTTCCCTGGATGCTATAGCCTCGGGTTCACTAGACTTCTCCATGGCACTCAACTGCATTGATGAAATAGCAAAAATCATCTCCTGTGCTTCTGGTCAGTTGCTTTCAATGGTGCTTACAAGATTTTAGGGTGTTTTTTGAGGAGTATAATTTGATATAATTATACATGTACATTTATCTCATGTTTACCCCTTTTTCCCGTGGATGTGACTCTCTGGATATTTTTTGATATCCCACAGTTAAGGCTTTGGGATAAAAACACACAACTCTTTGGATAAAAATCATATCCAACTACAAATCATGAGATATCCTATATGTATACCATGCACACACTATAATATTTCACTAGATATGTCATTTTCAGCTGACTCAGAACAAAACACGGAGAAATGGATCAGAGACATTTAATTTTGTTAGAGATAAATGTACAGTCATTGTGTTTTTAGATGGCAGAGATCACACAGCATGTTGTAGAACGTCTCTTGTTCCTGAAACCTGTGACAATCTTTGTCGATTTTCTGCACATGATGAGCTCTCCGCAGATCTGATTACCTGTGTTCAGCATACAGCGACAATCGCAAACTGCTACAGGGAAGGACTGAGTAAGCACTCGTTTTAGCATCAATGTATATTATTTTTGAAAATTCAGTCTTTTTTATCTGTATTGATATCTAGAATTCTGTTAGCTCAAGGCTTTCAGCATTTGGACTAAATGTACGTATTTAAAGATTTTTCCCTTTGTTTTTTATAACACTGAAATTTGAATCATTTTAATACAGCTATGTTACCGAGACAGCCTCGGAATTTCACGGTTGTGAAATATACAGCACACGCTGTGTATCTGAGCTGGAGACAACCAGAGGCCACCAGTACTCGGGTCGAAAATTACACTGTCATCTATTACACAGAAGATGAGAGGAATAAAAAGTGGAAAACCGTAAGTAAATGTATCCCTCTGTACTCAAATGTGAACTAAATATTTATATTCTTAATGCCTTAAGTATGTTCCATTATTGTTAAACAACTCTAAAAATAGAGTTTATTGTGGATGCGTACATATCACAATGTTCCACCACTAACTACTAAGAGAGAAAAAATTTCTTGTGTAAATTATTGTTGTGACTGGGTATTGTTCATGTTTGAATTCTTACAGATTTCCACAAAGAATTTGGAGATGATAGTGAATAACCTACAGCCCAGCACGGTGTACTACTTTGAAGTTGTGTCGGTCAATGAGAACGGAACAAGTGCCCCCGCCCCAGAACTGAAAGTGATGACCAGGCCGTATGGTTTGTACAGCTTGACCGACCTGATTTACAGAAAACCTGATTCAATTATACCAATAAACAGTGACATAAGATTTATAAATGACTAGATGAAATCCAACACAAGAGTTAGGAATTGAATTTTACCCCTCCTGAATGATGAATTCAACATGATCAAATAATAAATATGTATTATATTTTCTAGTGACTGTTGATTAAAAAGTTTATAGCAGGAAGAAATTGTAAAAATTGCCATAAGCACTCTTTTCTATTATACAATCATGTCTCTCTAATAGCATGTTTGAAAAGAGGAATAAATCAATTTTTTTCAACTTAAAAAAGTAAAAATTCAGAATTCCTTTTTCCCCCTAAAACAATAGAATAATTGGTCTTAATACGATTTTTATACTTAGAAAACTTTGGGCTTTTGCCTTGCCTTGTTCATCTACTGAAGATCACTAAATTTTCGCGACACCTTATTTTCGCAAGATAGTAATTGACTCTTGATTAACGTGACAAAATTTTCACAAATTGTCGTTATTGCTGTATATAATCTTAAGGAATACTATTATATGTGAGAGTTAAATTTTCGTGAACACACTGTCTCGCGTAATTACGCGAAAATAAAGTTCTCGCAAATAAAAATTGATTTACATTATTTCCTTTGCTGTGTTCTGGCATCATTAATATTGTGTGTCTACATTTGATTACAGATAATATCACTATCCCTGATAGATGTCTACATTTGATTACAGATAATATCACTATCCCTGATAGATGTCTACATTTGATTACAGATAATATCACTATCCCTGATAGATGTCTACATTTGATTACAGATAATATCACTATCCCTGATAGATGTCTACATTTGATTACAGATAATATCACAATCCCTGATACATGTCTACATTTGATTACAGATAATATCACTATCCCTGATAGATGTCTACATTTGATTACAGATAATATCACTATCCCTGATAGATGTCTACATTTGATTACAGATAATATCACAATCCCTGATACATGTCTACATTTGATTACAGATAATATCACTATCCCTGATAGATGTCTACATTTGATTACAGATAATATAACTATCTCTGATACATGTCTACATTTGATTACAGATAATATCACAATCCCTGATAGATATCTACATTTGATTACAGATAATATCACAATCCCTGATAGATATCTACATTTGATTACAGATAATATCACAATCCCTGATAGATATCTACATTTGATTACAGATAATATCCATTATCCCTGATACATGTCTACATTTGATTACAGATAATATCACTATCCCTGATAGATGTAACTTCACAATGAAGAATGATTCAGATGTCCGTACAGATTTACTTATGTCGAGGAATATCTCGGGCAGTGTGGGGGATTGTAAGACGTTCTGTTCTGTCCCTCAGTGTCGGGGATTCACCTACTCCCGTCAGAACCAAATGTGTATACTGTACATGGACAAAGTCCCTCTCCAGACCTACCCCAGGCCAGGCTTCGATTATTATAACCACACATGTCCTCTGGGTAAGTATCTTTTGAGCTTTTCTGAGCCGATGGTTCATTGAGAAGTGAGTTTTTCTGGTAATGTGTCCCGTTGTCATCTGTTGTGTTTTATCGGTAAACTTTTACACATTCTGTCTTCTCAAAGACCATTTGGCCAATTTCAACCAATCTGGCCACTAAGCATCTTTGGGTTAAAGGGAATTAAAGTTTATTCAAATGAAGGGTCACACTTTTCAAGGGGAGATAATTGAATTGGCATAGTGGAACACAATAAGAAATAAGAGTTTAAAATAGAAATGTATAGGAAAATCTTATTAAATCTTAAGAACAGCAGAGCTTGAATAGTTGTGTTTTTTATGGTGTTTTTGTATACATATCACAATATTTGAGTCATGATACTATATGTATCACAATATATTGAATTGAAAATCATATTTTTATCGATATTGACAAAACATACATGTATCTTCACAATTAAGAATATTTTATTTACAGAAGATCTATATCTGTTGTTCTATATCTGTTGTAAAACAAAATTATTTCACACAACTTCACAAGTGGTGTTAATTACAATATATTTCATATTAATATTTATATAAAAAATATATATCTTATAAACTAAACCCAAAATGTTTAGAAAGGAAAAGATTTTTTTGACCAAATTTCAATATGCATATCAATATTGTTATCGTATCTGCCCTAGTCACAACTTATGAAAAAGTATTAATATTAATTGACTGTATTTGATTTTATTTTCAGCACCAGACAATGAACGTCCTGGAAACTGGAGTCTGCAATTTCAGAATAGAACAGGTAAGTCAAAGAGATAATGCTGGAACAGGAAAATTGGAGAGACTATCAATACACGACCATCAAAGATACAATACCAGTTGTAAAATAACAGAATTGTAACAAACCAAGTAGCTGTGCAAGTCAGTGTTAAAAATCAGGTAACTTAGCAAGTCAGTGTAACAGGTTTAGGTAATTCAGCCAGATACTATCATTGTTGAAACAAAGTTGGTAACTCCATAAATCAGTTTAAAAACAGAACAAATGACATAGCAATCATTGCCAAAGTGGAATGGAATACTCCTTAAATCAGACTGGAAAACAGAATAGAATGTCAGGGAAAAAAGTTTAATGAAATATTAAAGAGATTTTGATGTAAGGGAAAACTTTTGTGATTTAATTATTGTTAATAATGAAAATAGAGTTTCTTAATTATATATACAACTCTAAAACACATGAATCTTTTCTACGCCAATTTTCCCCTGCAGATTGCTGTCATAACATCAACATATCATCTGACTGTTTGGACGCTTGTCTGAATGGAGACTTTCAGAGTGTGTATAAATGTGAGACAGACTATAACAAGATACTCACCTGTGCTTCAGGTAAAAACCAGGCTTGTAAACCTTCCTCTAAGTTGTATTTAGTAATTAATCAAAAATAAATTACTACCCAAGCCATATGATTCAACATTGAAATATTTAATTTGATCTTGATGGGAATCAATGGTTTTCGTCTCTGATTGCTTGATATAGAAGATGTTATTGGTACATGTATGAAGTTAAGATTAATACTGTTTAAGTACTTTGATTCTTTGAACTTTATCTTCAGAATTTGTATTCAAAAGCATGATACACACATGTACTGTTACAGATGGGCGTGACCACACACCGTGCTGTCAGAATGCTAACGTGCCCGGTCAGTGTCTGCCATTCTGTAGAGGTCAGCTGGTTCCCACGACGGGCATCAACTCTCTATGTCTGACCTACAGCCCGCTATACATGCGCTGCTTCCTCAACGGAACTCGTAAGTCACATCTACCAATCTAAAGATTTTAAAAGAATTAAGGATTTACAGAGGTAGTACCTCTGTCGAATGTTACATTGAAATGAGTCGGTTTTTATTGTAGAATATCTGCCCACTCCTCCTGTGTCAGTCACTGTGAAGGCAGTGAATGGCACCACCATGGTGGCATACTGGGGACCACCAGCAGAAAACTGTGACACCACAAATCAGTGTCACTATGTAGTATCCCTCAACATGTCAGCAAATAACAGAACACAGGTATCAAAGCACTAAAATAATAATAATGTAAACAGAATGTAATTTACAGTGCCTCAAAAAGGGATTTTTAACTTTCAGATATTCAAATCAAAATTATTGTTGATAGAAATTCTTTGAAGTTATTTATTAATTTTTGTTGCAAATTAACACCAAATTAAGAACAACTAATGATATGCAAAATTCAAGCATTTATATAAATAAAGGATGACTCTCTTGAATTACTAGAATTGCATCTAAAAGCATAATTATTATACAATGTACATGTATATCAAACCTTTATTTTCATTTTAGTTTAGGACAAAGGAAACGAACATTGTACTTACAGGACTGACCCCCAAGAAGACGTACATGGTATCCTTACTGGCAATCAATCAGTATGGAAGCAGTATCCCGAGTCCTGTAGTTAAATTTGTCACCCCTGTATCAAGTAAGATGTTGGTTTCAGCTTTAAAACCCCTAAGTAATTTAAATTTAGGTCCATTGGGGCAAATATTTCTTGAAATTTATAAAGATTTATCTCTTTCATGATCGTTGAAAATTCTAGGGCTTTTTAACAAAGCTTGTGTTTTATTTTCAGCTTCTGATGTTGACATATCGGTAACACAGAAACCGTTTTACCCACCTCCACAGAATGGGGAAGTAGAACTCTTCTGTAATGTTTATGCAGCTGGCAGAGATTTCAATTTTGTTTACTGGATACGGAACAATAAGATAATACGTAAGGGGAGACAACTGACAATGAGAGGACTGAGTGAGAAAGATGAGGGGAATTATACGTGTAGTGCTAAAGACGACAGGGGGACTGTCACTAATGTCACACATTACCTCAGGATCATCTGTAAGTGATGCTGCAATGAAAATCTCAATTATCTACCATTTAGGGCACAATAAAATAATTACTGTAAATGTATTATATTCAGTGTGGCAGATATTGAATTTTGAACTAGTTAGCGGAAATTTGATTTAGCGTATCTCATAGAATTCTTCTTTATTTTTATATGTACAAGACATTTAGCCTTGTACTTGAATTAATGGAACTTGCTTTCCGCCAAAAGTGCTAAAAAGAATACACAGCCAACTGTAATACGTTTACAGTAGATTCTCATTCAAGTTATGAAAAGTCACAGAGGGAGAATTTTCAATGTACAGATATATTTGTTGACCTCTTTAATCTGAGCACATTTATTTACTGTGAAATCATTAATTTTCCTGGGGTTTCATTTTTGTTGTTTTCTAGGCACTGAGAGACCCACGAATTTATAACCTTCACGAAATGTAAAATTTCACATGCATTACTCGCTAAACTTTCTCCAACCACGAAAACACCCCCCCCAAAAAAAAAACAATATTTTTTCATCAAACCTCAAAATTTGACCCCACTAAAATATGTGATTTTACTGTAATACGTTCAAAAGTCATTGTAGAGTACCATTTAAATGTTTATATCTCTCCAATTTTTCACAACCAGTGGACCTTGTAAATTTCATGTAATAGCAAACTCCATCTTGTCAGCTCTATTACTAAATCATGCTGATATTCATGGAACTAAAACAAAATTTGTATGAAAAGTTGAAAATCAATCCTGATCACATTCATGATTTACATGTACAACTTAAAATTTATAGACTGTTTGTATGTACAAAAATTTAAAACAAATCTAGGCAGGGGATAAAAATTGGAAAAGAGAACCTAGGCATTTTCTTTATAAAGGCCTTAAGGGAACATATACCCCAGCCCACACCACACCCACTCCAGATTTATCAATTTGGTGTATAATATTGGAAGCAATGATTGAGTCGAAAATTATATTTAGATAGAAATAATATTTTGAAATATTAAGTATGATATACTTTGTACTTGCTAAAATAAGATGCATTTTGAATTTCTACAGATAAACCTAAGGCTGTTAACCTGGTAGATGTCAGATATTTAGCCAATCAGAATCAGGTTGCCAAACTCCAGTGTGACTTCATGGGATATCCAACCAAAATACAATGGTTTAAGGGAGAAGATAAAAGACCAGTTGAGGAATTAACAGACTATTTTCATGCCAAGTCAATGCTGATATCATTTCCAACTTTCCAGCGATCGGTTTTGTCCATATATTACGTAGTGGACAAAGCTTTTGATCGCTACACCTGTGTTGGTTCTAACGAATTTGGAAATGGGTCAGGAGTAGTGCAGCTAAAAAGTAAGCAAAAATTTTTTTTAGAAGCCTTTTTTTATATGAAAAAACCCAGACTTTAAATCTATCTTTGCTTGAAATCAGACAGTCTTTTCCTTAAACCGATTTAGTAGAATAAATATGTCATGCTTCTATGAATGAATCTATTGACTTTCAATTGTAGATGACCTTCCAAGTCCCACTGTTACAACACCCCCTCCCCCTCCACCCACACGGAATGTCTCAGGTAGGTACAGGATATAAACTAGTAAAAACAAAATATAGAATGGACTAGTAAAAAACAAAATAAACACAGTTATACAGATTGTACCTAACACATTGCATTTGGAATAAACACCTTCTCCTTCAGCGATAAATTTTGAAAATGAAAATAATATCTATAAAAAGTGTCCTTTTCTTGTGATATGAGGAAATCTGAATGTTTCTCTACTGTATGTTGCAGCATGCTGTGCTAACTATGAGTTGCCTCCAGTCTGTCAGGAGTTGTGTACCTTGGACATAGATCTTGATAAAGTAGCAGCTCAGTCCACAAAGTACGGCCAATGTCTGGCTTATCTTCAGTTCTTCACAAGCTGTGCCTCAGGTATGGCATTTTGAACATTATAACAGCTTTGCTTGTAAGGAGAAAAGGTTTCAACCAAAATATTTTCAAGGTGTTCTGAGAACAAATAGACATGAATTCAGATGTTAGGATTGAACTTCCAAATGTGGTTTGTTCAAGTTAAAAAGAGAATTACTGCTCTCTTAAAAATTGCTTCAAATAGTGACTCATTTCTGGTTTTATAGCTTAATGTATAGTTAAATAAATGATTTTACCCTTTATGAATTATGTAAGAATTATTTTTATGCGCCGGGATCGATAGATCCGAGGCGTTATTGTTTTTGTCCTGTCTGTTTATCTGTTTGTCTGTTTGTCTGTCTGTTGTCAACTTTAGCCTTGGCCATAACTTTTGAACCTTGAGAGATAAAGACTTCATATTAGGTATGCATACTCCACTAGAAAAGTTCTTTCAAATGACATCAAGGTCAGTGACCTTATGACCTTGACTGTGACCTATATGCTAAAAAAAGCTTTTTCGAACTTTTGCCATAACTATTGAACCGCAAAAGATAAAGAATTCATAATTGATATGCCTACTCCACTTGTTAAGCTCTTTTAATTGACACCAAGGTCATTGATCTTGTGACCTTGACTGTGACCTATAAGCAAAAAATAGCTTTTTCGAAATTTGGCCATAACTTTTGAACCATGAGAGATCGAGACCTCATATTTGGTATGCATGCAACATTAATTAAGCTCTTTCAAATGACACCAAGGCCAAGACCTTGTGACCTTGACTGTGACCTATATGCTAAAAATGGTTTTTGGAACTTTGTTGCCACCGGGCGCATAGTGTTTCACAAACACATCTTGTTTTATAAATTGTTTGTTTTACAAGGAGATATAATGAATTGTAGATGGTAAAGATCACTCTAAATGCTGTCAGAGGGAGGGAGTACATCCATTCTGTGTCAAGTTCTGTACCGGCTTCGTTCCTGATGATACTGGATCTATCTACCTAATGAACTGTGTGTCAGATGCCAAGATCATGCTGCAGTGTGTACAGGAAAATGTAGGTCAGTAAAATGGAAAAGTAGGTCAGAAAAATGCTGGTTAGAGACAACAAAATATAGGTCAGTGGAATGAACATGTAGGTCAAAGGAAAAGAAATGTAGGTAAGAGGCAACAAAATGTACCTCTGAGGCAAAGAAAATATGGAGACTTGAAAATGCAGGTCATTTGCAAGGAAAACTTGGGTTCTCAATGAAAGAGGAGGTCACAGTGACCTAGTATTGGAATTTTACTGCATATTACCAAAAGGCCGAGAATCATCAAGTGATTGGGTCATACAACTTATCAGAGGAATAGTTCTAGGCCTTTGAGTCTCTTGTCAATCACTTGACTGGACATTAGATGTGATAAAGAATGAGTTCATTCCTCTGGCTATCTGTGAAATGTTTTTGACTTTATAGCATTAAGAATGTTAATGTTGTTTGTGTAGAGCTTATTCCTGGTCCTCCAAAAGTGCGAGCCATACAGGATAAAGATGTCATTGATGTGAGCTGGGATAAGCCTCAAGACAATGCACACAGAGTCGAACATTACGAGCTGTTCTGGCAGGGTAGTGATACCCCCTCTTCACCACAACAAGTCTCCCTGGTAAGCTATTACAGGCTTCTCTGGTAAAGAAGTGATACCCCCTCCTCTCCCTGGTAATCTATTACAGGCTGTTCTGGTAAAGAAGTGATACCCCATTGTCTCCACAATAAGTCTCCCTGTCAAGCTATTACAGGCTTCTCTGGTAAAGAAGTGATACCCCCTCCTCTCCCTGGTAATCTATTACAGGCTGTTCTGGTAAATAAGTGATACCCCATCGTCTCCACAATAAGTCTCCCTGTTAAGCTATTACAGGCTGGTCTGGTAAAGTAGTGATACCCCCTCCTCTCCGTGGTAATCTATTACAGACTGGTCTGGTAAAGTAGTGATACCCCCTCCTCTCTGTGGTAAGCTTTAATAGGCTGTTCTGACTAGGTAGTGATACCCCCTCCTCTCCCTGGTAAGCTATTACAGGCTGCTCTTGTAAAGTAGTGATACCCCCTCCTCTACACAAAATCTTCTTGGAAAGCTGTTACAAGCTGTTCTGGTAAAGAAGTGATACCCCTCCTCTCTGCAACAAGTCTCCCTGGTAAGCTGGTCTGGTAAAGTAATACCCCCTTCTTTTCCCTGGTAAGCTTTAATAGGCTTTTCTGACTAGATAGTGCTACTCACTGTTTTCACAAGTCTCTCTGATAAGCAGATATGTTTTGGTAGTGATTCACAAGTCACTATTGTTAACTGTTATAGGTTGTTCTGGTTATGTAAAGGTTTCAGACTTTTTACCCATTATAAACTGATTTCAGGTATTTCTATACCACCTCTCTTCAACAATGCTCCCTTGTAAATTGATTTTCATGCTCAACTTTGTCCCTAAAATCTTGATGTGACCATTGAGTTACCAAACATGAATTCATGTTAATTAGTAACCAAAGAAAGAAAACTCAAGAAAGATTAAATGAAGATTGAACAAGAGGTGTTTGTAAACCACTTACGCCCCCTCCTCGCAATGATTGGAATTTTTGTAAGTTTAAGGGGCATAACTCAGAAAGGCTGGGTCATACCCAAAACAGAACTTGACCTAGATATTCTAATGATAAATCTGTATACCAAATTTCATTTCAATATAAGCAACCTGTGCAAAGAAAATGAATGGAAACTGCAAATAATTGGAATTTTTCTAAGTCTAAGGGGCATAACTCTGTCCAAAATGGCCGGATTGTAGCCAAAGTATAAGTTTACCTAGATATTCTTATGATAAATCTGTATACCAAATTTTCATATCAATATATGCAACCTCTGCGAAGAAAATGAACAGAAACTGATGGTGGACCCACAGACAGACAGTCTTACTGACTGACAGACAGACAGCAGCAAAGCAATATGCCCACCCTTCTTGGAAGGGGGGCATAAAAATTGTTTTTTTTATTAACCTCTTATGATAGATCAGAAAACTAGAAATGTGATATGATGTAGTTGATAAGATATATTAATGAACATGTATTTTCTTTTCAGTCCAGAAATATTACTGACTACAAAATAAAAAGAATTAAGGAGGATGTTACTTATAGTATCTGGGTCATAGCTGTCAACGAGAAAGGCTCCAGTCAACCGAGTAACAAACAGAATATCACAGTCAAAAGTGAGTAGATTTAGTCAACCAAGTAACAAACAGAATATCACAGTCAAAAGTGAGTAGAGTAACAAACAGAATATCACAGTCAAAAGTGAGTAGATTTAGTCAACCAAGTAACAAACAGAATATCACAGTCAAAATTGAGTAGATTTAGTCAACCGAGTAACAAACAGAATATCACAGTCAAAAGTGAGTAGATTTAGTCAACCGAGTAACAAACAGAATATCACAGTCAAAAGTGAGTAGATTTAGTCAACCGAGTAACAAATAGAATATCACAGTCAAAAGTGAGTAGGTTTAGTCAACCGAGTAACAAATAGAATATCACAGTCAAAAGTGAGTAGATTTAGTCAACCAAGTAACAAACAGAATATCACAGTCAAAAGTGAGTAGGTTTAGTCAACCAAGTAACAAAGAGAATATCACAGTCAAAAGTGAGTAGATTTAGTCAACCGAGTAACAAACAGAATATCACAGTCAAAAGTGAGTAGGGTTATTATCAAGCCTACCATTATCTATGTCATTGCTTCATAGAAATTTGTAGAACTTTGCATACGTAGTAGAAGTATTAAATTTTGTTAATTTACACAAGACAAATAGTAAAAGTTAAATTTATGCAGTTTATGATAAATGTTGAATATATTGTGTTGTAGATCTGCGGCCATCCAAGCCGACCAGTCTACATGTGTCTGAAGTGAACGGTGAGAGTGTGGTATTAAAGTGGGATCCCCCAGAAAACCACGCTGTAGTGGACAGGTACACGATCAGATACAGGAAGGCTGGGACCAGTGATGACTTTATGGAGGTACAGTCTACATATAAATCTAAACAATAAACTCAAAACAATCCCTGTAATATGAGGTTTGCTTTATATTTCCCAATGTAGGAGGTCAATTACAAAATCTTAATAAAGAGGGAACAAAATACTGAAATACTTCTGGGGCCCATTTTACAAAAGAACTTACGACTGAGACCAACATTGAATTTTGATTTTAAATTTCTTATATGCATGAAGTTAAATATAATTTTAAAATTTAAAATGGAGTCAATAAAGTCATTCAAGATGCAATATGAAAATGAATAATTGATTTTGCAAAAATTTTACTTTTGAAAAACAGGATGTCGTTTGAAAAATTTCATGTAATTAGGAATCTGCAGGTCTGTATGTTATAACTGTGTTGTAGATTACAGCTCGCAACACTGTCACAACTTATGTGGTGACAAAACTTGAACCCAACACACTATACGAGTTTCAGCTGATAGCTGTGGGCCCTAACGGTAAAAGTGAGACTGCAGCCCTAGCCTCACCACTCAATTCAGGTAAGGATTCTCTCCCTTGAGATTTTGATGTAAAGACATTTCAATCTGGTTAAATATTGGATCAAGTGTCATAATGTTTCTTTTTTAATTTTTAGGCCCAAGTACAAGTCCCAAGAGAGTTAAGGGTAAGAGTTGAACATAATCTAATATTGTATGTTACTCTCAAAATGTAAAATCATTTAGAAGTTGTAAAATAAAAAATCAGCTGATAGGAAAAACATTTGAAATACATTCAAACCTTTGTTAAATTGTAATATGTAATAATAATCAGTCGATCAAATCATTCCTAAAGTGTGTCTAGTTCTATTAATTTTAGGACATACATGTGTAACTATTTGGTTGTTTAGATGCCATTGATTCTCATGATGATAACTACCTTGTTGATTACAGATCAGGGTAATTCTGCTGTTCCGCTGGGAATTGGTCTGACTGCGTTGATCATTTTATTGGCTGGAGGACTTGTAGCAGTGTATCTGTACTGCAGGTCAGAAATTACTTAACATCACTCAAAGTACATTTATAAATTCTTAAAGATTTAATGCTTTCAGAGTAAGTTGATTGAGTATTGGAGAATTATAATGAAGACACAATTTTACTTTTCATTGTTCATCAATTGTATGGTGAACAAAAAAAACACTTTGCATTTTTAGGTCACCTGAGTAAACTCAGGTGACCTATTGCTATCTGTTTTTGTCCGTCGTCGTCCGTTGTGCGTCATGCGTTAACATTTAAACATTTTCAGCTTCTTCTCTGAAACCACTGAACCATTTTCAACCAGTTTTGGCATATAGCATCTATGGGTGAAGGGGAACAAAAATTGTGAATTTCGTGGTCCCTGCCCCCCTGGGGCCCGGGGGGTGGGGCAAAAACCACTAAAATTAGTGCAATCTTTAAAAATCTTCTTCTTTACTCCCAGACATCAAGCAGTCAAACTGTTGGTATGATTGTAATCAGCATTGAGTCCTCTACCAAAATTGTGAAATTCATGGCCCCAGGGTCAGGGGTTCTGGTGTTAGGGCGGGGCTCTATTGATTATATAGTGAAAATGCATTATTTCTTTGAAAATCTTCTTCTCTGCTCCTGGGTATTAAATAAACTAATTAAGTTCATAGTTATGATGAGCAAGAGTGCCTCTACCAAAATTGTGAATTTTATGGCCCCAGGGTCAGGGGTTCTGGTGTTAGGGCGGGGCTCTATTGATTATATAGTGAAAATGCATTATTTCTTTAAAAATCTTCTTCTCTGTTCCTGAGTATTAAATAAACTAATTAAGTTCATAGTTATGATAAGCAAGAGTGCCTCTACCAAAATTGTGATATTCATGGCCCCAGGGTCAGGGGTTATGGTGTTAGGGTGGGGCTCTATTGATTATATAGTGAAAATGCATTAAATCTTTGAAAATCTTCTTCTCTGCTACTAGGTATTAAATAAACTAACTAAGTACATACATGTAGTTATGATGAGCAAGAGTGCCTCTACCAAAATTGTGAAATTCATGGCCCCAGGGTCAGGGGTTCTAGTGTTAGGGCGGGGCTCTATTGATTATATAGAGAAAATGCATTAAATATTTGAAAATCTTCTTCTCTGTTCCTGAGTATTTGATAAACTAACTAAGTACATAATTATGATGAGCAAGAGTGCCTCTACCAAAATTGAGAAATTCATGGCCCCAGGGTCAGCGGTTCTGTTGTTAGGGTGGGGCTCAATTGATTATATAGTGAAAATGCATTAAATCTTTGAAAATCTTCTTCTCTGCTACTAGGTATTAAATAAACTAACTAAGTACATACATGTAGTTATGATGACAAGAGTGCCTCTACCAAAATTGTGAATTTTATGGCCCCAGGGTCAGGGGTTCTAGTGTTAGGGCGGGGCTCTATTGATTATATAGAGAAAATGCATTAAATATTTGAAAATCTTCTTCTCTGTTCCTGAGTATTTGATAAACTAACTAAGTACATAATTATGATGAGCAAGAGTGCCTCTACCAAAATTGAGAAATTCATGGCCCCAGGGTCAGCGGTTCTGTTGTTAGGGTGGGGCTCAATTGATTATATAGTGAAAATGCATTAAATCTTTGAAAATCTTCTTCTCTGCTTCTGAGTATTAAATAAACTAATTAAGGACATAGTTATAATGAGCAAGAATGCTTCTACCAAAATTGTGAATTTTATGGCCACAGGGTCAGGGGTTATGGCGTTAGGATGTGGCTCTATAATGATTATATGGTGAAAATACATTACATCTATGAAAATCTTTTTCTCTACTCCTGGGTAATAAGCAGGATGAACTATTAACATAGTTATGATGAGATTGGCTCTTCTTCCAGAATTGTGAATTTCAAGGCCCCTGGGTCAGAGATACCAAAATGGGGAGGGGGGGGGGGGCTCTACTTATATACTGAAAATGAATTGTTTGAAATCTGCTCCTTGGTATTAATCACACATTTTTGATAAGCAAGTGTGCCTTTTCAAAAATTGTGCAATGTGTAGACCTAGGGTCAAGTGTTCATGTGTGGTAGGAGCACTCCTGATTATTGCTGAATAATACTGATTAGTTGACATACTTTTTTGTTCCCCTACCCTGCTTATCCATATTAAGTAAACAAACTAAACAATTGCTAAGTGTATAATTATGATTAGCAATGGTGCCTCTTTCAGAATTGTGAATGCCATAGCATCTAGCTTAAAACATGAACCAAATTCAATCATTTGAAAATTGTTGCATGATGCTCAGGTGACCTATAAGGCCTATGGGCCTCTTGTTGAATATTTATCCTCAAAAAAGTATATTGTACATTAACACAGGAGAAAGAGGAAATCAAACTTTGGAGAAACTGTCTCATTTGAAAATCCCCAGTATGGCAGCAGAATTCAGGTAAGTTATCAAAAATACATAAAGATATTTCTATCAAAGAATCTCACTCATGCATGCACATGTAATTATTCCCCTACCAGTGAAACCAGAGGGGACTATAGGTTTCCTCTGCATCTGTCAGTTCATCTAGCTGTCTGTCAGTCTCTCCATCCATATGTCCTTCTATCTGTCAGTCTGTCCTATTCAATATTCCGAGAATTGAGCAATAGGTTTCTTTTATCTGAACATTATCAGATAGGGATGTTTATGTCCTCAGGTGAGTCTCGTAAATGGCCCTGACCATTGCAGGGTATAGAAATGGAAGATAATTAAACAACCCTAGTAAATTTTGGTGTTTTTACAGATATCTGGCTTGCCTAACAGTACATATGACTCCACCAGTGACGAGGGGTTTGGTTACGCCCCGCTGAGAGAGGACCATGACGTAGAACATCGACCGACAGATAAATCGAACCTCCGGGACGATTCTACGATGGATGTGGCTATAACGTAACTCGAGAATTAGAAACAGTTTCCCACCAGATCATCATTTACTCAAACTTCATCAAATCTGTCCACTGGATGGATTGTTGCAATATATCAAAGTCCCCACATTATACACTCAACGTGCTCAAGTCTCCTAATATAAAACAGAGGACTGTTCTGATTTAATTATATAAAAACACATCTAGAAAGACATTCGATTGGCGATTTTGTATGGGTAATGCAATTATTATACACCTATTTTTAGGATTCTATATATCCGTCCCAGATTTTCAGAGCCAGAAATGTATGCTGTCGTCTTTAGTTCTTTTTTTCAGTTTCACGTAGATAATGGATGTATTTGTGTTTTTTTAAGCTTGAAGTTTTGAAATCAAAACAACATATACTAAACAGTTCTTGATTATGTAGAACTGACATTATTAATGTTTTTTAAACATCAGGTGCCTGTATTATAAATGTCTTTGTGGATCTCTCAGTTTAGCAGTTTTAATTGAAGGGATTTATAAAGATTTTCTCACTGCCAAAACTGCATGTTATAATTAGGGTATGAATTTAGACAGTTGAGATTCAATCCTTTTTATGTGAACTTAACATTGGATGATTAATGTGATATTTATCTTCTAGATAAAACTACATAAATTTCAAAATAAGTTCAGATTTTCATCATTTTATAGATTTTTTTCAGTAAAGTCTTATTTTTTTTTTTTGCAATATGAGCTACATGAATGTAGTCCCTGATGTTTTACATGTTCTACCTTATTTTTGTATGAAGCTTTTGTAAAAAAAAAAATTGTTTGTATCGGCAATTTTTTTCTTTCTTCATTGTATCACTTTTAGAAGCACTTTTGAGAATCAACTCTATGACAAACAAGAATTTTTAATTTTCAGAAAAAAGCATTATTAGAATGGACAGGTAAGATAAAAATTGTATATCAGTTCTAAAATAAGATGACAGTATGAGACTCTGGAACATTTGATATGTGCATTTTTATAATCAATTTCAAAATATCCTTGGCTGAAAACTTTTGGGACGTATCTTTCTAAACTTTGAAAAATAAGAGTGCATCTCCTACATATGTGGGTACATTCCAATCATTTACTTTATTCACAAGAAACTCTAGCATTATCAAATGGGTCATCCTGTACCTCCTAATAAATTGTAGTTCATGTGAAATTAATAACATCTGATATGGATTTTTTTTCTTATAACATTCATGATATAACAAATGGTTTATGGTTACATGTTTGGACTTTTTAGGTCACCTGAGTAAACTCAGGTGACCTATTGCTATCCGTTTTCGTGCGTCGTCCGTCGTGTGTTAACATTTGAACATTTTCAGCTTCTTCTCTGCAACCACTGAACCAATTTCAACCAAATTTGGCACAAAGCATCTATGGGTGAAGGGGAACAAAAATTGTGAATTTCATGATCCCTGCCCCCCTGGGGCCTGAGGGGTGGGGCCAAAATCACTAAAATTAATCCAATCTTTAAAAATCTTCTTCTTTACTCCTGGACATCAAGCAGTCAAACTGTTTGTATAACTGTATTCAGAATTAAGTCCTCTACCAAAATTGTGAAATTCATGGCCCTGGGGTCAAGAGCTCTCTAGTGCTAGGGCGGGGCTAAATAAGTATATGGTGAAAATGCATTATTTCTTTGAAAATCTTCTTCTCTGCTCCTTATTATTAAATAACCTAACTAAGTGCATAGTTATAATGAGCAAGAGTGCGTCTACCAAAATTGTGAATTTTATGGCCCCAGGGTCAGGGGTTCTGGCGTTAGGGTGGGGCTCTATTGATTATATATTGAAAATCTTCTTCTCTGGCCCTTGGTATTAAATAAACTAACTAAGTGCATAGTTATTATGAGAAAGAGTGCTTTTACCAAAATTGTGAATTTTATGGCCCCAGGGTCAAGGGTTCTGGTGTTAGGGGGGGGGGGGGGGCTCTATTGATTATATAGTGAAAATACATGAATTCTTTGATAATCTCCTTCTCTGCTCCTAGGTATTAAATAAACTAACTAAGTGCATAGTTATAATGAGCAAGAGTGCCTCAACCAAAATTGTGAATTTTATGGCCCCAGGGTCAAGGGTTCAGGTGTTGGGGGGGGACTCTATTGATTATATAGTGAAAATACATGAATTCTTTGAAAATCTTCATCTCTGCTCCTAGGTATTAGATAAACTAACTGCCTCTTCTAAAATTATGAATTATATGGCCCCAGGGTCAGGGGTTCTGGTGTTAGGGCGGGGCTCTATTGATTATATAGTGAAAATACATTAAATCTTTGAAAATTTTCTTCTCTTTCTCTTGGTATGAAGCAGATGAACTACCTAAATAGTTATGATGAGCAAGGGCCCTAATCTTGCAGAATTGTGAATTCAAGGCCCCAGGGTCAGGGGTGGGGGGGGGGCTCTACTTATATACTGAAAATGAATTAATTATTTGAAATCTGCTCTTTTGTATTTATAAAACATTTATTTATTTTTTGATAGGCAATTTTAAGTGTGCCTTTTTAAAATATGTGCAATGTGTGGACCTAGGGTCAGGGGTTTATGTCACAGTGTAAGGGGCACTACTGATTATTGCTGAATATTACAGATTAGTTGGAATGAAATTTTGTTCCCTACCCTCGCGTATGGATATTCAGTAACCAAGCTAAGCAACTGCTAAGTGTATTGTTATGATGATCAATGGTGCCTCTTTCAAAATTGTGAATGCCATATAGCATCTGGCTTAAAACATGAATCAAATTCAATAACTGGAAAGTTGTTGCATAATGCTCAGGTGACCTATAAGGCCCGTGGGCCTCTTGTTTTGTCAATTGTCTATGCAGCTTAGCAAAGCATTCATTCCACAGTGATTCAAACTACTGTCATTATAATTTTTTTTATGTCATTTGATCTAAGTAAGGTCATGTCATTCCTAAGTAGCATTAATGGCATCATTCTGTTTTTGCCGATACATCTGCGAGATTGTGATTGCAACTGACTGTTTTTTTAGTATGGTGTATATATGTTTTGATTTGTTCAGGATTGGTGCACCGTTAAATACTGATTGATATTACAACTTTTGTGATATTTTTCTTCTAAATTATTTTTCCTTTTTTATTTTATGAATTTTTCAAGGCTTAACCCTCTTCCCCGCAGTCACGCATTTTAATGCATATACCATTTCCTATTTTTAACGCAAAATCAGGCATTTACCGTTTCCCTGCAATCACGCATTTTCACGCACTTTAAAACGTTAAATTAATCTTCAATTTATTGCCAAATTCCAACTATTTTATACTTGCTTAAATCTCATAAAGTAAGAAAAGTTATTTTCTAATTAAAATATAAGGTCAAAAAATTATTTACGCTAATCTTTAGAGAAACTTGTACCCCGCTTTAAAGTGCTTGCGGGGAAATGGTAAATTAATATTTCTATGACGCGAGGATTCAGTGTATGTTGCAAAACAATTCAGTAAGTTGTAAAGAGTTAAAGTTGTACTTAAATGAAGTTTAGAAAATGGTACATTTTACAAGTTTTTGAATAATAATACATTTATTCTTTGGTGCAGAGAAAAAAATTCAATGCAGAAAAGATAGAGATTTTAAAAAAAAAAAATTGACTAAAACGGATTTTCTGGATTTAAAAATATAAAATCAAATTCATTTTACACTACTAAGGTCCCATCTTGGTAGATGCAGGTTATTTTTGTTTATTTGTTTGTTGGTTGATCAATAATACTCTATTTTTATCCCTTTCATTTAATAGCTTGTTTATTATATTGATAATACACAGTGTAAATTTTCAGTCGCATAATATTTTCAGATTTTTGTCTTGTTATTGATCGCAAAACACTATGTTTATACAAGAATTGCAGTCATCAAATTACATTATCAAAATTAAGATGAAAAAATCTCATCATTTAATCATAATACAGGTTTGTTTTTTTGTTAACCATAACGGTGACATATTGAGAAATTTTGTGCTTGTTACTTCTTAAAATCTACAAATAAGTATTAAACTTCTGCCCATAAATATCCATTTGGGAATGAATATAAAGCTTGGATCATTAAAAGCAAAAACAGCAACAATTACATGTATGTGTATCATTATTAAAAATCTCTTGAATAGAATCTCTTTTTTCTGAGGTTTATAATTTTTTGCCATTACTTTGATACTTGTTTATACTGTGTGTTCTGAGATTTTGATATACATGTATTCACATTGTTCATTGATTTTCATATAAATCATTTTAAGTGCTCTGTAATAGAAAAAGTCAAATAAGTACTATTCTCATTTTTTTTTTAATATCTGAAAGTGCTAAGGGGGAGTTACATATTCAGGAAATCATTATTGTGAGAAAGAAAATATCAGTTAAAAATACACTTGTAAAAAATAATAGTATAACATATATTAAAGATCATATACATTGTACATGACAATATATTTAGATTTTTCCTCGGAATTTTTTTAATAAGGTTGTGTCTGTTAGAATTATGATTAATTTGGTTGTTATGCTTTTTGTTCAACATTCCATGACAGGAGTTGTTCCCTACACACAACATAGAGCAAACTAGATGTTGTTTCCTTGTTATTAGTTTTGTTTAAAATGTAAATATGTATTTTCTTTTTGTATTTTTTTTGAATGTGTACTTATTAAAAAAAAAAAATCAAATTCACTCATTCTGGTTATAGTTAATTAATTCTTGTCCATAATCGATTGCAAAGGTGTACACCACATATACCATTTACAGGAAGCAAGTTCATTAAAGTTCCCATAAACAAGAGGCCCATGGGCCACATCGCTCACCTGAGCACTGTGGCTAGGAAAAAGCAGAATTGGTTTATACTTGAAAAGCTTAAATCCAAAAGTAGTCCCATGACCAATCCTGGCTTTGCTATTCTTGAGAAGATTTTTAAAGAATTTTCCTATACATTTCTATGTAAAACTATGGTAGGCCGTTTTGGCCCCTCCCTACCCCTGGGGGTCATAATTTGAACAAACTTGAATCTACACTACCTGAGGATGCTTCCATATAAATTTGATCAATTATGGCTTTGCTATTCTTGAGGAGAAGATTTTTAAAGAATTTTCCTATATATTTCTATGTAAAACTTTGGTCGGCCATTTTGGCCCCGCCCTACCCCTGGGGGTCATGATTTGAACAAACTTGAATCTACACTACCTGAGGATGCTTCCATATAAATTTGATCAATTATGGCTTTGTTATTCTTGAGGAGAAAATTTTTAAAGAAATTTCCTATATATTTCTATCTAAAACTTTGGTCGGCCATTTTGGCCCCGCCCTACCCCCGGGGGTCATGATTTGAACAAACTTGAATCTACACTACCTGAGGATGCTTCCATATAAATATGATCAATTATGGCTTTGTTGTTCTTGAGAAAAAGATTTTTAAAGAATTTTCCTATATATTTCTATGTAAAACTTAGGTCGGCCATGTTGGCCCCGCCCTACCTCCGGGGGTCATGATTTGAACAAATTTGAATCTACACTACCTGAGGATGTTCCCCCATAAGTTTCATCTTTCCTGGCACTGTGGTTCTTGAGAAGAAGATTTTTAAAAGATGCTACCAAATTTTCATTAATTCCCAATTATCTCCCCTTGAATGAGGGCGTGGCCCTTCATTTGAACAAACTTGAATCCCCTTCACCCAAGGATACTTTGTGGCAAGTTTGGTTGAAATTGGCCCAGCGGTTCTTGAGAAGAAGTCGAAAATGTGAAAAGTTTACAGACGGACAGACAGACAGACGGACAGACGGACGCCGGACAAAATGTGATCAGAAAAGCTCACTTGAGCCTTCGGCTCAGGTGAGCTAAAAAGTGGTATGGCTGAAAAATGTCTAGACGGTAAAACTTCATTTTTTCCGTAATAAGTACATGTATTTGAAAGGTTGACTGCATTTAAATTCATTTTTTGGGCATATTAGGAAAAAAAATTAGAATCATTATAGGCCTAAAGTATTGTAAATATTGTTATCTCCTCGCACTGGAAGCTGGGTAAGGTATACGGAAGTGACGTAATTAACAAGGGATCGATGTTGAATGCTGCCTCCATGATATGGTTTTGGATTTAGCTGCATCTGAAGTCTACTAATGTAACCTCTACTAATCCTCTTTTGGCCAATGAAGCTTTTTTGAATTTTGGTAGTGAACTTGTGTGGAAATGTTCCAAAGGCGTTGGCCAATGTTCTCTTTTTTATCTCTTGGCATCTTAATTAATATCTCCAGTATGCATCCTGGTTACAGTAACAATATAGAAGTAAATGTGCTCTGTATACGGAATAAGTGCTTTTGAGAACAAATTTTCTGTGAAGATTTCGAGCACATATCATCAAACAGAAATCCAGGATTACAGAGTATATACTGTTTGAATGTAAATAACAAGCGAGGCGGGAAGCACAGCTTATATAAGTCACAGAAGAAAAAAATTAAAAAAGTAACGCTGTGATCAAACACGAACATTGAGAATTCTACGTATACAATAAGAAGAGCGAGTTTTAAAGATAGAGAAGTTAGTGAAACATATAATCCAATCGACAGAGGCAAGTGTAGAGAGAGAAATATCCTGAATATTTTAGAACCGAGTCTTGAAAATATAAGCATAGAGAATCATGTAGAAGATTGTTAATCACACATAAAAAATTAGTGAAGATACATAGTAATATATAACATAGGTCGAAAAAACGAACTTTTCTTAGTATTTACTTCCGCTGTTTTTAATAGCAACGATGCACCAAAAAAAAAAAAAAAAAAAAATGAGAATAATATTTTATTTCAAAATTGTAAATAGGGATAATTTTAGAAATATGGAAAAAGTGAAGTTCCTTTTTGTTCTAGTGAACAAATTCAGCCAAAATTGACGGGACCAAAATTAAACTCCGATATTTAGTGTAAAAAGTGAAAAACATAAAGAAACAAGATTTTTCCAGGGGCCATATATTCCTGTAGCACATGGGGGCATTTTGGCCCCTCCCCTCCAGGCGTTCATCATTTGAACGAATCTACATTACCTGAGGATGATTCCATATAAGATCACTAATCATAGCTTTGAAGTACTTGAAAAGAAGATTTTAAAAGGTTTCTCTATTTATCCCTATGTAAAACTTGGGTCAGCCATTTTGGCCCCACCCTTGCCCCGGGGGTCATCATTTGAACAATCTTGAATCTACACTACCTGAGGATGATTCCACATGAGTTTCATCTTTCCTGGCTCAATGGTTCTGGAGAAGGATTTTTAAAGATATTTCCTTTATATTCCTATTTAAAAATCGGGTCGGCCATTTTGGCCCCACCCTTGCCCCAGGGGTCATGATGTGAACAAACTTGAATCTACACTACCTGGGGATGATTCCACATGAGTTCCATCTTTCCTGGCCCAGTGGTTCTGGAGAAGAAGATTTTTAAAGATTTTTCCTATATATTCCAATGTAAAACTTGGGTCGGCCATTTTGGCCCCACCCTTGCCCCAGGGGTCATGATGTGAACAAACTTGAATCTACACTACCTGGGGATGATTCCACATAAGTTTCATCTTTCCTGGCTCAGTGGTTTTGGAGAAGAAGATTTTTTACAGATTTTTCAAATTATATATTCCTAGGTAAAAGGGCGTGGCCATTTTTGGCCCCACCCTTGCCCCGGGGGTCATGATTTGAGAAGAAACAAACTTGAAAAGTTACACTACCTGAGGAGGATTCCACATGAGTTTGATCTTTCCTGGCCCAGCGGTTCTGGAGAAGAAGATTTTTTAAAAATGCCATTAATTTTTAATAAATTCATGATTATCTCCCCTTGGAAAAGGGAGTGGCCCTGAATATTTTGAACAAACTTGAAAATTCACCCAAGAATACTTTGTGCCAAGTTTGGTTGAAATTACACAGTAAAAAATTCTGAAGAAGAAGATGATATAAAATGTGAAAAGTTTACGTATTTACTTCCGCTGTTTTTAATAGCAACGATGACAACAACGAAAAAAACGCCAACAACCCCAAAATTGTACAACGATACAGACAACGGAAACAAATTTTGATCAGAAAAGCTCACTTGAGCCTTCGATATTTAGCTAAAAAGTGAAAAACATAAAGAAAAAATATGGTTGGCACTTCTCATTCAGTTTGTAATGCATCTATAATATGATCTGAAGTATTATGAGATTTAATAGCAGCTAAAAAAGAATGCATAAATACCTATTAATAACTCGCATCACAATGATCACATGTCTACTAATATTATCTAAGATAAATACAAACTTACAAATATGAAAAATGAATTGTTTTTTTTCTAGATTAACAATTCTAACAATGAAGAGGCAAATCAACTATATTATTTTATGTTTTATGCAAAAGTTAAAAGATTGTATATAAAGAAAAAAAATGATTTTTAAAATTTCACACCATGTTGCTGTCCTTGAAGACTTTGTCGCGCCCTTTACCTGAAAAAAGATGCGATTGTTTAAAAACGGTGACCATATACAAGAGATTCAAAAAGAGAAGACCGTGATTTGCAGAATCAATTAATGAATGTGATTAAAACTGGAATAACTCTATACTTTTTGCTTTCTTGGGTTTCTTTTGCCTGTTCTGGTCCTCTGGTACCGCTGGGTCAGAAGTTTGAGGTGCGGAGGATACGTTGATGGGTCCATTTCCAATCGGAGAAAAGCCAGACGCACTGCAAACGTATGTAAATGTTCATTATCTTTTCTTCAGTTCTGGCAAAATAAAGTAGATACAAGAATTTATTGCATTGCGTCTTACCCGCTGAATGCTTTAAATGCTACATATCCTCCGGTTGCTAACATAGCCACGCCCCCCATTCCCACGGCGGTCATCCACAACGTATTCTTCGCATCATTTCCGAAACTCCCCGGTTTTTCCGTTGTCGTCACGGCGATAGTCGTTGTCGTCTGCAAAATGGAAGTGATACGTTAAGAGTGAATGTGTAAAGGATGCGAAATACAGACGATCAAAGTTACAACGAGATAGATAAACGTACCGGTTCAAACAATATCACTATATTAGCTGTTGCCTCTAATGGGGGCGATCCAAGATCTAGAGCTTTCAGTTGGAACTCGAGATAACTTCCAAAGAAATACTGGCTCAAATTCTGTGCCACAGTGAATTCTTTGGTGACATTATCGTAGGAGAAGTAATTTTGTCCATTTGAATCCGTAGGTTGGTTTTCAAACCAGACACGCCCTATTGAGTTGTGGGGGGCGGTAAGATCTGCATCCGTCAGGGTGATCAATCCAACCACTGTCCCCGGGGTTATTCCAGGAGATATGGAATATGTGTAGTATTGCTGATCAAAACGAGGCGCATTATCGTTAGTGTCATAAATGGTGACGTACAAATCTGCCGTATCACTGAGGTAACCCTTGTCGTACACTTTGACTTTACACGACATCATTCTAGGAGCCCCATTATCAACATCTATGGCACGACCAAAGGAAAGAGCTCCGTTACTGGTGTCAAAGCTTAGGTATCGGGTATTAGCGCCACAATCGAGGGCGAAGAAATGGCTGTCGGTGGCGTCCACGTCTGTAAACACGTAAGCCGGAGGATATGGCGTTAATTGTGTACCCGCCTAAAATAGACAGAGAGTGCTGTTAATTCTGTACCCGCCTAAAATGGACAGAGAATAGTGTTAATTGTGTACCCGCCTAAAATGAACAGAGAATATGGTGTTAATTGTGTACCCGCCTAAAATGAATGGATAATGAAAAAGATGAAGATATCGGACAATTAGCGATCTATATAGTCTACAGATAATACACATCGGTACAGAAGACATGCAGGGACTCTCCGGAAATTCAAGAAGTTGGATCAGGTGCCTACAAGGAGTGAGCATTTCAGGATGGATATGCAGCATGTGTTACATAAAATAAGCGGGGTGAAACATGATGTTAATTTACCAGTCCTTCGTTAGCGGTGACCGTGTAGACAGTGGTCTGGAAGGTTGGAGCTTCATTGATGTCCCGGATGTATACCCAGAATCCTCTTCTTGCAGTCGAACTTCCGTCACTCACCCTGGCCTGAATATAATAGCTTGTTCTCGATAAGCTTTCATAGTCTATTTGGGTATTACTTGTGTAAACATCAGCTGTGAACATACAATTAACTTTATTCTTTCAAACGATGCTGTATTTCTAACTGCAAAGTTACAGGTTGTATTGCAATGGTATTGTATGCAATCTACTGGAAGAAATTGTAAACTACAATGTAAGAGAAACATATCAATGAAAAGAAAGATATAATTACTTTATGTAAATGAACTGGTATAAATGCTTTTAATTATGTTTTTAAAAAATGTGAAATGCTCGACATACTGGTATCTTTGATGGTAAAGTAAGTCCAGTCGCCATTAGTAATTGTAAAAGTTACAGTCAATGCATCAACGTCAAGGTCATAGAAGGTCACAGTAAACAGATACTGGTTTGTTGGAATCTTCTCGTTGATGTATATATTGTGTTGGGTCGGAAGGCTTATGTACGAGGGACCGTATCTGTAACCTTTGTAAGAAAGCAAACGTGAAATAGCTTTGTTTCAACCTTTTGAATTTCTTTACAAAATACATCATCAAAAAATTTGAACATGAATGGATAAAAATAATGAGAAGCTAATAACACAAACACAAGTTACCGGTAAGGTGAACTGGAATATATTTGGTTTTGGATTTTGTTTTGCCGTCTGTCACAGAAAATCCGACATTAAAACCACCTTTCCACCATCCTCCCATACTTTGATTGTATTCAACTAAACCACCTACAGAGAGAAAAATAATCTCAACCTAATCTAACCAGTTCTAGATTCTGCACAGTGTTTTTTGTCACAGGATCTTTCTAAAACAAAAATTGAACTCTTATAATGAGAAGAAGATTCATTGAAAAGGATTTGTGCTGCAGCCAGAGTATTTTTTTTCTCACTAGACTTACTGCTATCATCAAGCATCCAGACCGGACATGAATAAGGTCCACAGTATTCAAAGGCGTACGTGAAGTCCGAGTTATCGGGGTCAGTGGCGGTAAGGGTTATAAAGTCCGTCATGTTACTTCTGGAACTGGCACTGTATGAGTATCCATTGACTGGTCAAAAATAAAAAAAAAAAATCAAAATAAAAAACAAACTCAATATTGAACATATTTACATCATATAACGAAATCACGAAAAGGAAAACTTACCTGGAATATTACTTAACTCCGGGCGGACGTTACGTTGCAAGAATAGTTTGAAATATCCGTAAACTGGACTGTGTTTCCCATCTGTACAGGAGAGCTTTATTTCGTACTTCTTATTGGTGTCATAATCAAAGCCAGGGTTACTATTTAGAAGCAGATTGTAACCTGTAACATTCGTCGGGAAAGATTTTCATGACTTATATTTCTTTACTAGTTATAATTACTCAAACCTCATTGCAATTTAAATTCATTTACATACTCATTGAGGAAGCTCTGTTGAGGGAAAACAGTGACGTTGCAGACGATGGATCGACAGAGACGATGGAACACGTCACTGTGGTATCGGTGTCGTCTGCTACAGTCAACACGTGGAGGGTTTTACTGCTTTCTTGGTTCTCCGACAACGTCATAACGGCGGGGAGTGATGTGATCCGCGGCGGCTATAAAGTACAACGCTAGAGTACTTGACACGGGTATGGTACAAAAACGACGTTTTATATGGAAATTACTAGTATTTTATAGTAGATATAGCATTCATTAATTTTTATTTTCATCCAATTTTATTTTAATGCCAAACATTCTCAATTTCTGTTACATGTGGAATGGACAGTTACAAAATAAATGATTCCGAAAAAATATTTTTTTTATCTGCTTACAGTGTTTGAAACCTTGACTGACAATGAACCCCCAGATATGGTCGTGTTTAAACATGTCTTCTTTGCTGTAAACGTCATTGTGTAGGTCTGTCCATTGACGAGCGAGGAAGTTGTACTCACAACACCTGTAAGGTAAAAAAGTTCATTTTATCGATTCCATTAATCATTTAATTTAAACATTATGAATCATCAAGGACCTCTAGACACATCAGAGTTGGGATCAATTGTCTAGGAGGAGTATTTATCTCCTATCGAGTATACTCATCATGAGCACTTTGTATTGATGTGCTGAAGGGATTTTGAAATCGATGGTTTAACAATCGGAAATATGTAATTCATAAAATATCCAAACGATACCCTTTTTTTTGAAAAAAGGATCATAATATCGACCATTGAATCTGCGAATTGATAACTTTTAACAAGAGTATTGAAAGCTCTGTAACACCATGCAAATTATCTAGCTGTCAGTGTTCTGCCTCGGTTAAAAATTGATCTTTCTCAGAACGAATCAGTTATTAGTTAAACAGCATATGCATGTGATACTGGAATACTGGTAATACCGCCTAAATAGAGGGAAATGAAGATAAAAAAGAGGAAATCATTTCAAATTTGTCATATAGTTTAGTTAATAGTCGACCAATAAAATCTATCGTCGGTAAAATAGGCCAGCTATTAATCAGACGCTACAGACTTAACGTCTTTCAATTTTAGTTAGGTCAATATATTGCGTTGCCTAACCCCCCGTTCACACAGAGCTGCGACTTAACGACGATCATTCCGATCAAGCCACGATCTGAAAAAAGTTTTGGATTGGGGCGCATCGGTGCCGATCAGAGTCTAATTCGAGCAATTTGGCAAATTATGGTCTTCATTACGACCGTACTACGATGCCCCTACGTCAAACGCGCTGCTAACACGCTTCCACTACGATGTTACGCAGACCATTGCCGACCAGCGGCTGCGTTTACGCAACGCTGCCGCTACGGCATTCAAAATCATAATACGACCCTACGCAGACGTACTAGATGACTGTACGAGGATATTCGTACGGTGGTGCCGATCATATTACGATTGTATTAGCTTCTAGTACGATTTTGGCAATGATATATGTATATCTTGCAACTGAAGATTTTTTTAGTACATGATGCATATATCTTGCAACCGGAGATTTTTTCACGGCCTTTACGTACCATGCAGTTTATAGGACGTTCGAAGTCTCAGTTGAAAATGATCGTCAAGTATATTGTCACCCTTAACATGAAGTTGACAGATGATGATTCGTCAAATATCAGCTAGCGATATAAAAACAAAATGCTCTCTGATAGGTCGTGGTATGATCGGCGTAAGGTCATACGTAAGGTCATTGTAGGTCTTCGTGGGATCGTCAGGAACGTAGAGAGATAGTAGTTGGAACGTAGTGGGAGCGTACTTGATAAGTTCCTACGCTTTTACTGCGCCTTTACTACGATCACGAAGATCTCTCCACGATGCTTTCAGTGCTGCTGTACGATTACGGCGCTTTTACTACGCTCTTTTTACGAGTTTACCCCGATTGTCGGCTACGATCCCGCTACACTTGTTTTGAGCATGTTCAAAATCAGCGTGGCGAGAGCGTGGAGCTTTCCGATCATGAAGACCTTACCACAATGATACTGCGCTTATGAATACTCCACGACGTTTCTCCCCGATCAAGAAGACCCTACCGCCATCATACTGCGCTTATAAAGACTCCACGACATTTCTCCTGCGTTTTTTCACGATCGGCCACGTTTTCGATTACGCTTTGATCGTAGGAGAAGCGGCGTCTATGTGAACGGGGGGTTATGAATGGAAGGATACAACGCTGTTCTTCATAAGCGCAGACCCGCGTGGCGCAGTTGTTAGAGCGTCTGCTCTAGAGTCGCGAAGTAAGGAGTCAATCCTTACGTCGCGGGTTGAATCCCACCGTGGGACGTGGAGACCGGTCCTTCGAATGAGACCGCATAAACCTAGGCCCCGTGTCGCAGTAGGTGCTGGCACGAAAAAGATCCCTCCCTGCTCAATGGCCCTGAGTGCCGAGTATAGGACAAAATTTGCAGCTCTCCACCGTTAAGTGGTGGCGTCTCCATAAAAGTGAAAAATTCTCGAGAGGGACGTTCAACAATATACAATCAATCAATCAATCAATCATAAGCGCAGTATGATGGCGGTAGGGTCTTCATGATCGGGGAGCTCTACGCTTTCGCCACGTTCACATGTTCAGCCCGTGTCACACTGTCACGATTTTTGCTACGATTCTACACGACTTACAAAAAAACCATAAATCGACGACAATCGCCACGTTAGCATAGTATTTTTTGACAGAGTGTGTTTTTTTTCAGTGAGTCACGATACGACTACGATGTCCGCTCAACAATGCACGAGGCTTATACGATAACAGAACGAGTTTTGGCGAGTAATGTACGAACAAAGACGATCAAATAACGAACGCAATACGATCTTTATACGAATTTGCACGATTTTAAACGATGCTCTTACGAAGACCTACAAGTCTGTACGATGCATACACGATATTCCCACAAACAGTGACGAGTTCTTACGAATATACTTGGTTTGAGTAGATATATAGAAAGAGGGTTGCTTAAAATTCTTAAACATGATTTCGAAGTTGTAATTATATGGCTATAGCTACCGTGCGGAGGCTCTAACTGCTGCAATATTTGGGGGTACTTGAACAGAATATTGCAAGAACGACAAGACAATTGCCAATTTATTACACAATGGGCGTTCACAGAGGCAAAGAAGATACTAGAATGGATCACCAGACGTACTTAGTATGGATAATGATCGCTTGATGAAAGAACTTGAAACGGAGGATGTATTGTCATTCAAAAACTTCCTCAGAGTAGAGCCAGATATGTTTAGAGAGCTTGTAGACAGATTGAGTCCCAGATAACAAAAACAAGACACATGGTTCAGAAAGACTTTGGAACCTGGATTAAAGTTGGCAATTACACTTCGGTATTTAGCAACAGGAGCGTCATACACAAGTCTGATGTACGGATTTCGAGTTCCACATAATACAATTTCCTTGTTGGTTCGTGAAGTTTGTGAAAGTATAATAGTGGAATATGCTGATGAAGTAATTGCATGTCCAACAACTACAGATGAGCGGCAACAGTTAGCTGGGCAGTTCAGAATTAGATGGAACCTGGACCATGTCCTTGGTTCTTTGGATGGGAAGCATATTGCTTTAAAATGCCCCCGAAACGAAGGTTCGCTTTATTACAACTAAATAGAGTTCCACTCCCTCATTCTTATGGACCTTGTTAATGCTGATTATAAATTCATTTGGGTTGACGTAGGTGCAAATGGTTGTGCATCAGATACTACTGTGTTTAACAACTCAGAATTAAAAGATGTCATCGAAAATCAAAATATTGGATTTCCAGAAGCTGCCCTTCTACTAAATGATAACAGAAACATCCCGTATTTCATCGTGGGTGATGATGCCTTCCCTTTCAGGACATGGGTTATTAAACCTTTTGCAAGAAGGACTTTGACCAATGAGGAGCGTATATTCAACTATAGACCCAGCAGAGAAATGCGCGTTGTAGAAAATGCATTTGGAACTAGCCAACAGATGGCAATGCATCTTAGCTCCAATGCGCCAAGAACCAGAAACTATTTCACCTATTGTATTAGCATGTTACTGTCTTCGTGATTTGATATGCGAATGAGATTTACAAATCTCCAAAACGCGCACAATCGTACCATTTCGCAGTTCACTCGCACGGTACTTGTAATTCACTCGCCGTCAATCGCCTGTTTTCGTATCATATTCGCATGAAATCGTGCGACGTTCCTTTATAGTCGAGCAACACTCGCAGAAACTCGTGGGACACTCGCGATAAATCCTAGGAAACTCGCAGAGTCGGAAGTTCTACGAATTTTTGCGAGTGTCCTATGAATGTCGAAGATTTACAACGATTATGTGTACGAGTGTATTGCGATTGCTGTACGATCGCTTACGGATAACTAAAAATCGTACTGTGGCCACGATTGTTGTGAACATGCTCAAAACAATCGCCGCCTTTGGCGATTTACTGCGATGAAACACGAATTAAGAAGATATCCTACGACTATCTCTACGATGAACGCCGAATTACTGCGATTTTTTAACTCGTACTCTTTCGTAGCCAAAAATCGTGACAGTGTGACACTGGCTTAAAATAGCGTAGTAGAAGCGCCGTAGTCGTACAAGCAGCGCGGAAGCATCTGGAGAGATCTTCGTGATATTTTCATGATCGAAGGAAAGCGCAGTAAAATCGTAGTATAGTCGCGAACTTATTAAGTATGCTCCTACAACGCTCTGCATTACTAAAATATATTTCAAACCCAAGATATATATACATCATCACCGAAATCGTACTAGAAGCTCAATGCAATTGTAATATGATCGACAGCACCGTAGCGACATTGTCATACAGTCATCTAGGTTTGTGTAGCGTCGTAGTATATGTATAATCTTGAATGTCGTAGCGGCAGCATAGCGTAAACGCGGCCGCTGGTCGGCAACGGTTTGCTTTCATTGTAGTAGAAGCGTGTAAGCAGCGCGTTAGACGTAGAGGGATCGTAGTACGGTCGTAATGGAGACCATAATTTGCCAAATTGCTCTATTAAGACGCCGAAAGGCTTCTATCCGCCCCGATCCAAAACTTTTTCAGATCGTGGCTTGATCAGGATGATCGTCGTAAAGTTGCACCTCTGTGTGAACGGTGGGTAAAGAATGAAATGTAGGCGACACCAAAAAGTTCTCATGCATTCGAAAAATTTATGATTAATAAGAATAGAGAAGCTTAGAACCTTTTGTTAATAAAAATTCCTAAGTTTTTGAGAATCCACATTTGATTTAAAACACTTCTTGAATGTATTGTTGTACAGTACGCTTGGGGTTTCTCTTCACAAAAATGTTAAAATATGTTAAAGGAGTAAAGATATGGGCTATAAGAAATACATGTATTTACTGGATCCTGCAAATATACGAATCGTATCTTTGTTTTCATGGATTTTTATGTGAAGTTTTGGAACACAGTAGAGGTACAGTAGCTCTGATGATAATAAATTAATTTTAAGACATTTTAATGAAAATCCTAAATAATTCCAATAATTACCTGAGTTGGAGTTCCAGGTAAATTTTCCGCTTGGATCACTCATGGTTCTTGTGAGTATATCCTGTGTACGCTGTCCATTTACCACGGTGTATACCTGTGTTCCAGGCGCTGCATTGTCATACAGGTGTATTGTCCTGCCCGAGTTTACAAACCACAAGTCGCTCGTATCTAAAAACGGGATTCAAAACAAGTTTTCGAACTTCTCAGCAATAGAAATAGCTCAATCAAAACTTATCTATACCATTATTTTTTTCTTAAAGATTTTTTTTTCGAAACTAGAGGTACTGTGATCAATGAGCTCACTAAATGATACCCCCGCCTCCCATATGAATATAGTGGGAGTGTCCATGTTTTGTTGTGGGAAACCCAAAATATGTGTCTGATCAAAAAGTAAAATAGGAGGTGCACAATGGCAATATGTAATAAAGATTCTGTGAAAGTTTCATCAAATTTCATTCATTGGTATGAGAGGAGTTGCGGATAAGAGATGGGTATCCCAAAGCGTAACAGGTGGACGCACGGGCAGACGGACGGACGGACAGACGGACATAACCATTACTATATACCCTTCCGCTTTTCAAGAGGGGGGAATAATAAAAGCATCGTTATCTTGTTTATCTTCTGTCAGTATAACGAAAGTGTCCCGCGTATCAATATCTAGTAGCCATCCACGTAAGTTTTTGTCAACATAGTTTATCATGTCAAGTCAAGATAACTATCTCGTCAAGTAATGAAAACTTTCAGGTTTGTCGTCAAATACCGACTTTTAATAGTCACTTGTACAGCCAAGATAAGCTTTTTATTTTTGCGATAGCTATCTCGACAAAAAGAGATAATTTATCTTGTTTAGCGACTAAGAGTTATCTCGTCATGTCAAGATGTCAAGCTATTACAACAAAATGTGATAGCTTATCTTGACTGGACAAGATATAAAGTCGGTGTCTGCGACTATGCTATATTGACAAAAAATTATTTGGATGGCATAAATATGCCACCAAATATCTGAGGAAAAACTAAGATTAGAAGTGCATAAGATGCAGCATTTGTAACAGGTCTGATGGAGTTCTACCTCTCTCTTACTTTTCTCTAAGATGAGTTTGATTGCGATGTGAATCAATTGTATCTCTCTCTCTCTTACTCAGTTTGCTTTGAGCTTTCACAATAACTTGAATCATTCTCTCTCTTCCACTTTCTCTTACCTGCTCTAGAGTCGCGAATTAAGGAGTTGATCCTTACGTCGCGGGTTCGAATCCCACTGTGGGACGTAACGACTGGTCCTTCGGATGAGACCGTATAAACTGAGGTCCCGTGTCGCAGTAGGTGCTGGCACGAAAAAGATCCCTCCCTGCTCAATGGCCCTGAGTGCCGTGCAGCTCTCCACTGGCAAGTGATGGCGTCTCCATATGAGTGAAAAATTCTCGAGAGGGACGTTATACAATCAATCTTTTTCTTACCTACCATTTTCTACGATGAGTGCTACGGCGATATGACTAAGTTCCTTCCATTGCAATTTTCTAAGTTGAGATTGATTACAATATGAATCAGCTATCTATGCCTCTTTCTCTCAGACCGTTTTCTATGTTGAATACTTTTGTCTTTCTATTTTTCTTACCGTTATCTTAGTTTGTTCTATGACAATGGGAAAAATCTCTCTATCTCTTTCTCTCTTACACACCTTTTTCAAGTTAGAGTTTGATGGATCACCTCTATCTCTCCTTACCATTCTATCCCCAATCTCTTATCTCAGCGTTCAGTTTGATAGTGATGAGTATCACTCCTCCCTCCCTCTCTCTTGCTTTCTTCTAATTTTAGTTTGATGGGGGTATGAATCACTTTTATTCTCACTTTCACTCTCCTTACCATTTTCGAAGTTGAGTTTGATTGATTGATTGTATGTTGTTTAACGTCACTCTCGAGACTTCTGCACTCCTATGGAGACGCCACCACTTGCCGATGGAAAGCTATAAATTTTGTCCTATGCTTGGCACTCAGGGCCATTGAGCAGGGAGGACCTCGGTTTATACGGTCTCATCCGAAGGAATCTCCACGTCCCACAATGGGATTCAAACCCGCGACGCAAGGATCAATTTCTTACTTCAATTCTCTAGAGCAGACGCTCTAACCACAGTTCCACGAGGGCGACAAGCTGAGTTTGATTATGATAGGCATCAATTCATGCTCTATCTCTCTTCCATACAGTTACTATCTTTTCTACTTCCCCGTGTATAAGTTTAACTGGATGGCGATATGTGTTCATTCTCTCTCTCTGTCTCTCATTCTTGCTCTCTCTATCTTCACCGTTTTCTAAGTTTTGTTTAATGGCGATTCGTGTAACAATTTTCTCTCTTCCTTTCTCTCGTTTTCACCTTTTCTCTTTGTTCTCTAAGTTGAGTATAATGGGAATTCTTGCATCAGCTCTCCCTCTCTCTCTCTCTCTCATTTTCGCTCATTCTCGTTGTTCTATAAGTTAAGTTTGATGGTAATTCTTGCACTACCTATTTCTCTCGTTCTCTCTCCCATTTCCGTTTTTTCTCACCATTCTCTAAGTTGAGTTTGAGGGCAAACTGAGCGTTGATGCTGGAGTAAGAGGAAACACTTTTTGTTGTCCCAACTGTTGTAGTTCCCCACGAGAATCGCCTCTGGTTATTACTTCCGGTGGAAGTGTACGGTATCATTTCTTGTCCAGGACTATACCTATATATTGAATTTGAAAATTCAATGATAAGTTATATGAAACTCATTCGTTTTTTACTGGAATTTTTTTTTAGTGCTGTAGGAATTAACAAAACTCTTACCATCCAATTTTATCTCCATCATTTACAGTTATTCTCTCGTTATCAGGAACGATGTACTTGACGATCCTGTTGATGTTTCCAGCTTAAAAAAGGAAAAAAAAAATTGTAAAAGGTCATTGCAGTCAATGAATATTTTATTAAAATTAAAGTGCTTATTATATCATATATATGATGCCGATATATGCAATAAAATTTGCTTTTATCTTTAACTAAACAAAACCATGAAAGCAAAAGCTTGACCAATTGATATTTGACAAAATACTGAAATAGGATGGATGTTTTACATATATTGTGTAACAACAGCGACCTACAGTGTATGCAGAGGTAATTGTAGCCAACCAGTTTGTAGCTGGATCCCGACAGAGGGCGCCAAATCTGGAGGTAAATCGACCCGGACCTTTTAGGATACAGCGACCAAGACTCCACGGCCCCACAGCACGTTATAGAGGACGAGGTGTCCTCCAGTATGTACGTCACACCTGAGTGAACATACAGGTCAAGGTATGGTGGTAAAAAGATGTCATTTACTTATAAATTATTAAAACTTTGAAGGCGACGTTGAAATCACTAAGAACAAATGGAAGAAATAAAAGACAAACCTGAATTGCTATTAATAGATGAGGTCTTAGAGAGATCACCCCCTCTTTCAAAACCGCCACCGGTATCGCAATCTAAAATATAAAAGATGATTATCTTACCTATATATTACTTGTCCGTAACTTACCCGAATATTACATGTAAATATCTTCCCTGAAACTTACATGTAAGTGTCTAACCCGAATCTATTCATGTAAGTATGAATGTATCTTCTCTGAATCTTACATATAAGTATCTTCCCTGAATCTAACATGCATGTAAGTATCTTCTCTGAATCTTACATATAAGTATCTTCCCTGAATTAAACATACATGTAGGTATCTTCCCTGAATCTGACTTGTAAGTATCTTCCCTGAATCTTACATAAAAGTATCTTCTCTGAATCTTATCTGGTAGTACACATCAATGTCTTCCGGAAAACAATGCATGAGATATATTTATTATAAAAGAAATATATTAATTGCAATTCTGCCTACACACGAGACCGCTGCAACGGCTATTAAACATTGAAGTGTTAACTTACACCATGGACACGGCACTTTAGACTGGACGAATGCGGAGAGGGTCACAGCTAACTGGGAGTATTCTGTTTGTAAGTAATGTGACGGATCGTGTGCAATGTCTATCAACATAGGAACATCCAGATTGTTTCCGATCCCGACTGATATGATTACAATGCCGGCGGCCTTGACGAGAGCGGCCTCGGCACGTTCGTTGTCATTGGAGACACCGTCTGTGAGGACAACCATTATGTTTGTTGCGCCTGCGCGGTCACCTGTTGATGAAGATACATTACATGTAAATGCTTTGACTATTGGAAAAATGCCTGAAGATTTATTAGTAAAGAGAAATCTGTTTCAAATATCTAATTTTTATTGAACTTTTAAATCAAGTCCTTCACCTTTTCTCAAGGTCCTTACTTTGACAACATTAACCAACAATTTTTTAAAATCCTGTATATATATATTAGAGTCTAACCTTTGTTTGAAAGAAACATGTTTTCCCTTGTAAACCTCATAGCACTACCTATCCTCGTTCCACCGGCCCTGTAGTCAATATTCATAATGGCGGTCTGCATACTGGAGACCGAGCTGTAGGCATTCAGATGAAATATGGTTCTTTGTGAAGACTGGAAACACATCACCCCGACGCGGACGTTGCCCGAGTCTATGTCCAGGAGGGCCACCGAGTCTCTCAGTGCCTCGAGGGTCAGCTGGAAGTTATAGGATCCGACGGAACCGGACTCATCCGTCACAAAGATAATGTCGGACTGGGAAGGACCGCATCCTCCTGTAAGGGTGATTTCACAAACGAGGTACATGTACTTAGGTGTCAAATCATTTCCACCTAGTTATTGTTAAGGTCAGGTGATAGAAACATTTTTGGGAGGAGACGTAATATCATGACACATGATTAAAAAAGAGGATAATTCTTTGAATTTTTTCTCATTAGCCCTAAATGCCGAGTATAGGACAAAATATGCAGCTCTCCACCGGCAAGTGGTGGCGTCTACATATGAGTGAAAAATTCTCGAGAGAGACGTTATACAATCAATCAATCAATCAATCATTAGACTTGGAAAATAAAACTGACTTGGAAAATATTAATTAATACTTCAATAGAATTACAAATATATGAACAAATTACACTCAGCAAAACGTTTACAGATGAAAACAAATTTCAGAAAATGTAGGCATTTGCCAAAACTATTCAATATAAACTTTATAAAAATATACAAAGCCAGTTGAAATGGTAAAAATTAGCCTTTATGATTTTTCTGATTTTTATGAGGAAAAGCAAAATGGTAAAAATTAGCATATGTGATTTTCTGATTTTTTACCATTTTGCATTTCCTCATAAAATTCACCTGGCTTGATATATCTTTTTTTATAGTTTATATGACACTTTTAGCAACAAACTTACATACAGCTGTAATCTGAAATTTGTTTTCATCTGTAAACCTTTAGAGGTGTGATTTGTCCATATGTATTATTTTATTAACCTTTTCGCTGCCGAGCAGATTTGGAGTTCAAATTACGTACAGTGCCGTGACAGTTTTCTTATTACGTTAAATCTATGACGTAACGTTACTATGACGTCACAAAAAGTAGGTAAAGGTATAAAAACTTTATCGCCTTTCACTTTTTGCAGAAATTGGTTTAAAAACAGACAATATAGAATAAATTCTACAACGACAAGACCCTTGAAAAATATATTTACAAAAATTAAATTAACGCCAAATTTATGCGCAAATAATATATTTCCAGTTGATTATGTGGGTAGATATTATTATTTTTTTTTTATAAGAAAAATTATTTTGTGTTACGTCAAGAACCTGTGGGTTAAACTATATATTTCATAATAATGAATGCAATACGAGTAAAATTAAATATATACAAATGCACTGGTATTGAAACATAAATAATGCATAAATAACTATTAAAAAGTTTTCATGAATTGTCGTTGAGAATTCTATCGTACTTAAAAAGGATTCATTTCTGTTTGTACACCTCAATATGTAGTTTTTAACGTAGACCTTACATAATACATTTATATCAAATGTAACCGGCCCGTAGCTGAAAACTTTACTATAGCACTCAGAAAAAAAAAATATATATTGATAGCCCGGTCTGTCAAAATATTTAATTGGAGAGCTACAGCTAGTTCTGCAACTATCCCGGCCATTAGAAATGGTTTAAAGTTCGATGGGGGTCTTAAAAAAACCTAACTTTTAGAACAAGATTGTTCAAAATTAAAGGAGAAATAATATCTCTAAAATGTTGCAAATACATGTACATTTTATTTTCTTTTAAAAATTTGATTGCAATGCATATCCTTAGTAGTTGTGACTTAAAAAAATAAATATATCGATAGGTTTTAAAATTATTTACAAAAAATGAATTAAATTTTTGGAAGTAATTTTAAGATAAAAAATTAAAATATCTATTTGATATTTACAACATACTTAAAGAAAATTCTAAAGCATCTCAGAATATGTGCAAGCATTTTGTTTCCATGAAAACATGGCAAATGATTCCTATTAATTAAGCAAGAATTAACACCGGTCTTTTGATGCTGACAATCCAAACACGCAATGATGAATTAATAAATAAATTAAAAATAAAAGGTGTTTAAGTTTTTTAATGATATAAAATAATAATAATGGTTATTACATGTGTAAAGCCGAATCAAAGTTCATAAACATAAAAATGAAAAGGGAAAAATAACGTGATTTAATTTAACGTCATATTTAATTATGACGTCATTACGACCAGCGTCCTGCAACCAGGTGTCTGCAAGTGGGTCTCAAAATGAGCGACTCTGACGATTTTTCGGACGACTCTGATTCAGAATTAGAAACGGAAATCGAAAGTGATGACGAAGAAGAAATGGTGTTTATGAATCAACAGCCCTGGGTACGTGTCCTGCCCCCAGAGCCAGAGGACGAAGAGCCTTCAAACTTCACAGAAAATGTTAGTCCAAAAAATATGCCACCATCAGACAGCAAACCCATATCTTACTTTTTTATGATGGTGACTGTAGACCTGATAAATAGGATGGTTTTGGAGACAAACAGGTATATTCCTTTTTTCATATATATACATGCATATATATACACATATAATTATTTATAAATATGTTAAATGTTATCACGTAAGTTGACAAGACGCTATAATGCATTCATATATAGTCAATAAAATGAAGAGTATTTGATCCCCCTTTATTCATTTGGACAAATTCAATATATATTCGGACAGATGGAAAATTCGTTCGGACAATTAAGATACTCGCTCGGATGGTTTGTTCCCGTTTTGCACACATTTAAATTACAGGTAATTAAAAAGTGTGTGAAAACAGTGAATTAAAGGTGAAAAATTATTTAATTGCTATGTGTTTACCATCCGCTTAGAAAGTAGGTGAAATGTGAACTTATAGTGAAAAAATAAGAGAATAAATAAAAGTTAATGTATTTAATATTTATTTATCTTAAGGCCCTCTTGGCTTGGGCATTATTTTTCAAATCAATTTTTATTCTCTATTATTTTTTTTTATTTGTTGAATCTTTAATTCATTTTGCAGAATAATAAATTTTTTGTATTGGAGCAAATAAAAAAATCTAATATTGAATTATATAGATTTGATTGCTTATTCTTTAAAATTTGTAGGATTTTTTTTTTCTATAAAATATTTACCAAACAGGACACTGCAAAGTTTGTACAATCCATACGTCACATATGCTATATATACATGTATATGCCTCATTTTATAAATCGGGCAAAATACGGTACCATCATGGATTTCAACCCAGAACTCGAACATGTAAAGCGAGAAATATATATTGACGGACAGACAGACTGAAATTAATATTGTTAATAAAAAGATAACTTAAAAGAAAAAAATACTTTTTCATTACTAAATGTAGTAATAGGTGACAGAACGCTTTGATTAATGCTGGATTGGCCCCGAGATGTTCCACATCAATGCAGTCAATGCCCACAAAAAATATTGTATTTGAAAAATAATTCAATTAAAAAATATGAATAACAATAACAATTGATATTTGTCTGTGTATGCAGTTTTTATATTTCTGTTCCTTTTGATCTCATACATTTTATTTACCAATTCACTACCCTGCATGATTTCATTTGGCATGTACATTTCAAAAATACTAGAAGTGGTTTTCAACGAATTAACAATTTTTAATAGTCAATATTATAATTTTTATCAGAAATGTAAGTGTTTTTTTTTTCATATTACACTCCATAAAAAGGAAAATATGCACCGAAATCAGGAAAAGATTGAATGAAAGAAGTTTTTAAGAATGTGTCAGGGGCTCTGCGAATACGGGCAGAATGTAATTTTGTTGCATTATCTGCATGAATAAAATATTTTAAGCTTGTATTAAACTTTGCAGTGTATAAACATATACATTATATCCCCTCTACTTATTTAAAAGGTAGTCGGACGGAATATTTTTGAATTTCAATTGCTGCATTATTATTAAATTTTATACATTGACAGTACCAGTTCGGGATTTTGATTGGTCAAAGACTCAAAAGCCCACTCACTAAAACCTTTAAGAAGGAATTAAAAATGAGTGAATTTTCAATTTGTCTGAACCAATATTTATTTCGTCCGAATCAAACTTAAAGTAGGATATATTAATTTAAGGGACCAAATTTGAATTCGCCTGAACCAGTATTTAATTATATTTCGTACGAATATTGAAATTGAATTATTGAGGCGAAGTAGTCTCCCTATATGGCTTAAAATTCTACTAGCTATTCAAGATAGAAAGATAAATAGTCGTGAAAATGCTATTTGACGCGGGCGGGGGTACAACTCTTTGCTACTTTGCTAAAAGAAAAAAGGGGATCAGTGTTTTAACATATATATTCATTAGTAAAAAGTTATAGGTAAAAGAGGCCCCCTCCCATGCAAGCCCTCTAAATATTGCCTTGAATATATCACAATACCTACCAACATTTGAATTCATTTACCCTAATGGTTGTTAGATTACATAATCTCTCTCTCTCTCTCTCTCTCTCTCTCTCTCTCTCTCTCTCTCTCTCTCTCTCTCTCTCAGTAAACGTGTTCACAATTAAAATTATCTAAAAGTGCTATGCAAGTATTTTTCATACTATTTATCAATATATTTTTAGTGAACTCAAACACGTATATTCAGAAAAAAAAAACAAATAAAAGACTATTTTTATGCCTCGTAATCAAAGAGTCGAGTGTATATAGATTTTGCTCTTCTGTTCGTTCGTATGTCTGTCTGTTTGTTCGCAAAAACTTTGGAATGGATGAAGTTATGACTGTCATATTTCACAGAATATTCCTTGTGACACGACATGTCTTTCGGTTCGACCTTTTGGCCTTGGAGTTTGAGTATTTGATCCTCTTTGAAGAAAAAAAAATCGAACATTAACATTGGTCATAACTTTTGAACAGTTGGTGCAAAGACTTTCATGCTTTACATTAATCTTCATTGTGACACGAGCTTTCATTTAATCTTAATATTTTTACCCTTTGACCTTGACCTTAGATATTTACAATACGGGGTCATCAGTGTTTCACAAACACATCTTGTTTTTTCTCAAATACAAACAGTTAATCTCTTCTTGTAGATATGCCGCGCAGTTCATTGCAAGCAAGGATCACATACGGAGATTTTCTAGGCTGCTCGATTGGCGTAAAATCGGAGAAGTTACATTCAACGAAATGAAAGCGTTTATCGCTGTTATTCTGAATATGGGGCTTATCAGAAAGGCAAACATTGGTGAATACTGGCACACAACATATAAAAGTCAGGAAACAAGCTGGTTTCGAAATGTATTTAGTAGAAATAGATTTCAACAAATCCTCCAGTTTTTTCACTTGGTGAATAACAATGACATTCCAAACAGAAATGATCCAAACTACTGTCCCGCAGCAAAGTTTCAGGTGCTTGTTGACCATTTTAATACTCAGTCATCACACCATTTAGTTCCAGAACAAAATATCAGCATTGATGAAAGTTTAATTGCTACAAGAGGAAGATGTACAATGTTGCAATACATCCCATCAAAAAGCGCGAAGTTCGGGGTAAAACTATGGATGCTTGTAGAAGCAGCATCAGGGTACATATACAATATGAGAGTATACAGGGGTAAGCGATACGACCCCACCCCTAGAGGTACAACGCAAGGTTCATACGTAATAAATATGTTACTTGAGTCGTCCAGATTGCTGAACAAATGGTATCATGTGGTTTGCAAGTTTTTTCATGTCCATTGATTTGGCCAAGCAACTTCTCCGTGACCAAACATACTTACTGGAACACTAAAAAAATCGCTACATGCCCAACAAAATCAAAAATCCCCAGCTAGGACAAAACGATTCTATCTATATGCGACAAGGTGAATTATGTCTTTGTAGTTATAAAGAAAAAGAACACCGAAAACCGGTCCGTATATTAACAACAAAAGAAAAGGCAGTGAACAACATACGCGGTAAGCCAAAAGTACTTGAATTTTATAACAAAAATATGGGTGGAGTGGACTTGGCAGATTTAATGGTGACATCATACAGCAGCAACAGAAAGTCCATGAAAGTTTGGCGTAAGATAGTTTTTAACTTGATACACAGGATGGTTATTAACTCGTACATACTCTATAAAAAGAATACGTCAGATTTTCCCATGAAAAGCAGGCTTTCTTTCATTCAAAGCATTATCTACGATTTATCGAAGGACCATCTGTCCGATAAAGAAGATGCTGCTGAAAACACAGCTGCTGGGCGAGGATTTGTTAAAGTTAAACTAAGGAAACTTCCGATTGGCAAGCAAAAAGAATGCTCCGTATGTTCAGACCGTAACGGTTTTGGAGGTCGCAGAAGAACGAGGACGATCTGTACGAACTGCCAGAAAGGTTTACGTAAAGACTGTTTGATGGATCACTTATGTGTGGCTGAGGACTAAACACTGTCGATTGCAATTTGTTGGAATACACAAAGTAACTTTAAACTTTTTAAAATAGTATTAGGCTAAAAGCACAATTCGCAGACATTTGTCTGTGTGTCTTACAGTATACTCAATCTAACAGCTAGCTGAGCTGTTAGTTATGGCAGAGAACATACGTATAACTTATGCCTATAAGTTTTAAATGTCTTAAAATTTATAGACGTTTTATGCGGTAATTTTTGTTTTTGTGTATACTTTGAGGTAAAAATTATATATTTACATAATTAGCATATTTGTAAACAAAATGTCGATGTCGTCGTACAGGAAGTATATCTGCTGTACATGCGGTATAATGTACATACATGTACATGTAATTTTTTTAACTTATGTATACGGAGACATATACGATAGATAATTAAGTCACACTTGTTGAATTTTTTTTTTTCTAATTCCACATTACTAGGATATCTCCAGCTTGTTTAGATATATAGTGATGACATTGAATAAAAAATATTCACTTTACTGAAATAATCACTAATACTGTATTACATTACTTCATTATAACCGCAGTCAACACATGATCAAAAGAGAAAAGAATTGTAATTAATGGAATTTTATTTTCGTTTAATATATTATATTAGTTAGTTAGTATTATTATATATTAAAAGAACACTTTCTTGTATGTGTTGAAAGGAGGAGGGGCAAATGAATTTTGTTTATCATTCATATATCTAAAATGTTGATAAATTTTTTGAATCTAAATAAAAATACATCTGTAGTATTACTCTGTTTGCATTTTCTATAAAGTGATATTATGGAGATGAAGAGAATTAGAAAACCTGTAAATCAGAATTTCCATACATAGAAACATACATGTAGACAGTTGTTTAATTTCAAATCAGAATGTACTGTTTTAAATTTCAAATAATGACTAATAACATACCCGTTTAACATTCCTTCCAAATAATTTTTTCAATAGAACGTAAAATGATAGTTTCCGTCATAACAAGAGGCTAAAATGGCGCTAAACTCTGAATTATGACGTAACGTCATAATCAGTTTTACTTGTGACGTAAATAAGCTAACGGTAGGCCCAAAATAGGCCCGCGGCACTAAACGTAGTATTTGAAAATAGGCCCAAAATAGGCCCGCGGCACAAAGAATGTTAAAATATTAACCAATATTTTCCCAGTCTATTACATTTTTCAGGTCTTAGGAGAAAAAATTCAAAGAATTGTCGTCTTTTCTAAACTTGTGGCATGATATTAAGTCTCCTCCAAAGAAAAAAAAATTGTATCATCAGTCCTTAAAAATAAAACAATGATGCCATATACCCTTTTTCAAATAAAGTATCGCTTTTGTAAATGAATATCAATCTATTGTATATATATGCATACATTTACTATAATACGTTTATATATTGAACTAAACAATAACTTAAATACTTCTACTCAATCTACTATGACACCAGCACATTGTGGTAAAAAAGATCTTGCTGTGATTTTTACTTTAAAAGAAAATATGCTAGTTAAAAAAATAGAGTTAGGTCCTTAAATATTCATAAACAATTTTGATATATGATAAATTATGAACATTTCACACATTGTTAATTACCCTGTGCCTGATCAAGAAATTGGAAAAGGACAACGAAGAACAGACTCAAGGCAGGCTTCATATTTAACAAAATCTCCTCAATGAGGGTAAAATCAATCCATTTCTGTCCATTATATCTAACTAAAAGAGAGTGATTAAAGATCTATCTAAGATCAAATTCAATAAAATCACCACGTACCATTTAACATCAAAAGGTTAATTAACCAGAACGACTTCTTGTGAAAGCTAACAATATTCCTCTACAGTTATTGTTTTTAAATTCTTTAAGATACACGCTAATCAATCTTCAACCATAAAACAAATTCTTATCGCCAAGAAAATCTTGGCAATATGTTTCTTTTGAGAGTAATAAAAGGAAACCACGGAATCACTCTCTCGACCGTCATATTTGGTAAAACAAAAACTGTAAAAGTTGTCAAACCTTAGATCTAGTGTATAGATGTTGACATGCTTTTTGGACAACTTTTGCATTTAATTTCATAAACAAAATCAAATTATATAATTAAAAGATTCCAATCTGAAAGACAAAAGTTTACAAAACTAAATTGTGTACATTTATTTCAAATTGTAAATTATAATTTAGCCCGAACTCTATTATTTCATTCAAGATAACGATACTTGGTGTTTATATTTGGTCTTTATTTAAAGAAACTAAATAAATTTTAAACTGGTTTTCGTTACCTGTTGAATTCCCCAACCCAGCATTATAATCATGATTACTTTTAAGGGGGGACCTATGTCGTTCTACGTCAAAGCAGCGTTATGTGACGTCACAATAGCGACGTTTGTTCTTTTCCCGCTGACTTTTGCAACTGTGATTATAGGCATAACATTGTTATTAATATAATCAATAACGTACACAGTTTACAAAAAGAATTTTTTTTTCATTAATTAAAACAGTTTTATTTGATTTATGGAGTTTGTTAATATTAGCATTCTCTTCCTTTGGTTGATAATTCATAGCAATTTCAGTTGTGAAGAAATACCTCCATGATATGCTGATATAAAAATGCAAAAAAAAAAAAAGAAGATAAAATTCAGCAAAGACAGCGGCTTAAATAAGGGAAATATGTTTATGATTACCATTAATTGTATTTTCTGGATAAAACTAAGAAAAAATTAAGAAATGTACTTGTACTTATATTTTATTTATTTATAGTGTATGTAGATTTTATTGTATAAAATCATTCCTAGGTTCTATTAGGTGTTGGTTGTTGACGGGGAAAGGGGGGATGATTAGAATGAAGAAGAAAAGAGTTTATCTGTTTAAATTATTTCTTATTAAAACAAAATTTACGTACATGTTTTTTGCAAAATAGTTTTACATTCAGATATTTGTCAGTGCTAACTTAGGAAACCTTTTTTTTAGTGCAGAAAGGTCAATATTTATGACAGAAGAGTGCGAAAATAAAAGAAAACGTCATATTTCTCGTTTATTTTATCATAAAGGTATACTTTTTTCTTTGATAAAATAAAGAGAGGGAGCATTTCTTTCAAAAAATATGAATTACAACATTTTCACACAAAGACTTTTTAAGATATTACCTGTTACGCATGTCGGAATTGTAAAAAATACGACAAGAAAAACGGGGTGATACTTACATTGTGCTCCTTTATAATTTTTCTTTCGAGATGAATTACAATGAATTTGCCTTCATTTTAAAGAGACAAGTCATATAAATCAAATACATGTTGATTTCGAATGTGATTTGACATTTTTGGTTCTTTTTAGCGCATATTTGGAGTAGAACAATAATGTCTGAAAATAATCTATTTTTAGCATTTCACACAGTTTTTGCACGTGCTCCTGTGTAAAAATAAGCATATGAAGGTATTGTTTTTAATACTTAAAAATTAAGAGGAAGTGGTCAGGAAAGAAATATCAAAGTTTTGAAAATTTCACACAAAGACTTTTCGGACATAGGTCCCCCCTTAAATCAATATAGATATTAGATGTCCCGAATCCGCTATCGCTTCTTAAACTTTGAGAAGCGATAGCGGATTCGGAACATCTAGTTTTAATTAGATTGCTTTAAAATTCATTTAAATGTTACCGAATATTATTATTTCTGTTAACACTTAAATAATTTTTTTTGAATGAGCGTCTTGAATACTTAGGTTACAGGTTTGCCAGACTGGCTGTGTAGAGGTATCATCCCCCTGGTGCCCTCTGTATTCAAGATGCACTATATATATATAAAAATTGATTTTCTATACTTTTGATCAAATGTGAGACTATACTGTGATTATGTGACAAATCCTACATTTTCATATTGATACAACTTGTGGTATTGCACCTCTTTATGTCAGACCTAATTACTAAGTCATATTACATTATAAATCTATACTATTCAATATTGTAATCAGTGTAATCGTATTGTATTTAGTTTGTTCATGCCCCCTGAGGGCCCTTGATCAGTTGATTGGTGAATAAACCACCATCATCATCACTATTATTATTATATACTAATTAAACAGCTGAAAAAAAAAACACGGAACATGGAACTAAGATCCGAAATAAAAAGAACAACTATTTGGGATCTATGGTAGCCGTGTTGAGGTCACCATGCATACAAGGCTACAGGACATTATATAGCGAGGTCTGGTCCCAAGAGGGCGAATCTCCTACATAAGTTTTAAAGGTGTTATAGGGAAAAAGTAATGTATTCAACTAAATATAAAAGCTATTAAACTGTAGATAAAATATAGAAGCATTATATATATATCGTCATGTACGAGTAGTATGGAGATCAAATTATCATAAAACTGAAACCCGGAAGTGTGTGTACATAAGGTATCGGTTGTCAAAATATTTTTAATTATTTCTCCTAATTAGTGAACTGTCATTAAAGAACAAGTCAAACAGTTATAAGTATTTTTTCGAGGTAAGTCATAGAGGATAAGAAGTTTGTGTGCATTATTTGTAAGTCTTGTTCAAGAAGTTGTTGTCATTTCGAATTTCCTCTGTTTTTGACTGGCTTATACCCGAATTAGTCAAGATATAAAACTGAAAGAGAAAGTTATCATACCCATGTCAATCCCTAACGTTGTACAAAACACACAATGCATATAAAACAGAATAAGACTAGTAAAAACTGAAATCAATCTTCTGAATTTGATATTTATACATGTAACGTTATATACGGTAAAAGTGCATGTTAACATTGCAGTAGTAATAAGTAATTTGGTAATCACGCCAATTCTGGTTGATCAACAGAAAAAAACACATTAAAACTGACAGCTTCTCTATTTTATTACTTGATTTTCATACTGCCGATTGCGAGTAGTAAAACTATAACTAAATTTCAGGGAATGTACAACATGTACAAATTGTAGAAGAATGAAAAGAGTGAAGGTAACGAACCGTGAATGAATGAACAATACAAAATTGAAGAGGGCATAAAAGACGAGCCCCTGGATCTGCCAGAGGTGGGATCCGGTGCCTAGGACACGGTGTAGTACCTAAACGGTTGATATCGGAACAAAATAGCGTTCAGTGTTGCTATTCGAAATTTGTACGGCTGCTATCAGAAATAAATATGTTGGAGTCTCTTGGAACAAGTTGTAAAACTATGACATCGTGACCCCAAATCAATATAGCCATTGCAAAAACCAGGTGCACGGAACAAGTAAGGCATTTCTATAAATGTTGCCATGTGTACTTTGCAGAATAGTCCTCTAATAATTTAGAATTAGTAAAATCTCCGAAGCCTGTATCAAATATCAAGTCAATACACACACAGTTTTTATGCTTTTTTAAATCCTCTATTATTCAGGTTGTGTTAATTGTGGTATGTGAAGATGCTTCAATCTATAATAATACTTACATATGATTAAAAATATTTAAAAAGTGTATTTTGAAAGAGATTTTTGGATGAAATACGATTTTTTAAAGTTACGTTTGCTATCAGAGTCTTAGCATATATTGCACCGGCTATAAACTGAAAACATCTCATCGGTTGCTATTTGAAAATTACTTCTTATTTCCATCAATCAAATATTAAATAAACTTATGGTAGCAAATGCCTAAAATATACATGTTAAATATCCCACATAGCATGTGAAACACGAAATCATACGATTCCTATTATATATGACTTTTACCAACTTAACTCAGGTACGTAAATTCGATTTTGAAAGCCGGGCGGGGGGGGGGGGGGGGGCAGAAAAGTTCAAATCTATAAAAGAACTGACATGGAAAAAAGGAAAATTGTCGAACTTCTTTCAGTAACATTTTTTGTTCACGCGCTAGCGCCTATCCTTCTTTGATTATACTGAAATAAAAAGGTTGTGTGTGTAGGGGAGGGGGTAACCGCATGCTTGAAGAAAGTCAACAGGCCTTTCAATAAACATTTTAAAAAGTAAAGGTTATGCTTTGAACAAAATGGGGGGGGGGGGCGGACATGCCTGTTACTCGAATGTATACACGCAATATTCAAAACATCGACCCCCCTCGTCCTATTAAGATTTTCGCGAGTTCTTTAATTTACCTAGGTAAAAAAATGAAAAACCCAGTCCCCCCCCCCCCCCCCGCCCAAAAAGAAAGAAGGGTTTTTAAGATAGACGGCTTCCACTTCTTTTTGACGTCGTAAATTGACTTAACATTTTTTCAATAAATTCATAATTTTGGACTTTTTGAGAGTTGGACAATACTACAGCATTTTTTTATTTACAGAAAATTTTCTTAACAAAAAAGGGGAAAGAGGGGCAGACCCCCCCCATTTTCCGTAAACGAACATGTACATCATATGAACATCCTACGTACACAAAACGTGGACGATAATGTAAGCTCATATAATTTAATTTCAGTTGTAACACGTCATTTGATTGGATAAACGATTTTATCCATTTTGTATAACATAACTTGCCTACGTCACAATGAGTTACGTCAAAAACGTATTACTCCGCTTGACGTTAACTTTTAAAATATGCGATATTTGAAGCCTTTTTCCGAAGGAAAAAATGGAAAAAATTGTCTCATTGTCTACATTGAAATTAAATTATAGGGAATGAAGCTTATTTCAACTTATATTAAACGATATAACATAACTTGGAGCAGTTTACGCTTTTTTATAAACCGCTTCGCGGTTTATAAAGCGTAAACTGCCCCAAGTTATGTTATATCGT